TTTGAAAAGAATGCTGGAGATGGACAGTCAGGGCGGGGGAGTGGTCATATTAAATCAATCACGTGTAATGGGAACGCAACCTCTCTGCTTTATCTCCAGCGCTGAGAGATCAGAGAAAAAAGAACAAAGCAATGTGCATTATACCCACTTTCCATCAAAATCAGGCTCGACGTAGGAGGAGCATGGCGCCTCACGGCTTTTAGACCTCTGTGTCCCTCCAGCCTTAGCTCCCTTTTGGGCTGTGGCCCCACAACTTTCTCTGCCCGGAGCAGCCCACGCCCCAGGCCACCCCTCACCCTCTGTCCCTCCAGAGCTGCACTGTCCCAAACACCAGCCATGGGCATATGCACTGATCTAAAATGACATGTGCTGTAAGGGAAACAAACACACACTGGATTTCAAAGTCTGCATGAAAATAAATATATATAAAATAGTTTCTTATTAATTCTATATGCTGATTACACGCTGAAATGATGTTTTAGGTCTATTGAGTTAAATAATTCATGGTATCAAGTTACTATCAACTGTTTCTCTGTACTTGTTTTAAATGTGGCTACCAGGAAATTTTAAATTTTGTATGTGGCTCACAGTATATTTGTATTGGACAGCACTACCCATGCCCTTGCTGTGCTCCTGACCTGCTTCTGTCACAGCATCTACCTGCCTCTTCATCTGACCCCTGCCTCCAGTGGAGTGTACGCCCCATGGCGCCAGGCGCCCTGTTCTCTTCATCCTCACTTTCTAGCATCGTGCCTGGCACACGACAAAGGGTCTTGTGGAGTTAATCATTATGTCCTTTTTTTTTATTTAATCCAGGTGGTCCAGTCGGTATGGCTCAGTGTTTGAGCGTCAACCCATGCACCAAGAGGTGGCCAGCTTGATTCCCGGTCAGGGCACATGCCCAGGCTGTGGGCCCAATCCCTGGTGGGGGGCATGCAGGAGGCGGCCAATCCATGTTCTCTCTCATCAATGTTTCTATCTCTCTCTCCTCACTTCTTCTCTCTCTAAAATCAATACCATAAAGGGAAGAACATTTTTTTTAAAATCCAGGTGAAATTCTCATAACATAATATTAACCATTTTATGTTATTTTTTTTTTTATTTTTTTTTTTTATCCTCACCCGAGGACATTTTTCCATTCTTTTGTTCAGATAGAGTGGGAGGGAGAGAGAGGAAGAGAGAGAGAGAGAAACATCGACGTGAAAGGGACACATCTAGTGGCTGCCACCCGCATGACCAACCAGGGCTGGGGACAAACTGCAACCGAGGTACATGCCCTTAGCGGGAACCGAACCCGGTCTCTCTTGACCGCAGGCCGACTCTCTAACCGCTGAGCCAAACCGGCCAGGGCAATATTAACCATTTCAAAGTGAACACGCCAGTGGCACTTGGGACTGGCCCCTGTGGTGCGGCCTCCGCTGCTGTCTACTTCCCCGATGTTTTCGCGTCACACCACAGTCAAGCCCACTAAACACGCTCTCCTCCCTTTCTCCTCCCTGCAGCCCCTGGCAGTCACCAACCTGTTTTCTCGCGTGGGTTTGCCTATTCTGGATATTTCCTATAAATGGAGCCACATGATATGTGAGCTTATGAGAACGGCTTCTTTCACTCAGCACGAAGTGTCTGCGGTTCATCCGCATGTGAGCGTATATCAGTACTTCATTTCTTTTCAAGGTTCCTTCTTCTCTCCATGGTTTTCTGTCCCACCTGGATTGCGCTCTCCCTGTCTCCTCTGTGCTTATCCAATTAACTCATCAGGCTGAAAATTCAACAGCCTTTGGTGCTTTGTGACCACAAAGGTGACCACGAGAGGATGCGCCGACCTTCGTAATTCATTTCCTCCGCTTTCCCTGAAAGGCTAGGAAAAAATTATGTTGGTTGAAGTGTAGTTTCAAAACTTAATGAACCTGAAAACGAGGGCATTTAACTACTTATTCATGCAGAGAGCACCCAGAGACTGAAGAACTGCACAAAAACAGAAGTCTCTGAGTCACTTGTTAATGCTTAAATCTGGAAACCGTGACTCTGACTATAACACGTTCAAAAGCCCAGACAGGACACATCACATGAGCTTTCTCTCTCTCTGAGCTGATCCCTGTATCTTTCGTTTATTCTTGCCTTTCTGTTCTGCCAACTAGCAAAGGCTCTGTTTCAACAAGTCTTGGAAGCTTTGAGAGGTACTTCCCATCACTGTTCTTATCACACACTCTTCTTCATAAATAGAATTTTTTGCTAAGTCACCTGCGATATTACTTTGATAGGCAGGATAATGGCCCCCAAAGCTGCTCACATCCTAATCCCCGGAACCTGTGAAGATGTTATGTGGCAAGAGGGAATTAAGGTTGCAGGTGGAATTAAGGTTGCTGATCAACTGACTTAAGATGGGGAAATGAATCTGGATTATCCAGATGAGCCCCATGTAACCACAAGGGTCCTTCTAAGGGAGAGAGGAAGGAAGGGGGGTCGTTGTCAGGTGTGACGTGTGACGTGAGACAGGCTCCCCCGGCCAGGGCTGGCTTTGCAGATGGAAGGGGGGCATGCGCCAGGACAGAGAGGGAAGCCTCTAGAAGCTGGAAAAGCCGAGGAGAAAGTCTTCACTACAGCTTCCCTACCGACACTTTTGACTTTGGCCCACTGAGGCCCATTTCAGATCTGACTTCCAGAACATAAGACAATAGGTTTGTGTTGTTTTAACCCTTCGAGTTTCTGCCACTTGTTACAGTGGCAATAGGGATCGAATACAACAGCTGTTTACAAAAGTCAGGGAGAAAGAAACCTTACTTTCTATTATCTTGCTTTAAAACACCAGTTTGAACTGAGAAAGCCCTAAAATTAAAGGTGTTAACTACCCCTCTCACCCCCCTTGCTGCCCTGACTCCTGGGTTTGGTTGTTGCCCATCACTCCCCAAACCCCCTTTGGGTGGCAGCTGCAGTCATTACACCTCAGGTGCTGCTCCTCCAGTCGGGACTGCGGCCACCATGAGGGGTGTCCGAAACCAGGATGCTTATTTCTCAACATCATGTCCAAACTGAATAATCATGTCGATAATACCAAGTAATTGAGATGGTTCCCTTCTTTCACTGAACAATTTTAAACTTAATTTATAGTATGATTTTATTCATGTATTTATTTTAAAACACCTTAAGGATATGTCTTATCCAAAATAGCCCTGTATCCAGTCTTACGAAGTAAATGACTCTGTTGTTCGCTGTTGATTATCAGGCACCGATCCAGTCGGTAGTGCTTTGACTCGAAGAGTTGGTGTCTTCTTCACCTCACCCAGCTGCCTGCCTTTTTGCCTATTGCCCTATTTACCTCCCCTCGATGTGATAAGGAAGAAGAGGAGATGTAAGATAAGATTTGATCACTCAGTCTGTCTCCATATTAAGGTTTTGTTACTGAAGAGTTTGTCACTTCCAAGTTAGAGATGGAGGTAGTTGATCTGGCCAAAAACACAAGCCAGAACTAATGATCAGTAACAAAGAGCAATAATACTTTAAAAAAATAAGTCAACAGTAAGTTTTTCCTAAACTGAAGCTTTTTATTAAATTGTAAAAGTTACGCATGTTTGTTGTTAAAAGCAAATAGGATTATACAGATTGTTCATATAACGTAAAACACTTGCATTACCCATTTATTCGTCTGTATCTGGAAACAGTGTTGTTTCAATCATGAATAATATGTCTTTTTGCTATTTTCTCTTCCTATTTGTTTGCAAGGCTATAGAAGAATCACCAACGAGCTGCCGTGTAGGGAGTCGGTACCACCCCACCTCCCACCCCCCGCTTTGTGAATTTCAGTCTCCAGACTATTTCATTCTGTCTTGAGCACAGCTGAAACATAAATCAATACCCCAAATTTCACCCTCCCCCCAGCAGGACGTCTGTATCTACTGAAAATGGTTATGTGGATGTGACTTAAAGATTACATGCAGTGGCCCTGGCCTGTTTGGCTCAGCAATTAAAGCCTTGGCCTGCGGTCCAGAGAGACCCGGGTTCAGTTCCCGCTAAGGGCACGTACCTCGGTTGCAGTTTGTCCCCGGCCCCGGTTGGGTCTTGCAGGTGGCAGCCACTCGATGTGTCCCTTTCACGCTGATGTTTCTCTCTCTCTCTCTCTCTCTTCTTCTCTCTCCCTCCCACTCTATCTGAACAAAAAAATAAATAAATGTCCTCGGGTGAGGATAAAAAAAAAAAGATCACATGCAGTAAAGTGTTCATGTTGCCACATTTTCTGCACATTCTGTAACCAGAAATAATTTGAATAAAATTCATGTTCCAGACCAGCTTGTTTTGACATTTGACGCCTGCTTTCTGTAACATGAAATACATATGCTGTATGTTTTCTGCAATTGACCCTGAGTGATACACCACATAAATGCTTCAAGAGCACTTACCACTAAATTATGTTTCAAATTTTATATGGAATGGCACAGAGATCATAAATGTGCTTTGGGGTAAGTTTCTCAACTACTGGAGACCTGAGCAGCTGTTTCAAGCACCTTCTGGCACCACAGATGTTATCCATGTACGTGATCCACAATGTCAAGTGACTGAAGAAATGCATCCCCCATCCTCACTCCTCTTGGGAGAAGGGAATGTACCAGCATTAAGCCAGCACTGGGAGGGGCTGGTCACCTAAGTGACAGCAAAAGAAGCATCATTGTGACATTTCAGCATGAACTGGGTGAGTGAGTCAGTTAATGAATGGCAACAAGCTGATTATCAATGAGGTTGGAGATTAAAATTTTATTTGATGAAGGACGTTAAAATAGAGTCCAAAGGAAAGGAAGTTAAAAGTTCTTTAGCTAGAAATGTGGAATCATGGCACTGAAACAGTGTGCATCTTAAAAGTGAATAAATAGATGCTAAGAGTGAGTGAGTCAGAAGCACATGAGTTGTAAGAGGCTGAACTCCAGAGACTAGCTCAGGCAACACCATCACATGATCTGCCCCGAGGCCCATATTTAATTTAATTAAAATAAGGAGTGGGGCGCAGAAGAAGCCAGAAGAGCACTGCTGGTCTTAGCAGATGGAGCCAGGGGAGTTAGAAGTCAAACCTTGATTGCTGGTCTGTGAGAATTAAATTCAGCATGGGATGTCTCTACTGTTTCCTGGGGCTTCTGCTCCTGGCTGCAAGATTGCCTCTCGATGCCGCCAAACGTGAGTAATTCTCAGGGTCTGGGTTTAACCCGGTCTCAGGCTGTTGGTTGTCTGAAGTCATGTTGCCTGAGCCAGAAGCCGGACTCCACGCAACTCCTCAGGCAGGCTCCTCGCTCACTCATTTCTTCTTCTGAAACTGTAGGGAATGTCGGCACTACAACAAAATGCCTCCGGCTCCATTCTTTGCTTCAGACTCTTGGAAGCTAATAACCGTGCCGCCTCTCTCTTATGGGGCATTATTTTTTTCCATCACAGTTGTGACCTACTATCTTGCCAGACAGTGGGAGGGCGAGGGATGTGAGGGGAACAGTCTCTGGACTGAGAACAAAGTCACACTACCCACTAAACTTTGGTTTCTATCCAGGAGGGTGGAGAGCTCAGATAAAAGGGGACCCCAACTCTGGAGACAAGCTCTCTGATAATCCCAGCCCAGAACCTGCTGCTAACCTGCTGAGAGTTCTTCCCAGACCTGCAGGCTCTTGCAGCCGCGATGGTGAGGTTCCTGAGAGAGGAGCTGCCGCCCAGATCTCCGTTCTAGCTGTGCACTAACGGCTGGGGGCTGTTAACAATGCAGATGCCCAGATCTGTGACATCAGAATCTGGAGGTAGGGTTGGAGCACCCTTGTTTAAGAAGTTCCTCTTGTGCCCTGGCCAGTTTGGTTCAGTGGTTAGAGCGTTGGCCTGTGGACCAGAGAGTCCCAGGTTCGATTCCGGCTAACGGCATGTACCTCTGTTGCAGTTTGTCCCTGGCCCCAGTTGGGGTTGTGCGGAAGGCAGCCACTTGATGTGTTCCTTTCACGTAGGTGTTTCTCTCTCTCTCCCTCCCGCTCTATCTAACGATAAATGCAAAAACATCCTCGGTGAGGATTTAAAAAGTCCCTCTTGTGGTTGGCATGCAAAGCCAGAACGTTGCCCCACTGAGCTCGGAGGCAGCCCACTTGTCCAGTCCAGGGGGTGGGTGGTGATGGTGGTCCCCATCCTCCGGGCAGAATTAGAAAAGTAAATTATACGTCACCCAGAAGGGTCAATTCCACCTTTCTCCAAAAGAGTAGTGACAGTCACTGGACGAAAAGTCCAGGGACCCTGATTCTGCCAGGCGACCTGCTGGGGGCTGAGGGAGGTCGGCGCTGAGAAGAGACGAGCATCCTCTGTCCCCATGTGCAGCCTGTACGCCAGCTGCTTCTGTCCACTCGGGTAATCCCTGCAGCACCTTCGTGGAGCAGAGGATTTCCCCCTGTTCAACAGGTGAGGACACCAAGAGCCAGGTCTGCTTCTCACCTACTGGGCCCAGCTCTGAGAGAGAGAAAGCTCTTGGACCCATGGCCGGAGGGTCCTGTGACACATCCTTCCCCGCCTCCTCCTTGCAGGGGGGAGTGTCCTGCAGAGCGGGATCCAGGAGGGACTGTTGGGTGGAGAGCGGGAGGAACAGGGGACTGCTGGTAGCCCTGGAGGGCAGAGCTCAGTGTCCAGGGGCCGGAGAGGCCCAGGCAGGGGTGGAGAGGGGAAGGGGGTCCCGGGGGTCATGGGAGCCCCCAGTGGGGACAGCAGGGAAATGCTTGGGGGGAAAGGGAGGGAAGCGGCCAGTTCTCCAAACAGCTGGGGCTGGAGGTTCCGGTGGTGCCAGCCCCAGCAGACCCCACCGCCATCTCCTGCGACCGGAGCAGGAAAAGGCCCGCTGTCTCTGACACGGGAGTCCAGGTGCAGGGGCTGCTGTGGGTGCCAGGGCCTGAGAGCCACTGCTCGGTGTTGGCCTCACGTGATCTGTGTTAATCCCGTCTCCCACACCAGGAAACAGGCCACAGCGGGGGCAAGTAACTCTCCTCAGGCCACACGGCGGGCAAGAGGAAGGAGGCCGCTTCCCTGCAGCCCGCTGACCTTCCTGTGCTTGGACTGACTTGGGTTCCCTGCCAGCCGCGGGGCAGGGCCACAGCGACTTGGCTCCGGGGTGCTTTCATTTCCTCCTTTACAAAACAGGGCAATGGGGCTCTTGAGACATCAGCTAACAACAGGTGCTTGGAGTGGGAGACACACAAGGTAGCAATTGTCTTACCTCAGAGAACCTCCTGGGCAGACACCTGCCCCCCTGGAGTCTGCGGTCCGGGGAGATGGAGAGACAGAGAGCCGACAGGTTAGTGGAGGCCCCTGCAGCCAATTCTAGCCTCCATGCCACCAGCGTCCTTTGCTCTGCGCGGTAAAACACGAGCAGAGGTGGAATCTCTCCGTCAGTTTGAGAGGAATCCCTGCCTATTAGCTAACATAGCAAAACCCTGCCATTCCTGGCTTCACCTGGCCCTGAGCCAGAGATTCTGGCCAGAAAAAAAATAAGGATGGTGGGATTTAGCAGTATAGCAAACACTAAGGGATTCCTTGCCACTGTCAAATCCCAGCCTGGCAGGAAGGAGGCAGGAGGAGGAGTTGACAGAGCAGCTCACAGGCAGCCGCAGCTACCTCTCTGCGGGCGATGGACAGAGCAGGGAGCCCAGAGTGCAGAGGGAAAGCTGGCGCTGTGCGGGGTGACTCCGCTGACCTGCACAATTCCCCACCCCCGTACACACCCCTCTTTTTTCCTTCTAGTTTGCTTACTATTCTGTTTTATTTTATTTCTAATTCAATTTTTAATTTTGAGGTCAGTGTAGATTCACATACAGTTGTAAGAAAAACTACAAAGAGATCCCTCTGTACCCCGTACCCAGTTTCTGTCAATGGTAACATCTTCCAAAACTCTTTTACAATATCACAACCAGGATATTGACATTGATACAGTCAAAATATAGAATAGCTCTATCACTGCAAGGATCCCTCATGCCCATTTATAGCCAAACACATGTCCCTTTTCAACCTCATCCCACCCCTAGCCCCTGGAAACCACCAATTCATTTTCCATTTTTATAATTTTGTGACTTCAAGAATGTTCTGTAAATGGTATCATTACAGGTCATAATCTTTGGGGATTGGCTTTTTTACCAAAACATACTTTATTGAAGATGTTGCATCTATCAATAGTTCTTTTTTATTACTGAGTAGTATTCCATAACATGGATATACCACACTTTAACCATTCACCCAGTGAAGGATATCTGGGTTGTTTCAGTTTGGGCTATGATGAATACAGCTGTTAGAAACATTTATGTCCAGGTTTTTGGGTGAACATAACTTTCCATTTCTCTGGGACAGTTGCCCAAGAGTTCAATTACTTGGTTGCATGGTAATTACATGTTTAGTTTTATGAGAAACTGCCAAACTGTTTTCCAGACGGCTGCACCATTTTATATTCCCACCAGCAACGTATGAGTGATCCAGTTTCTTCACATCTGACCTACATTGGATGTGTCACTATTTTTATTTCAGTCATTCTGATAGGGTATAGTGGTATCTCGCTGTACTTGTCATGTGTATTTCCCCACTGGTCAGCAGCATTAAACATCTTTTCAGCCCTGGCCGGTTTGGCTCAGCAGTTAGAGCGTCGGCCTGCGGTCCGGAGAGACCAGGGTTCGGTTCCCGCTAAGGGCACATACCTTGGTTGCAGTTTGTTCCCAGCCCTGGTTGGGTTGTGTGGATGGCAGCCACTTGATGTGTCCCTTTCACGTCGAAATTTCTCTCTCTCTCTCCCTCCCACTCTATCTGAACAAAAAATGGAAAAATGGAAAAACATCTTTTCATGTGTTTCTCTGCTGTCTGCACATTCTCATCAGTGAAATGTCTGTTCAGGTTTTTTCATTGGATTGTTTGAGTTTTAACATTGAATTTTGAAATTTCCTTGTATATTTGAGATATTAGTTATTTATCAGAAATGCAGTTAACAAATATTTTCTCCCGGTTTGTAATTTGCCTTTTCATGCTCTTCACGTGGTATTTCAAAGAGCAGAATTTTTTCATCTGAATGAGGTCTAATTTATCATTTTTTCCTTCTATGGATCATGTTTTTGGTGTCACATCTAAGAATTCTTGCCTCGCCTGGAGCCTAAAGATCTTTCCTGGGCTTTTTACATGTAGCACCGTTTGCTGATAAGGCCAGCTCTCCTCCGTCAGACTGAGGTTGCCCCTTTGTCAAAAATCAGTAGGGTAGCCTGGCTGGTGCGGCTCAGGGAATTGAGCATCGTCCTATGGACTGAGAGGTCCCAGTTCGATTCCTGGTCAGGGCACATGGTGGGGTTGTGGGTTCGATCCCTAGAAGGGGGTATGCAGGAGGCGGCCAATCGATGTTCTCTCTCATCGATGTTTCTATTTCTTTCTCCCTCTCTCTTCTTTCTCTCTCTCAAATCAATAAAAGAAAAAAAAATTTTTTTTTAAATCAGTAGGGTATATTTGTGTGGGTCTATTTCTGGGTTCTCTATTCTGTTCCATGGACCTATGTCTATTCCTTGTCACTCTCCTTTTAATTTTGTATTTTTTTTTCTTGATTTCTGACATTTAAAGTCAGAAGAGAAATCTGCCTTTGATTATGTCTCTGGAAGCACTAACTTTCTCTCAGGAGCTGAGGAAGACTTTGGAACAGTGGGAAAGCTGGTCCTGGGAATCAGAAGATGTGAATCATATCACTTCTCTGGGCATGAATTTCTTCCTCTATAAAATAAAGGGATTTGAGCTAACTAATCTTAGTTCTTTCCAGACTGAACATTCTACCATTCTGTGACTCAGTTGGAGTGAATTTCTAGTTATAAACATTTATTGATAAGCATGCATGTCCTGCCCTCACTGAGTTGGATTATTTTCCAAATAGGAACAGTCTCACAGAATCACAGGACATTTGGTTTTTGTTTGATTTGAAGGCCCAGAGAAGACACATGACTGGAGGTCACCCAGTCTGTTTAGTAGCTGAACCAAGACTAAAAACCAGATTCAGTGACTCCCAGTTCAATGTTCTTTGCTATTCCAGCTTCCTCCCTTATAAGAAGGGAACAGCATGCTGTTCTCTCCTCCCTCCAAGGAGGAAGAATAGAAGACAGAGGTTAGTGGCATTCATTCAATATGGCTTCTCTACTACCTAGCAAATACCATACCTCGTGGAAGACCTCTTCCAGAATGTAAGAGAAGGCAATGTTTCTGGCTCTAAGAGTTCATGGCCATGCCAAGACATAAGACCATACGAATTGATGAGAGATTAGTTTATGATAGTATATGATTAGGGGCTGACTGAGGATAATACACAATTGAGTGTTTGACTGTGAGTAACAATACTCAAATAGGTTGAGTAACACAGTTATCTCAGTAAGTCCAGAGGTATGCAGGGGAAGAGCAAGAGCTCAACAACATCACCAAGAACACTTTATCCTTCCATTCTGAAATTCTTGATGTGTTGGCTTGCTTCCTGAGATTTGTGCCCTCATGGTTAAAGAGGGCTGCCATAGCTCCAGGCATCAAGTCATTGCCCTACCATCTCCAAAATCTATTCTGAGGAGAATTACCTAAACACCAAGTAAAAGGTAGAGTAGATTTTTTTAAAACCAACAATATGCTGTCTATAAGAAATCTACTTCAAATATTTATATATATATACATATATATGTATATATATACCTATGTGTGTGTGTATATATATATATGTATATATATATATAATAAAAAGATGTGCCAATTAAACACTGAGCATTAATATGAGGGTATTCTCAGAACAAGGAGTATTCCCAGAATTAGAAATCAATTCCTCGTGATAAAAGGATTAATTAATGAAGAAGATTTAACCATTGGAGCTCAAAATACATAAAGCAAAAACTGACAGAATTGAAAGAAGAAATTAGCAAATTGGCAAATCCATCACTATAGTTGGAGATTTTAACATTCCTCTCAGTAATTGAAAAAGCAAGTAGACAGAAAAACAATAGGAACATGGATGTCTCAAAAAACACTATCAACCAGCCTGACATAAACGACGTTAAAAAAAAAACAAAACACTTTACCCAACAACTCAAGTGCATAAGGAACATTTACCAAGACAGACCATATGCTGGGCCATAGAAAAATTTAGATGCAATAGTGGACTGTCCAGTATGCATCTCTTGGAAGCCTGGAGGCATTCCTAAGCCTGGCATTTCTTTAGCCAAGTAAACAATTCAGAATGGAAAAAGATGCAAAAACTGTTCTGAAGATCGTTGGCATCAGGGTTTTCCTAATGACACTGTGTCAAATCAAAATATTCAGAGACGATATATTGAAAGAACAAATGATGGCTAAGAAATACTGACTTTCAAATTTGTCTTTGATTCATCTAAAATACATGGAGAGATAACGTCCGGCCCTGGCCAGTTTGGCTCAGCAGTCAGAGTGTCAGCCTGAGCACCAAAGAAAGAGTCACGGGTTCAATTCCTGGTCAAGGGCATGCAACTGGGTTGCAGGTTTGATCCCTGGCCCCAATCAGGGTCATACGAGAGGCAACCCATCTTTCTCTCTCTCTCTCTCTCTCTTTCTCTCTCTCTCTCTCCCCCCTCTCTCTCTTCCTCTCCCTCTCCCTCTCCCTCCCTCTCTACCTAGAAAAATCAACAAAAAAATATCTCAAGTGAGGATAAACAAAAAGAGAGAGAGACATAGTACCTGAATATTTGTATTAAAGGTATTTCCAGTGGATATCTTTTTAAAAAACCTTTACTGGTTTGACATATTGGATATATTATATATATTCTTTCTAACCTTATGAAATGAAAAGTGGCATTAACCATTGTTAGGTAAGGACTAAGCAAGGGATAGCATGGACTAAATAATTGGTTTTTCAAAATCGGTATAGGATTCCATGATGTGCTGAGCAGTGAGAGACCTTCTGGTCATATGAGGGAGCACAACCGTTTAAATGGCTGGTCTTCAGATGAAAACGACTGGAATGAAAAACTCTATCCCATGTGGAAAAGAGGAGACCCAAGGTGGAGAAACTCCTGGAAGGGTAAGTCCAGGATTCAACCCCAACAACTGTCATTTACTGTTTAAATTAGTCTCAGATTGTAGACTTGGAGATCACGTGCTTTATGTTTTTTCTGTGAATGTTAGTCCTCTGGGCACCTGGATGGGGCCATCTCTCCATCTCAACATAGCACCTTCTAAGCCACACACAGACGAACAGTTTAACCTCCTTAGGATTTACAAGTCTGTAGTTTAGGGAAGATTTTGGAGGGTGAGCAGGTTTAGTCTCAAACCTATTTAACGTGTGAATGGTCATCTTCAGAAGATCTGAGACTCGAACAGTTTTTGACCATCTCAAAACTGCAGTTTGTCGGAAAGTGAGTATATTTCCGTTCACATGCATGAATGACTTCTTCAGTCATTGGTTTGGAGTTTTAAAGACCTGGCCGGTTTGGCTCAGCGGTTAGAGCGTCGGCCTGCGGTTCAGAGAGACCCGAGTTCAGTGAGACCCCGGTTCAGTTCCCACTAAGGGCACGTACCTCGGTTACAGTTTGTCCCCAGCCCTGGTTGGGTCATGTGGGTGGCAGCCATTCAATGTGTCTCTTTCACATCGATGTTTCTCTCTCTCTCTCTCTCCCTCCCACTCTACCTGAACACAAAAAAAAAATATGGAAAAATGTCCTCGGGTGAGGATTAAAAAACACGAATTTTTAATACTTGTATCTTCAGTCCAACTTATCAGATTTTAAAAATTATTTTAAGTGAATGTTCTTTCTGTGTTTAGAGAATTATTTAACTAGTCTGACTTCCTTTTATTATTTATCTTCTAGAATGTTGTATTCTCATAGCAAAAGTTAGGAATCCAGAAAACAAATTAATTTATTTTAAAGAAGCATGAAGATCCTCTGGCTGGAACATAGATGTAGATTTGACTTGAGGTCGTTCACCAGTGAACGGGAAGAGATGCCTGATCGCTGAGGCCACCTTTCTCTCTCTCTCTCTCTCTCTTTTTTTAATCTTTATTGTTAAATGTAGAATGTATTAGAGATGTTCCACATTTTCCCCCCATTGACCCCCTCCTCCCCACTTCCGCCCCCCCTCCCACCTTTTCCCACACTATTGTCTGTGTCCATTGGTTATGCATATAAGTTCTTCGGTTTATTTCTTCCCACCCCCCCAACCCCTTTCCCTTTGAGGTTTGTCAGTCTAGCAATGAATTTGTGCTTCTTAATCTCTTCACCTTTTTCACCCATTCCCCCAACCCCCTTCCCAACTGGCAACCAACAAAATGTTCTCTGTATCTATGAGAATGTTTCTGTTCTTCCTGTTCATTTTGTTTGTAGATTCCATTGTTGATAGATATGTATTCATTGCCATTTTGTTTGTTCATATATTTTATCTTTTTCTTCAAAAAGACCCTTCATCGTTTAATATAATAACGGTTTGGTGGTGATGAACTCCTTTAACTTTTTCTTGTCTGGGAAACTCTTTATATGGCCATCGATTCTAAATGACAGCTTTGCAGGATAGAGTAATCTTGGTTGCAGGTTCTTGCTTTTCATCACTCTGAATATTTCTTGCCACTCCCTTCTGACCTGCAAAGTTTCTTTTGAGAAATCAACTGATAGCCTTATGGGAACGCCCTTGTAGGTAACTAACTGCTTTTCTCTTGCTGCTTTTAAGATTCTCTCTTTGTCTTGAACCTTTTGCATTTTGATGATGATGTGTCTTGGTGTGTGCCTCTTGGGGTTCATCTTGTTTGGGACTCTCTGTGCTTCCTGGACTTGTATGTTTGTCTCCTTCACCAAGTTAGGAAAGTTTTCTGCCATTATTGTTTCAAACAGGTTTTCGATTTCTTGTTCTCTCTCTTCTCCTTCTGGCACCCCCAAGATGCGAATGTTGGCACGCTTGAAGTTGTCCCAGAGGCTCCTTACACTATCTTCATTTTTTTGGATTCCTTTTTCTTTTTGCTGTTCTTATTGGGTGTTTTTTGCTTCCTTATATTCCAAATCAATGGTTTGCTTCTTGGATTTACGTACTCTACTATTGAATCTTTGTAAATTATTCTTTATTTCAGTTAAAGCCTCCTTTGTTTCTAACTGTGCATTGATCATTTCTGACTGGTCCTTTTTTATGCTCTTGAGGCCCTCACTGAGTTCATTGAGCATCCTTATAAGCAGTATTTTGAACTCAACATCTGTTAGGTTGCTTATCTTCATTTTGCTTAGTTCTTTTCTTGGGGTTTTGTTTTGTTCTTTCATTTGGGACCTGTTTCTTTGTCTCTTCATTTTGGCTGCCTCCCTGTGTTTGTTTCTGTGTATTACTTAACGAGCGGTATGGGGCTAGCTGAGACCAGATGCTGCTTGTTTGAAAAAATTTAGGAAAAAGCTGAAGCAGGATCCAAGACAGGCCAATCCTACGGTTAAGCAACTGGCAACAACTTGGGTGGGCTTGAAAGTTGGGTGGGGTGGGGCCTCAGGGAGTCACCAGGGTGGGGCTCCCAGTGTGAGCCAGGTTGCTGGAGTCCCAGATATGGCGACTGTCTGCCGCCCCAGGGAAGGGCTCACCAAAGGAACAAAGGCCTCTGACAGCACGTTGGTCCCAGCGAAAGCCCCCTCTCCAGCCCTCGCTCCAGTGCCAAACAGCTCAGTTCTTCCCTGTATGTCTCTAGCGCCCCTCAAGCTGCCTCCCCTCCGAGCTTAGAGGAAGAGAGTCCGGTAAGTCCATGTGTGGGCCCTTTAAGGAGCTGCCTGGGGCTCCAGCCGCCTCAGCCTCCCTGAGCCTCAGTTCCTGCTGGTTTTCCAGCCAGAAGTTATGGGGACTTCTCTTCCTGGCACTGGAACCTGAGCGGGGCACCTGGTGTGGGACGGGGACCCCTCAGTCCTCAGGAAGGACCTTTCCAGCCGAGATGTCCTCCTGATTTTTATCCGCCACACGTGGGTGTGGGACCAGCCCATCTCGCCCCTCGCGCCTCCGCCCCTCGCGCCTCCGCCCCTCGCGCCTCCGCCCCTCGCGCCTCCGCCCCTCGCGCCTCCGCCCCTCGCGCCTCCGCCCCTCGCGCCTCCGCCCCTCGCGCCTCCGCCCCTCCTCCTACCAGTCTTGTTGCAGCTTCTTTAATTCCATAGTTGTAGGACTTCCATTCAGCTGGATTTCAGGCGGTTTTGAATGATGGTTGTTCTGTAGTTTAGTTGTAACTTCGATGTGGTTTTGGGAGGACCATACCGCGTTTACCTACGCCGCCATCTTGACCGGAAGTTCCACCTTTCTCTTTCTAGGAGGCCACGTGCAGGCAGTTCTGACCAGTGACTCTCCAGCGCTGGTGGGCTCAAATATAACATTCGTGGTGAACCTGGTATTCCCCAGATGCCAAAAGGAAGATGCCAATGGCAATATAGTCTATGAGAAGAACTGCAGAAATGGTAAGAAATGTCATTCACATCACAGGAACACGCCAGTTTCTCTAACTACTAGAGACCTTGATCCTCACAGGTGCTTCCCTGATAACACAAGATGCTGCTGTCATCCCACATCACCCTCTCCTCAAGGTGGATGATGGGGAGGGTGAGTGTATGATTCCACTGAGGCCCTTCATCAACATTAGCCAATCACACTGCAGCAAACAGATGGCTCTCTGCTACTTGGAACCCTCTGTAATGTTTTTTTTTAATTGACTTTTTAGAGGGAGAGGAAGAGAGAGATAGAAACACTGATGAGAAAGAGAAGCATCAACATCCATCAGCTGCCTCCTGCACCCCCCCGCCCCCCAGGGATTGAGCCCACAAACTGGGCATGTGTCCTGACTGGGAATTGAACCAGCGACCTCTTGGTGCATGGGTCGACACTCAACCACTGAGCCACATCAGCTGGGCAAGGATTTGATAGTTTAAGTGTTGTATTTAATATTCTGTAGCATTTTTCTCTTTTTTCCTAAAAAAAAACGAGTCTTATGAATGTTTCAAACAACGATCTAGCCCTCTGAGCATATTTTATATGAAAGAGTTCTTGCAACTTTTGAAAATTGTAACAAAATGTCTATCACCACTAAAAAGACCTAGAGATCTTTGAAGAAATGACTGATTCCAGGTATTGGGCAGGAAGTGTACCAGGTGAGCCTGGGTTATCGTCAAGCGTGGGAAGTGCTCAAAGACTAATGGGGACATGTCACAAGGATACAGAAGCCAGCTTGAAGGGGCTCTCACTGGCCTTGAGTCAATTTAAGAATAAAAAATACAACCCTGGCTGGTTTGGCTCAGCGGTTAGAGCGTCAGCCCGCAAACCAGAGAGTCCCAGGTTTGGTTCCCGCTAAGGGCACGTACCTCGGTTGCAGTTTGTTGCTGGCTCCATGGGGTTGTGTGGGTGGCAGCCAGTTGATGTGTCTCTCTCATATCAATGTTTCTCTCTCTCTTTCTCCCTCTCTTCTTCCTGTTATATCTGAGGATAAATGCAAAATATACCAAGAGGGAAAGGAATTGTTCTAGATGAAAAAATATTGATCATGACTTGTGTAAAACGAAACATGCCATACATACAGAAAAATAGAAAGCAGGGTACATTGAGCAGCTAAATGCCCTGCCTAGATCCAGCAATTCAACATTCTGCCATATTTGCTTGCTCTCCCTCTCTTTCTTCCTTCTTTCCTTCCTTCCTCTCTTTCTGAAACAAAATAGCCAAATGTAGTATGCAACACTTGGTTACTGTGGTAGGGGTGGTAATGGCATTGTGTATATATAGGAGAATACCCTTATTCTAAGCAGATGTGTGCTGAAGTCTTTAGCAGTGGACAGTCGTAATGTGGACAGATGGAGTGTATCGAAATAAAAAGATAAAGCAACGCTCCATTTGGTTTGAATACAATTGTGATTTGGAGACCCAGTATGAAGATAAAAGGTATCAAGTTACATCTCTAGATTGAATTTTCCTGAATAATTGCTCTATAAAAATTACTAAAATTGGCCCTGGCCGGTTTGGCTCAGCGGTTAGAGTGTTGGCCTGTGGACCAGAGAGACCCAGGTTTGGTTCCCGCTAAGGGCACGTACCTCAGTTGCAGTTTGTCCCCGGCCCTGGTTGGGGTTGTGAGGGTGGCAGCCACTCAGTGTGTCTCTCTCACATCGATGTTTCTCTCTCTCTTCCTCCCTTCCTCCCTCCCGCTCTGTCTGAAGATGGATGCAAAAAAAAAAAAATGTCCTCGGGTAAGGATAAAAAAAAATTACTAAAATCGAACATATATGCGGAAAAAATGCACAGGTCATAAATGCGTCATTGGATGAATTCTGAACCTTAGGGTTGTAGTTGTTCAACTACATTTAAACTAGTTTTGGAAAACTGTAAAAAGTGTTTAATTCAATGGTAAGCAGTGAGCTTCCTGATCCAGATGACAGTCGTGGTTTTTCCTCCTCTGTTCAGGGACAGGCCCCTCTCCTGACCTGTACGTGTACAACTGGACAGCGTGGGCTGAGGACAGCGACTGGGGAAACGACACTGCCCAGAGCTTCCACGTGTTCCCGGACGGAAGGCCGTTCCCACACCACCACAGATGGAGGAAATGGAGCTTCGTCTACGTGTTTCACACACTTGGTTGGACTTCTGCAAATCCCCTTAGCTTTTCCTTTACCTTTCCTTCAAATTTTAATTTTTTTCTCTTTTCTTATTCTATAATCAAGAATTAATAACACTGAGAGTTTAATCATAGTTAATCTGTTAATTTTCCAGAGCAGGGATAAGGGTGAGAGATTAAAATATATATATATTGATTCGTCTTGCAAAATCTCCAGGACACCCAGAATTAAAAGGAGAAAAAGAAAAAGAAAAAAAAAAAGATTCTGCTTTCCTCTTTAAAACAAACTATTAAATTTTTTTCTGTCTAAAACAATAATCTGAAAAATACAAATATTTATTTATTTGAAGGGCACACAAATGGGCATTTGTTGATTTATTCGTTAATTTCTTATATTTTTCAAATGAATTTTAAGAATTAAAGAAATAGTTTTTAAGGAAATTTGGAAAATGCAGAAAAGTACAAAAGAAAAATAAGTCATCTATAATTAACGCCAGAGATTACCACTGGTAACATGATGGTGTTTTCTTTGCTAGTATTTCTTTATTACGATTATAATGTATACACATTTTTTCTTGATATCATGAGTGTTTGACTATATAATTAAAATTCTTTATATATGTCATTTTAATGACTGCCTAATATTCCATTGTGTAGAAATAACATAATCTAACCACTACTGTTCTTTAGCATAGCCTACCCGTTTTTCTTTTTTTAAAACCATAAATGGTATCCACTTTGCTTTATTACAGGCCAAGTGATTATTTTTAAGAGGTGCAAAGTTAGGTTATTACTAGCAAAGCTGCTAAGTCTGTAGTTAAAATGTCACCAGGTGCCACCAGGCTCCAAGGATCTGAAAACTGCTACCAGTAGTGCAGCCTCCAAATTTCTAAATGTTTTGTCTTTTTTTGTAAATCAGAGAAAGCTTCTCTTTCTCCAACTGACTTATTTACAAATCAAAACAAAATACTAATAATACATTCTGGATGAACAAATTACAAAAGATATGTCAGATATTATGCCTGTCTGTTTGTTAGTTTGTTTATTTATAATTCCTCACCCGGGGATAATTTTCTATTTATCATCAGATACAATGGGAGGGAGGAAGGGAGGGAGAGAGACAGAGAGAAATATCAATATGATAGAGCCACACCAACTGGCTGCCTCCTGCACGACCCGAGGGCCAGGGATGAACCACAACCAAGGTAGGTGCCCTTGACCGAAATCAAACCCGCAACCCATTGGTCCACAGGCCAACGCTCTAACCACTGAGCAAAACTGGCCAGGGCTATGCCTGCCTATTTAAATCAGTTGAGCCCTGACTTTTTTCAATGCTTTTATGGCCCTGTCTGTCACCTCACCAAATGTCATGATTCCTTTGACCTGACATGGAGCGTTCACGGAGTCACGTATGCTCACTAACACGTGAGTTAGCCTCTGTTTAGCCTAGTTAACATCCATTCACTTAACTAGTTAAGATGTCTTCCTTTTATTTCACCTTGCAGCCTGAAATTGCTGTTTTTCTAACAAGACTGTTTCGAATTTCCATTTTCTGCTGAGGTCTCAGAGTGAGCTGACACTGTCCCTCGACTAAGCATTGTGCTCTCAGTGCCAGAACTGACGTTTTCCTCACGTATGACCAGCACCCTCAGAGACACTTCTCCCCCACACCTCCATCAGAGAGGCCGCTGCAAGTCAACGTAAAGGGGGATCCCAATTACACATCCCGTAGAAGACGAGTGCATGTTTCTGACACCTTTGACCAGATGACAGACCTGGTCTTTAAACACCCCCGTCTCACAAGCACCCATCTCACAATACCTGTTGTTCCAACGACACACCCCTACCGAGTGCTCCACGCAATAGAAACATCCTTGAGCCCTGCAGGAGAGCGAGTACTTTCACTACTAGACAGTGGCCGTCAGAGTGAGGACAGGGTTCAGAAAGAAAAGGAATGGCTCGAGGGTGGCCGAGGGTGGGTGTAGGGAACCACTGCATCCCTTTGTGTACCCGCCATACCTTCCACCGCCTACTGCATGTTGATTAGCAAATACTATTAGAAAGTGGAGGACTCTAGTCCCCTAAAAAAAAACAAAAAAGGCTGTTTAATTAATATAGCTGAAATAGTATTATTATTACAAAAATAAGGTAGATTCTCAGATAAAATTTTTAAAACTCTACTGGACACCTCACCATTATATTAAATGTATTTTTGGTGGGAAATACATGTATTTCAAGTGCCAGATCACTGATTTGTAAAAAGTATTTTATTTGTGAACTAATGACTATATTATCCCACTAAATAGCTCTGTTCATTTAAACTATGCAATTACATTTATTTAATTGTGAGTTTGTTGTATAAGGTTTTACATAAAAATGAGCACATCAGTGGTTAGAGAGTCGGCCTGTGGTCCAGAGAGACCTGGGTTCAGTTCCCACTAAGGGCACGTACCTCGGTTGCAGTTTGTCCCCGGCCCTGGATGGATCCTGCTGGTGGCAGCCGCTCGATGTGCCCCTTTCACGTCGATGTTTCTCTCTCTCTCTCTCCCTTCCACTCTACTGAACAAAAAATGGAAAAATGTCCTTGGGTGAGGATAGAATGAATGAATGAATGAATGAATGAATGAATGAATGAATGAATGAAATGAGCACATCTTCCTTTCTGAAGCAGCCGGGACCACATTCCCATCCCGCTTTTCCCTCCCCTCGGGAAGTTCTAAATGACAGGCTAGTCATTAAGAAACAACTTCCTATAATGATCATGGATTGTAAACAATAACTAAATATTTCCACCCTCTCACAGGTCAGTATTTCCAGAAATTGGGACAGTGTTCAGCTAGTGTTTCTATAAACACAACCAATGTGACGCTTGGCCCTCAATTCATGGAAGTAACTGTCTTTAGAAGAGACCGACGGACATATGTTCCCATCGCAAAAGTGAAAGATGTGTATGTGGTAACAGGTGAGTGGTGTGTACCCTAAGGTAACTGACGACGAGGCCCTTTGTGCTCTGAGGTAGTGGATTAAGATAGAGTTGGAGCCCAGTGTTCTGGGTTAGGTTACAGTTAATCGGGACTCCTTCTCGAACGTATACTGAATGATGTATTCCCTCTGTCTTCCAGATTAACTTGGGAAAACTTGCATAGGAAAAGGAAAAATGATGCTGACTTAGTCCTAATTTAAATTTTTAACTTAAAAACAGTATTGAAGTCATCCACTTAAAATTAAACAATCATGCATTCTTCTTCCTTTTTTATACATATATATCCTTTAGATCAGATTCTTATATTTGTGAATATGTCCCAGAAGAATGATCGAAATTCATCTGATGAAACCTTCCTCAGGGACATCCCCATTATGTTCAATGTCCTGATTCATGACCCCAGCCACTTCCTGAGTGCGTCCACCATTAACTACAAGTGGAACTTCGGGGATAATACCGGTCTGTTTGTTTCCAACAATCACACTTTGAATCACACGTATGTGCTCAACGGAACCTTCAACCTGAACCTCACTGTGCAAGCTGCAGTGCCCGGACCTTGTCCTTCGCCTTCACCCAGACCTCCAAGACCCACTCCCTCTTTCTGTAAGTGTTTACCGGGTGATCTCTGGGGACGGGGCCCTTAACTGCTAAGAGGAAAATTCATGTAAGTTAGAGCATAACATCCCTAGTTAAAAGGATTGTGGACAGACTCTGCAAAAATCTGTTGATTTTTAAAGCCATTTTATCACTATTTCAAGCTGTGAGAATATGGAAGAAAGGAGAATATGTTTAAAGTCACTTTCAAGTAAACCTTGGAGGCTGGTAAACAGCTCTTTGGCCCTCCCAATGTTCACTGGCCTTTGTCACCTGCACGGATGCTGCCTCCTGCTAGCTCATCACATTTCTGTTCGTCTCCCTCTTTTTGTCGCTCTGAGAAGACACGCTGGCCCCTTGTAAACGTTCAGGCCATCCCTCTTCCCCCCTGCCACCTTTCTCCCCACTTCCATTGCTCCCTGCCCTGCTCGCGTCCACCTAGTGTCCCATGAAGACACAGCCACACTTGAAAGCACTTTCTAAATGGCCATAAAGGAATGTGCCTTGAGAATATTTTTTGGCCAGCAAGCTGGAAAAACTCCAGGCATTACAATTGTTCTGGATATAAGCCTTAATTAATTAAATAACACCCTCTGCTAATAGTATATGAGAACATTCAAGAAGTTCTTAACCACCACCATCACCCACCACCACACCACACCACCCACCAACCACCACCTACCACCCTACCACCATACCACCACACCACCTACCACCATACCACCACACCACCCACCATAACACCAACACCAACACCACCCACCACCACACCACCCACCACCATACCACCACACCACCCACCACAACACCAACACCAACACCACCCACCACCACACCACCCACCACCATACCACCACACCACCCACCACCACACCACCACTCACCACCATACCAACACCACCACCACACCAACACCACAACACCAACACCACCCACCACCACCACCACCCACCAACATAACACCAACACCACAACACCACCACCACCCACCACCACCACCACACCACTACACCACCCACCACACCACCACCACCACACCACTACACCACCCACCACACCACCACCACCACACCACCTACCACCACCACCACACCACCACACCACTCACCACCACCACCACCACCACACTACCCACCACCACACCACACCACCACCACCCACCACCACACCACACTACCACCACCACCACACCACCACACCACTCACCACCACCACCACACCACCACACCACTCACCACCACTCACCACCACCACCACCACCACACCACCACACCCCACCACCACCCACCACCACACTACCTACCACCACACCGCACCACCACCACCACCACACCACCACCACCACCACACCACATCACCACTCCACCACACACACAAAAAGTTCTTAAGAGTCTACTACGGGAAGCTTTAGCTTTCATCTGATTCCTCCACCCTTCCCCACACAGCCATTAGCTCATCTTAGCACCCCGGGATCCAGGGGATTGTCATAGACTGACATCCTCTCATTGGACACAAGAGGGCGCCATCACCAAGCTCAGAAAGACAGTGCCATCATGATGTCCAAACTTGTCATTGTCTTTACCAAAAACCTGTTAATTATAAGTAATAAACTGTCAGAATAGTGTTATTAATAAAATGAGATATTGATAAACCAAAAATATGTAAATCAAGACACTGTAATTTATTACTGATTTTGATTAATTTTTTGAAAACATTTTTAAAATTTTTATTTATTTATAATTGCTTTTAGAGAGAGGAAGGGAGGGAGGGAGAGATAGAGAGAGAGGAGAGGGGAAAAGAGAAGAAAGAGAAAGAAACATGGATTTGTTGTTCTACTTATTTATTCATTCATTGGTTGAATCTTGTATGTGCCCTGACTGGGGATCGAACCCACAGCCTTGGCAAATAGACATGATGCTTGCTCTAACCAACTGAGATACCTGGCCAGGGCCTTTCTGTTTTTTAAGGTGTTAGTTTTTCTCCATCAGCCCTATATCATACTTTGACTTTACAAACACAGAGATAAAGATATAAACTTGACTTTAGATATGTCTGCAAAACAACATGCATTTTTATAAGCATTCTACCAAAGATAAAAATCAACATTTTATTAACAAAGATAAAAATCAATTTATTATTATTATTTTTTTTAATCCTCACTCAACGACACTTCACTATTTATCTTCAGATAGCATGGGAGGGAGAGAAAGAAACATTGATGGGAGAGAGACACATTGAGTGGCTGCCTCCCGCATGACCCTGACCAGGGCCGAGGACGAACCGCAACCGAGGCACATGCCCTTGACTGGAATCAAACTCATGACTCTTTGGTCTACGGGCCAACGCTCTAACTGCTGAGCCAAACCAGCCAGGACTCTTTGATCATTTTTTAAAGTTTTATTTTAAAATATAGCAGAGTCATGATTCCATGCTCTAACGTGACAGCTAAATTCTGCCTGTCAAGAACCTCCAAAGAAGAAGTTTTCTAGTTTCCTGGGAATTGCCAGCCATCTTTAACACCCCGTGCAAATAAATCTATTGCTACAGAACATATTAGTTAAATCTCAGGACAAAATGAATGATTATCCTGTAACTTCCAAAGGACCACTGGGAAACCCAGGGGACATCCCTAAGAGTCTGCCCCAGACAATCCTGCTGATAAAAAACAAAAAAACACTAAATCCAACACAACATTGGAACCCTTCTGGATTTGACCCAAGTGGCATTTCCCCAAGTGTATGCTGTGGAACACTTACTTCCAGAGACGCCCTGAGATACTGTAAGAGGGCCCCCTCTGTGCGGAGAAGCATCACCCCAAAGGGCCCTGAGGAGCCCTGGAGAACGTTCCCAATCAGCGTCTAACTACATAAGATGTGTCCCTTATGTAGCCCTTCCCACAAAACTGGGTCCATTTTCATGCCTTTTGAAATTTTAGAGAAGGTAATGTTGCATTTTCAGTAACATATTTTCTTTCCAGTCTTTTTATCTTCTTAAAGGAATACCAATGCCTTAATTAGCGCTTTTGAAATTATAACTAATTATCTTTCTATTGAGGCAAAATTGATATATAGCATCATATTAGTGTCAGGTGTACAGAGCATTGAATTCTTTGCTCCAATCATACTCAAAAGGTTATTTTTTAAAAACATCTCGTGTCCACTCCTTTGCCTTCCTACCTCTCTGTTCACCAGTAACGGTGACTTTTAGAATGTAAGCTTAGCAGCTACGAGACTTCCAAACAGGGAGGAAATTGCCTTTTTCCATGTTGCTTGGTTCTTAATTTATTGTGCACCAACCGTACTATTTTAAATTATGTGTCTTACATATGTTGTAGCATACCATTTCTAAATAGATGTATAGAAGTACACGTTGGGACAAGGAAGCTGATATGTATTAAGTACTTCCTATGTGGCAGGTATGAGAAGCAGATTTTATATACCTCATCTCATTTAAGTTACATAGTTCAACCCAACTAGGTCAGGAAGTATTATTCCTATTTTACAGATGAGTAAATTGAGGCAAAGAGGGATGAAATAATATGTCCATGGTCTCAAAAAGCTAAAAACAAAGGACCTGGAATTTGAGCCCAGAATATCTGCCCCCAGAATTAAAACAGGACTACCTGTCATGGCCTGCTTTATGTCGTCATGATTGCTGTATCACACATTTTAATATGGCGTCTACCCTTCATTTGCTTCCTGTGTTTATTTATTTATTTTAAATACGTTTTTATTGATTGTTTTAGAGAGAGAGAGGAGGGGAGAAAGAGACAGAAACATTGATGGGAGAGAGAGATATTGATCGGCTGCCTCCTGCACGCCCCACACTGGGGATCAAGCCTGCAACCCAGGCATGTGCCCTGACCGGGAATCCAACCGGGACCTCTCAGTCCATGGGCCAACACTCAGTCCACTGAGCCACACCCGCCAGGCTGCTTCCTGTGTTTAAACAAGATATGGGATTGTGTTTACTTGGATAATTTAATAATTATAATGCCTTACAGCTCTCACATCTATATGAATCATTACACATTTAGCTCAAATTTCTGCAGCAATTTAAAAGTATAGGATTCTTGATGTTTTTCTAAAGAGCAGGTAGACAGCTGCTTAGATTTTTGGTTCTATATGTACATCTTTTACATTCTTGGCAACTAATCTAAACTCTATTATTTAAACTCTCCAGCACCTGTTGATGACAGCCCCCTCGAGTTGTGGGAGATTCCTGATGAAGACTGCAAGATTCACAGATACGGTCACTTTAAAGCCACCATCACAATTGTAGGTAAGACTAGCAGGGGAAGGATGTTAGAATCTACCACAGGCCACCCACTCGCTTCATTGACTCTGGAGGGTGCGGGTGGGGAGCAGCAGCACCCACTCTCTGTCCAAGGCGATGCCGCATGTGCACAAACAAAGGCTCCACTAGTTTCTAGATTCCCACCTGTCTACCCCAGCCTTCCTATCCACATCCTCATCCTTCATGAGGCCCACATGCTGACAAGTCTACCTGGGGCCTGGATCTCCAACCCTGTGCATCCCAGAAATCTGAATGAATGAGCCTTGAAAGAAGGCCAGTAACAAGTTCCCACAACTTCCGCTTTCTTCCCTGGCTGATTTCACAAAGTCACACTTCTTCTATGTAAGAAATGTGAATGAACAGAGCCACCACACGTGGCTGTACATTCTAGGGACAGTCCACAATCACCCAGTAGAGAAGACAGGTAAGGTCTGAAGCCCAGGCCGTACACCCTAGTTCTGGGGATGGGGGCTAGAACCACACTGCACCCTGGGGCTGAGCCACCTCACCAAGAGAAGCTGGCCGGGGTCTGAACCTGGGCTGCATCCCCCAGGGGCACCTTTTCCTAGAACACCTGCCCAGAGTAGGTGCTGCCTTCTAACAAGTGCACAGGCTCCAGGAATAAGGAGCGAGGTTGGGCTGAAGGGAGTTCCGTTTGACTCTGAAAGTGCTGTGTTGACATATGCGCAGAGCAGTGGGGCAGATTCCTGGATCTGCTTTACTAGGTGTGGCAGAAGGCTGTCTCCATTTTGTCTGGCCTTCTGATTTGTGGAGGAGGAGTTTGATTTGGGTTGGTTTCTATCGCCTTTTGATGTGTTTTTCCATGGGGTTTGTTTTGTTAGAGGGAATTCTAGAGGTGAACATCGTTGAGATGACAGAAGTTCTGATGCCTGTGCCACAGCCTGATGACCCCCTGATGGACTTCGTTGTGACCTGCCAAGGGACGTGAGTACATCGTCTCTAGCAGAGGATGGTCCAGTGAGGACCCCAGCCTGCAGAGGGGCCTTAACGTCAGTCTCCCCTTCTGGGCAGATTTCTATTGCTAGTTCATCCGTAAGCCAGGACCAGGAAGGGCCCTTCAAGGTGCTCTGAAGGATGCATTGGTTTTGCTAGAGTTGAGCAATGCTCATTACCTTTAACTGTTGATGAAGTTGAATAATAATTATTGATCGAACATTTACTATGTTCTTAACATTTTACATCTGTTCTCCTACTGAATCCTCACACAATCCTATGAGTCTCCTCATTTTACAGATGGGGCCACAGTGATTCTAGAATTTGCCCCCATAGACAGTGAGTACCCGGGAGAGCACAGTTCACAGGCTAAGGTGTGGCTCAGCACCCCACTCTTTTTAAAAACAATATCTTTTTATTGGTCTTAGAGAGGGAGAAAGGGAGAGGGAAGAGAGAGAGAAACAGATGTGAGAAACACCAATTGCCACCTCCTGCACGCACCCTACTGGGGATCAGCCTGCAACTCAGGCATGTCCCCGACCAGAATCCAACTGGTGATCTTTTGGTGCACAGGATGATGCTCAACCAACTGAGCCACCCCGGCCAGGGCAGAACCCCACTCTTAAGCTCCCTGAGCCTCTTCCAGATTGGCAAGAGGCCAGTGTGGAATGGCTGGGTCCTAGCATTAATTAACAGCAAAGCCTGATAATCCTGTCTCTATAATTTACAAAGCTCTTCTAGTGCATTATATAATTTGACTTTCTAGGGTTTGGTTATAACTATATCTAATAGACGAAATATGTATTATATCACTTAATTAAATGTTAATGAATTAACTGATTCACATGTACGTAAGTCAAGTAGTTAAAAATGTATATGTATGTAAATGTATAAATTAATCAAGAACATGGGACAGTGTCAAATGGCAGCTAAAATGCTCTCTGGCTTGGGAGAGGGGTGGAATGAGGACGGACAGAAACGAGAGAAGAAGCTGAAGGCGTAGGCTGCGGCAGAGGCCAGGGTGAGCCTCCGTCTCATGCCACCCCCATCAGACCTCGCATCAGAGCTCGGGGTGTCCCTCCAGGGAGTCGCCTCGGAAGTGAATCAGTGGCTAAGGCAGTCATGCATGGCCAGGCAAGCCTAGTGGTCACAAAGACAGCTGTCAATCATCTGTTGTTCAAGTCCCAGCCCCACCTCTGACTGCTGTGTGACCGTGGGCCAATTATTTTCCCTCCCTGGAGTGCTTTGTAATATTTGGATAATATTACTTATCAGGTCATTGAGCGGAGTAGACAGGCTTGTCATATACCGAAACCTCAGGGCCTTGCACATAGTAAGTACACATCAGCTGCCGTCGCTGCTGTGGTGGCTTCCTCCGCAGGAGCCCAGGCAGGGCTGGCGCTGGCCTTCAGCAACATCTTTGCCTGACACCTACGCTGTCTGCGTACTGCAGAGCCAGACAGTGGAGGGACTGACTGGGCCTTCGCACCCTTTCCAGTAGCCCCTTGCCTCGGGGGACATATTTCTCCCTGTTCCACACCCAGGGCCTCACCTTCCGGAAGACACAGAGGAAACTGTAGTTCACTCCCAAGCTTGTTCAAGGGTAGATTATAGGTGACAGTTCGAAGTCATAGAGTTTGAGTTCAATTCTATGGCAATGGTGACGTTCCCTTTAAACCTGTTGCATCCCTCTCTCCCTCTCGGTGCCATCGTGCCCTCAGCAGCCCCACAGAGGTCTGCACCGTCGTTTCTGACCCCACCTGCCAGGTCGCCCAGGACACCGTCTGCAACCCCGTGGAGGTGGACGTGGGCGACGCGTGCTTGCTGACCGTGCGCCGAGCCTTCAACGGCTCTGGGACGTACTGCGTGAACCTCACTCTGGGGGACAGCGCGAGTCTGGCCCTCACGAGCACCCTCGTCTCTGTCCCAGGCAGACGTGAGTTTCGTTTTGTGCTGTGGGAGCATTTTATGTTGCAGAGCACGGGTGTTGCGTTTAATACTCAAGCTCTTCAGAGCTTTGTTACCAATGTTTAATTTTATTTCTGCACAAAATTCATTAAACTGTTGTTAACGTGGACTTGAGGCCTGGCATTAAAATCCAACAGCGAGTCTATTTAGGGAAGAGATGAGAGACCGGCTGAAACAGTGGCCCAAGGAAAGCCTTTTTTTTTTTTTATCCTCACCCGAGGATATTCTTCCATTTTTTGTACTGATAGAGTGGGAGGGAAAGAGAGGAAGGGAGAGAGAGAGAAACATCGACGTGAAGGGACACATCGAGTGGCTGCCACCCGCACGACCAACCAGGGCCAGGGACAAACTGCAACCAAAGTACGTGCCCTTAGCGGGAACCGAACCCGGGTCTCTCAGGACCGCAGGCCGATGCTCTAACCGCTGAGCCAAACTGGCCAGGGCAAGGAAAGCCTTTTGATAAAAAACTCAGCTGTGATCATGGAGCAGTGCTAATGGGATGTGGTCCCTGTGTGCTCAGATAGGGTGGCATTTCAACGGGGACGTGTAAACCAACATCCAAAAGGAACACTGTTCTCCAATTAATCTATGACAGAGGGGAGGCTGGTATCATGTCACTGGAATCCACCTGGGCAAAGAAGAGAGAAACAAAATAGACTCCTCGCTTCCTTCTTTTTTGTGTGTGTGTGTTAATCCTCACCTGAGGATATTTTTTCCCATTGATTTTTAGGGAGAGTGGATGGGAGGGGGCAGAGAGAGAGACATTAATGTGAGAGAGACACATCGATTGGTTGCCTCCCACATGTGCCCCCACTGGGGCTGGGGTTCAAACCTGCAACCCAGGTACGTGTCCTTGACTGGAAATCGAACCCACAACCCTTCGGTGTGCGGGCCGACACTCTAACCGCTGACCCACACCGGCCAGGGCCTCGCTCCCTTCTAACTTGCTACGTGTCCTCGTTCCCTTCCCAAATTCAGCCAAGCATCACACGGAGACGTAAGAAACCAACTTACCTATTGCTCAGGTGTTCACCTGAAAAACTAATCTTCACCCTCCTAATGCTTGGAGAGGTGGGATGTTTACAAAGTGGACTAAGAATTTCACTGAGAAATTTTTATTTGCTGGTGGCTTCCAATGTTCCCCAACCTGAAAATAAGGTCTCTACCTGGTGACTCTAACCGAATTTCATTTATGACGAATTTTGTTGTGAGTTACTGCTTTATCTCTTGGAAGCAGTGCCCATGTGGAACAGAAGGGAGAGATTAAACTGTACACACATCACAGCACTGAGTTTGCCCCTTAACTTGAGCACTGTCGGGTGCAGCCTGGTGACTAACGCACAGATAACCCCTTTTGCCTGGAGCCTATCTCATAAGGTAAAATGTACTTCGACTTATGAAGTCACTAATACAAAAGACAGCTTTAACCTCATGGAAGGAAACACTTTAGTGAATGAACATACATGTATGTGTTTGTATGAGGGCTTAGTGTTGGTGAGATCCAAGGTGTAGATTTGAAAACAAGGATGCAAAGGAAGGACTTCCCCTCCTGGAGGGTGGGGTGCATGGGGGCCTGGGATGAAGAGCGGGAGAGGTCGGGAGGCGAGGCAGCTGGAGCCTCAACGCTGCTGCCTCCAGGAGCTGCTGTTGATTCCTCTTGTGCTGCCACAGTTGTAGAATCGCCTTTGGAGTCCAAGCCTAGGCTCTGAAGCTTCCTCAGCGCCCGCAAACCACTGTTCTCTTACCTGGATCAGATGTTTAGGAATTTGTCTAATTCCTCTTATAGTGATGGATAGCTTTAGTTGTGACCTGAGCCATTTTCAAAAGCCTACCCTGGCCGGTTTGTCTCAGTAATTAGAGTGTCGGCTGGTGGACTAAAGAGTCGTGGGTTCGATTCCAGTCAAGGGCATGTACCTCAGTTGCAGTTTAGACCTGACCCTGGTCGGGGTCGTGCAGGAGGCAACCAATAGATGTGTGTCTCTCACATCAATATTTTTCTCTCTCTCTTTCTCTCCCTCCCACTCTATCTGATGATAAATGGAAAAGTATCCCGGGGTGAGGATTAAATAAAATAAAATAAAATAAAATAAAATAAAATAAAATAAAATAAAATAAAGAGAAGATAATTTTTAAAAAAATCTAAATTAAGGCCCTGGCCAGTTTGGCTCAGCAGTTAGAGCGTCGGCCTGCGGTCCAGAGAGACCCGGGTTCGGTTCCTGCTAAGGGCACGTACCTCGGTTGCAGTTTGTCCCCAGCCCTGGTTGGTCGTGCGGGTGGCAGCCACTTGATGTGTCCCTTTCACGATGATGTTTCTCTCTGTCTCTCTCTCTCTCCCTCCCACTCTACCTGAACAAAAAAATGGAAAAATGTCCTCAGGTGAGGATGAAAAAAGAAAAATCTAAATTAAGGAAGTTCAGGAGAAGAGCTTTGAATCCATTGGGACTGTAACTTGATGATTCAAGTATCAAAGTCAGAATTTCAGAAATAGATCATTGCTCAAAGGCAAATCCATAGACATTTAGTTGCAATGACTTTTATTCATTGATTCCGTGAACATTCATGAAGCAGCTGCAATTCTTTCAACAGATAGTCATCGAGCATCTACTCTGTGCCCAGCTCAGTTACAGGCACAAGATACACAGTTGTAGTGAGAGGGGGGAACAGGACGAAGAAGACCCCTGCTTTCGTGAGCAGAAGCAGACAATGAACACATAGATGGCACTGTGAAGAAAGTAGAACGAGGTCAGGCATGGAGAGTGACTAGCGTGGGAGAGAGGCGAGAGACACTGGCTTTTCAGAGGGGGCGGTCAGGGGGCGTCCAGCCAAGCCAGCAGCACCAGCTTGGTGAAGGCCTCCTCTGAGCTGAGACCTGCGTTTGAGTTATGAGCAGCCCGTTTCGATCCGTGTAGGTCACCAGCAGGGTGAGGGCTTTATTCTGTGCATTAGGGGAACCACTGGTGGGTTTGCAGCCCCATCTTGATGCTGTCAGAGGAGCATGTCGACTACGGATGCAGCAAGGACTGTTGCAGGCAAATCAGGAAGCAGGTCCTCTCGGGAGAGGGCTTGGTGGCGGGACTGCGGTGGTGGCGGAAGAGATGGAGGAAAAATAGATCAACTCCAGTTATACTTTGGTGGTAGAGACAAGACTAGTTGATTTGCAGGGTTCCAGGAGTAAATAGGAGACATAACCCTTGCTTCATGGGTTCTCACAAATTAGTAGGAGAGAAACACGTGTAAAGTAGTAACTGCAACACCACATGATTGAGGCAGAGGAAGGGAGACAAGTAATGACAAAGGAAGCGGTGACCATGGCCTCATGAATGTCTGGAAGGAGTCCCAAAGGGGTGGACACTTGAGATAAGCTGGGAGAGACATTCCCAGCAGAGGGCGAGGAGATTTGAAGTAGCCTGGGGAGAATGGGCACCTCCCAGGGTGCTTAGAACGTCTGGGAGGTAGGGAGGGGGAGACGGGGCATGTGGGCACTGCTGGGTCAGCTGAGACCTGAGCAGTTGTCTTCAGGACGTGACATCTCTCTCTTGAGCCCTTAACACAGTGTTCCAGACATGCCAACTCGTTCTCTAAATGGAAGATAAGCTGACCCGAAGACTATGTATTATTTAATGGAAAAGATTACGGAAAGCCCAGAGGGAGCCATATATCTTCTGATAACTCCCTTTGTCATTTATTTAATTGCATTTCAAGCAGCATGTCCTCTAGGTGGAAGATGTCACTAAATATGGTCTTTCTTCTGTTTTAAGACCTAGGTTCCCCTTTAAGAATGGCAAATGGTGGTGCCCTGGCCTCCGTGGGCTGCTTGGCCATACTTGTCACTGTGATCGCCCTCTTGGTGTACAAGTAAGTTGCTGGTTCTCACACTTTAAATCACTATAGTATGTTGTTGAAAATAAGTAGCAATGTGTTGCACAACTGGGCCATTTTTCCTTTTTGGCTTTTAACCATTTTGTGTGTGAGAGGAAAATCTTCCATTGACTGATGAATACCAAATTAGCCTGTTAATTTTGCTGTGGTTTTTTGTTTTTGTTTTTTTATCCTAAAAATGCTACCAGATGTCAGTAACTTAACAAAATTGTGTCAACTTAATATTTAACATGTCATCTCAAATTATATTAAACAGGCACATTTCTTGCATGAAGAAGAGAAAATACATATATTTCCATTAGACATCAGTGTCTTAAAAGCCATAGGTGAGGTTAAATGGAATTAACCCTCCAGTACTGGGCATGTAAAAGCTTGTGGAAAGTAACATACCTCAGCTGGAGATCTTTTTAAAATCTTTCTAACACGTTGCTTTCAGAAAACACAAGGAATACAAACCGATAGAAAACAGTACTGAGGTCAAAGGCAAAGGTCTGGATGGTTTCCTCGAGCATGCAAAGGTCAAGTTCTTCCCCAGATGCCAGGAGAAAGATCCGCTGCTCAAGAACCCGCCAAGGGTTCTTTAAATCTTCAGCCTTATTTCTGCCCAGCAGCTCGCTCTTCGGTGCCGTATGTATAAGCTGTGCTAGAGTAGATGTGGCTGTTAACTTTTTTCCCTAGAGATTACTGTAAAATATATGTTGTGGTTTAGGGAGGTCCAATTTTTTTTTTATAGGTTAAATGACATTTTAGAAAAGTAGAGAGGAATGATACAGTGCGCAGCCTCAGCTGTGTTCTATAACGGATAAAAATCGGTCAGCAGTGCTTTCTTTCATTATGATTTATGTTTCACTTATAATGTCTTAACGTGATTAGTAGGCCAGACATACTGTGTCCGAAGAGTAGGGGCAGATGGTACTATTCATCGAGTCTGACCCAGGTTATCTGGAAAAAGAGTCTGGACACTTTCTAGCTTTTCATATAAACACATGCACAAAACCACCGTGCTGTATCCCTGTCCTTAAGATCATGTTCCAAGCTCAATGAACCCTATTGCAATGAATATGCATGAGCTCCCAACAGAACAATAACAGGCCAAGACTCTACCATGATGTGGATGGTTGTCAGACTAAAATAATAATATTCACCTAGTCAATGGGTGTGAATATCTTTGTGACAATTTATCCTGCCCAGCAGTATAAAGAAATTGTATCCATTCATTCATCCCATGGACATTTAGTGCTTTCTGTGTGTCAGGCATGTTGCTCTGCACATGGCCCAGCACTCAAAGTGTGGACACTCTTGTGTGTATATATGAATTTCTGTGCACTCTGATGCATTTATTTGAAATTATGTATTATGATTTTCCAAAGAAGGAGACCCCTGGTTATCCTACTAGTTTCTCTATTTAAATGGTATAGAAATTTGCCCTGTCCGAGTGGCTTAGTTGGTTGGAGCATCATCCCTACACCAAAAGGTTGCGGGTTTGATTCCCGGTCAGGGCGCATATGGGAGGCAACAGATCAGTGTTTCTCTCCTACATCAATGTTTCTCTCTCCCTTCCTCTCTCTCTAAAAATCAACAGAAACATATCCTTGAGTGAGGATTAAAAACATGATACAGAAACTTGATCAGTAAGGGTTTTACCTCTATTTGTAACTAAAACTGTCTACCATATGTCAGACATGACATTTTTCCCCTCTCTTCCCTGAAAAATAAAGTATAAAAAGAGACAAGATGCTGAAATTGTAATTATTTTTCAATTTATTGTTTGCCTTTCAATTTCATTTTTAGTTTTGACACATAAAACATTGTTTAATGTGGCCCTGTGGAGCACTGAGAATTTCATAAGCATTATATATATGTATGTATAGATGATAGATGATGATAGATAGATAATAGATAGATAGAGATGTATAGGCATGACAGGCCTGTGTATATGGTACAGTGGTATATACCACCATGTGAGGCCTGAGGGCAGAAGCAATGAGAAGATCCTTTGTCATTTTTATGATGATTAGGAGGCCAGGACATTAGTACCTACACAGAAAAGTATTATCAAGTTGTAGCAGAATCACTTGGAGGTTAAAACACAGACTCCTGAGTCCCACCTCCGAAATTTCTAATTCAGTGTTCAGGGGTGGGGACCCATAATTTGGGCTTCTCGCCATTTCTGGGTGATGCTGATAACGCTGCTCCCAAGACCTAACTTTGAGAACTATAGTCTTGAGAGTCAAACGTTCCTCTATCAATAGAGGGTAGAAGAGAGCAGCAAATATACCATCAATCACTAAGGAAGCAGGTCAGGAGCTGGAGGAAATCCTCATCAAACCCCCTAACATTTCAATTTAACAAATGGCAGGAGAGAGAGCTGAAATCATGAATTATTTAGATTTATATTCTCTAGGTGACCTTGGCAGTAACTCACTTAACTTCTGCTGAATGGCTATCTGTAAAATGGGGGAAATAACCTAAAAGATAGGGGAATGACGATTAATGTTTGCCAGGAATTAGAACTTCCCGGGAAAATTGAAATATGTAGGTAATAAATTATTCTGGGAATTTCTTTTTTTTAGGACTTTTTATAAATGTCTTTATTTTAAACACTTCTGACTCACTCACAAACACTGGCTGCCCTTGTTGAATTTTCAGTTGTTAAACAGTTTTGAGACAGTACTGTCAGTGCGTTCATTACATCTGGAGTGCATAGTAACTCCAAAAGTTAGTACAGGCTACAGGGAAAATGAAAAGATAGTCATCCAGAGGGGGAAGGTGAACACCTTCTGATGGGGCTTCTGGTTGGGGAAACATCCTTTAAGAATTTTTAAAAGAATGATCTCAGCCCAACCAATGTGACTCAGTTGGTTAAGCATCGTCGCCTGTACCAAGAGGTCACCGGTTGGATTCTGGTTAGGGCACATGCCCAGGTTTCAGGCTCAATCCCTAGTAGGCGGCATGTAGGAGGCGGCCAATCGATGTTTCTCTCACTCTCTCTTCCTCTCTCTCTCTAAAATCAATAAAAAACATATTTTTAAAAAAATGGCCCTGGCCGGTTTGCCTCAGTGGTTAGAGCGTCAGCCTGCGGTCCAGAGAGACCCGGGTTCGGTTCCCGCTAAGGGCATATACCTTGGTTGCAGTTTGTGCCCGGCCCTGGTTGGGTTGTGCGGGTGGCAGCCACTCGATGTGTCCCTTTCACGTCGATGTTTATCTCTCTTTCTCCCCCTCCCACTCTATCTGAACAAAATATGGAAAAAAAAAAAAAAAAAAGATAAGCTAAAATAAATAAATAAATGATCTTAAAGCTTCTGGAACTAGTACCCTAAAAATTCAGAGGTCCATTCCCAGGACTCACCTCTTGCAGACTGATTTTGATCCTTCAACCATCATTGACTGAGAACCAGTATGTCCCAGGCTCTGGTCTGGAGAGGACACAACCAGTGAACAAGAGACAATGACTGTGCTTGGAGCCTGGGTTCCAGACGTTCACAGCAGTGAGAGCACTAATCTCTGCCCTGGAGCCCTCCGTCCTGGCCAACCCCGCTGACCTCAGCCTAATCTGCAGAAGCAATTCCTCTGCTATTTACACCTGAACTGCTGTTCCTTTTGTCCTTGAAATTCTGGAATCAAATTTGCTTTGGTGGTCTTTCGTAGGCTTTTGTGGATTTGGGTGCCTTACTGGTATTTTAGTATTTAACCAATTTTAATTCTCTATATAATTTTCCTATAGAGAAAATTACATCACCTCACTAATCAAAATTTCTCTCAAATTTTCACTGCAGTTCTCAGTCAGTTGCATTGTACAGGTTTGTTTTTGTTTTTTAAGGAGTTATTTGATCCTTTTTTTTAAATGTTTTTTTAATTGATTTTTTAGAGCAAGAAAGGCGAGAGAGAGAAAAACATCGATAGGCTGCCTCCTGCACGCCCCCTGCTGGGGATCGAGCCTGCAACCTGGGCATGTGCCCTGACCGGGAATTGAACCTGGACCTCTCAGTCCATGGGACGATGCTCAATCCACTGAGCCACACCAGCTGGGTGCACTGAATATGTTTTAATAATACAAATTAAATATCAACACTTGAGCTTAGTGAGTCCTTAATTTTAAGGTGTTTATTAGGATAAATTCCTTTAGGATATTTTTTATATAAAAAAAGATTAACTGCTGATGAGAATGCAGCAGAAGGATTTTGTGGCTGTGGATATAGCTTCAAATTTCTGCTTTTGGAATTGAGTAGAAGAGGTAGGTAGGACTTAAACCAGGCATTTTCCCTCTGTGCACCCAAATCTCCTCATCCATAAAATGGAGGAAATGAGGAGGAGAGCAAAACTAAATTGGATATCTAAAGTCTCTTTGAGTTCTGATGCTTATGTGAAATGGGGAAGGTATCACCCAATTTCCTTACAGGGATGTCAGGAGGATTGTATCCTAAATTAACGGTTGGCTCTATGGTGTATGAGCCAAATCTGGCTTTCTCCCTGCTATTCTATGCCCCACAAGCAAAAGTTGGTTTTTATGTGTTGTTTGTTTGTTTGTATTTTAAATTTTTTAATCCTCACCCCAAGATATATTTTTCCATTGATTTTTAGAAAGAGAAGAAGGGAGGGAGGGGAAGCGAGAGAGACAGAAACATCAAGGTGGGAGAGACACATCTATTGACTGCCTCCCACATATGCCCGACTGGGGCCAGGGATCAAACCTGCAACCCAGGTACATGTCCTTGACTGGGAATCAAACCCAGGACCCTTTGGTGCACGGGCCAGCACTCTAACCATTGAGTCACATTGGCCAGAGCTGGTTTTTGTTTTTTAATGTTTAAAAAAATGAAAAGAGAACATTATTTTGTGCCACATAAAATTATATGAAGTTCAGCCCTGGCCCATTTGGCTCAGCGGTTAGAGCATCGGCCTGCAGACCGGAGAGACCCGGATTCGGTTCCTGCTGGGGGCACGTACTTCGGTTGCAGTTTGTCCCCGCCCCTGTTGGGGTCGTGCAGGTGGCAACCACTTAATGTGTCTCTTTCACATTGATATTTTTCTCTCTCTCTCCTCCCCCCTCCCTCCCTCCCTCTCTATCTGAAGATAAATGTAAAAATGTTTTTGGGTGAGGCTAAAAATAATAATAACAATAATAATAATTATATAAAATTCAAATTTCAGTGTCCTTAAATAAAGTGTTATTGGAACGTAGTCACACTCGTTCATCTACGTTATCAGCGACTGCCTTTGCACTGCAACGGAGTCCAGTGGCTGGGACGGAGACCATTCAGTCTGCACGGCCTCAAATACTTGCTGTTTAGGCCTAAGAGGAAAATGTGCTAAACTGCGTTTTAAAGCACTGTTGTTTTTTTTAATCCTCACCCAAGGATATTTTTTTTCTACTTATCATCAGATAGAGTGGGAGGGAGGCAGGAAGAAAAAAAGAAACCGACGTGAGAGGGACACATCAGCTGGTTGCTTCCCATATGACCCGACCAGGACCTGGGATGTACCGCAACTGAGGTACGTAACCTTGGCCAGAATTGAGCCTGCAACTCATTAGTCCATGGGCCGATGTTCTAACCACTGAGCAACCCTGCCAGGGCTTAAGGCATTGTGGAACTCCATTCTGAACTGAACTGAGAAAACACGTTCTCTTCAAAGTCTTTCAGTTATGTGAAATATAATTTTCTGAATTGAGTTCCTTGAGCTCTTACCCTCAATCTCATGTCACATTATTCTGTAATGACAAGTCAACAAGTGCTGTATTATCAGACACAGTAAGTTAAGTATGCATTGCCTATAGACTGCTATGGGAAAATGTCAAAAAAGAATTTTTGAAGAAAAAAATATAGTCATTCTCTCAGGAAAAATTACAAAAGGGAGAATCACAACATAAAGAATCAAGTGATAAAGGATTTCACAAATCCCCAAAAGTACCAGCCACAAAGAAAAAGACTGAGACATCAAATTATGTTAGTCTTAAAGTTCTGTGTGAAAAAAACATCACACACTTCTGTGTGAAAAACCCACAAAATGTTCACATGCTGCTGGTGGACGTGCAAGATGGGAAACAATTCAGCAAATTGAAAAAAACAGTTTGGTAGTTTCTTATCAAGGTAACTATGCAGGTACCATATGATCTGGCCCTTCTACTCCTAGGTGTTTACTGAAAATAAATTAAGACATATGTTCATACAACAACTTGTACCTAAATGTTCATAATACTGTTATCTGCAATCGTCACAGACTACAAAGAGCCTCAATTTTCATCGACTGGTGAATGGATAAAAAAAATGTTGTATGTCCATTTTATTTGATGATAAGAAAAGGACAAACTTTTGATAGATGGAACATTGTGGATACATCTCAATAGCATTATGCTGAGTGAACGAAGCCAGACCTACTGAATGAGACTGTTTATGTGATATTCTGGAAAAGGCAAAACTGTAGTGATTAAGGGCAGATCTGCGCTTGCCTGGGACTAGAAGTAGGGAAGGGGATTGACTGGGGGCACAAGAGAACTTTGGGGGGCTTGGGAAACATTTTATACCATAACTGTAGTGGTTATACAACTGTATACATTTGTCAAAATCATTAAATTTTAGAGTTAAAATTGGTTATGCTTATTTTGTATAAATATACCTTAATAAAGTTGATTAAAAATGAAAAGGCATAAACTGGAAGAAAATAATTTCAGTACATCTAATTGATAAAAGATTAGTGCCCAGATTATACAAAAAATTATTAGGGAAACAAATCATCACACAATGAGACATCATTTCATACCCACCAGATTGGCAAAGATTTTTTTTTTTTTTTTTGTACAGATAGAGTGGGAGGGAGAGAGAGGAAGGGAGAGAGAGAGAGAGAGAAACATCGACGTGAAGGGACACATCGAGTGGCTGCCACCCGCACGACCAACCAGGGCCAGGGACAAACTGCAACCAAAGTACGTGCCCTTAGTGGGAACCGAACCCGGGTCTCTCTGGACCGCAGGCCGATGCTCTAACCGCTGGGCCAAACTGGCCAGGGCCTGATTGGCAAAGATTTTTTAAAATCTGACAAAATTAAGTGTTGGCAAAACTGAGAACATCGGAACACGCATACTCTGCCACTGGGAGTTTACATTGGAACAATCGTTTTGGGAAACAATCTGGTGTCATCTGGTGAAGTTGAAGATGCACCTGTGACCCAGCAATCTTGCACATGTGTTCCACGGGACACAGACATGCACGTTCAGAACAGCACGAGGGACAACCCAAATGTCCCTCAACCACAGAATGGATGAATCAGTTGGGATATACAATGGAATACTAGTCATCAATAAAAATGAATGAGCCTACAGCTGTAAACACTGAGAGGAAATACTAACCAATGGAATATTGGCAGAAAAAAGCAAGTTGACAAAGAATACATACAATGTGATACCATTTATGTAAAAGTTTTCAAAAGCATGAAAAACTAAACAATATGGAAATGTACACAAACATATGTGATAACCCTATAGAAAAGAAGGTGAAAGAATTACTACACGAAGTGCTGCACAGTGGTTATCGCTGGGGGGAGAAACCAGCTGTGGAAGCAGCAACTGGGACTTCAACAGTGCTGCCATGTTTTCCTGAGCTGACTGGTAGGTTTGTTCTATTCGTTATATTTTATCTACATGCTATACGTATTCTTTAGTAGTTTGCAAACATTACTTATTTTTTAGAGTGGAATAAAATAACTTATAAAAGAATTAATAAATAAAGACAGCTCAACTAGAAAAATATTGGCAAAGGTTCGTGAACAGGCAATCTACAAGAGAAAATCCAAATCCACACATGAAGAGATGTACAACTGTACTAGTAACTGGGGAAATGCAGAAGGAAGGAGCAAAGATACATCAGCAACCGCTATCGGTGCAGCAAGTGTCCTGGATGTCTTACATGGTATTTGTGTTCTGTGAGGGAGTGTCCCAGCGGACTCATTCAAGACAGCCAGGTGAAAGTGGCGTAGCCTTTTCTAATCTAGCTTCAGGTGTCACATAGTGTCACTTCAGCCATGTTTTATTGGTTGAAACACAAGCCCACCCAAACTTACGGGAAGGGGACACAGACCCTACCTCTCAATGGGAAAAGTGTCAAAGAATTTGGAGTCATATTTTAAACTGGCCACAAGGCAACATGCTATTTGCGGTGTATATTATTATTTAAATCCTTTCTTGTTATTTTCCCATTTTACGTGTTTGTGTCTTTTTCTTCCTCTACATGTTAAGCCTCAGTGGCCAAAAACTGGGTCTTAGACTCTGTGCCATTCCAGAGTGCCTCAGTCCCTTTTGACATAGGAAATCCTTTGAAGCCATGTGGCTCAATTCAATAATCATTAAATGGCTACTTTAAGGCAACTTGCTGGTTGCCTACTATTTAAAACCCCACAAACTCCAGCTATTTAGCTAGGATTTTTCTCACATGATTTACTGTTATGAGTAGATAATTGTTCTAGTTAAAACTCCTACCACCCAAACCTATGGAGGCTTCTGCATGAGCAGTCCCTGTAATTATGTGGGTAGAGGACCCCAGAAAAACATGGCTCAAGAACCAGATAATTGAACTGTCACTACCAGAGGAACCATTCTTTATTTTTTTTTTTTTAAGCTTAATCTTTATTTTATTTTTCTATTCTCACCAAGGATATGTTTGTTGATTTTAGAGAGAGAGAGGGCAACATCAATTGGCTGCCTCTCATATGTGCCCCAATCCTGCATCAAACCTGCAACCCAGGTATGTGCCCTGACCAGGAATTGAACCCATGACCTTTTGGTGTACGGGACGACACTCCAACCAATCGAGCCACACTGGCCAGGGCTTTTATCTTTTATTACTATTATTGTTGACACCATTACAGATGTATCCCATTCCCCACCCCCCTTTTGCCCACCTCCACCCAGCCCCTACCCACCCTCGCTCTGGCCTTCACCACACTGATATCTATGTCTATGGGCTATGCATATATGTCCTTTGGTTAATCCCTTCACCTTCTTTCATCCAGTACCCACCTCCCACTCGCCTCCCCTCTGACAGCTGTCAGTCTGTTCCATGCATCCATGCCTCTGGTCTATTTTGTTCATTAGATCTCACATATAAGAGAGATCATATAGTATTTGTCTTTCTCTGATTAGCTTATTTTGCTTAACATACTATTCTCCAGGTCCATTCATGCTGCTGCAAAAGGTAAGATTTTCTTCCTTTTTACAGCCACATAGTATTCCATTGTGTAAATGTACCACAGTTTTTTTAATCCACTCATCTACTGATGGACACTTGGGCTCTTCTAGATCTTGGGTGTTGTAAATAATGCTGCTATGAACATAGGGGTGCATATATTCTTTCTGATTAGAGTTTTGGGATCAGAGGAACCATTTTTGATGTGGTCACCTAGCAGAGGGGAGAAGACCCGGTGTGAAAACAAAAGAAAAGAAAAGCAGAGTTCAAGTCATTTATATCTTCTAGCAAGGAAAAAGCCTTCGCGGGGGCTCTTCAGGCAGCTGAAAGCACATTTTCTGGAGTGTTTGCCCTGCTGTCATTGCCGATGCAGCCTAGAGCCTGAACTTTTCAGGAGAAAGAAAGTGGAGGCAGGGAGGCGTCTTTGAAAGAGAACACTGGCTTATAATTCTCAACTGGGATCCTTTTAATTTAGAATTACCTTTAATTTATTGTCTTTATAATCAGTGCAGGCCACTCTGACTTGTCCACCATTAGGATGTCTCATCGCAGCTGTTGGAGACATTTTTGCAATATGTCTCCTTGAGAGAACGATTTGGATCTTAATTTGATCATAGCTATGTTATTTCAGAACCCTAAAGAAAACAATGGGAGCAAAAAGAAGGAAGCAAGATCTCCACACTGGCTCAAGTCAGGAATTACTTCTGGTATTTCAAAGGTGTGGTAACCTCAATACACAAGAACAATGGACAGAGCTGGCTTAAAACCTTTCACTAAAGACGTTGTAAGTGAGGGGTGTGACTACCCACCATGACCTGCCCAGTTAGGAATTTATGATCAGATCACCCTGTGAGGTTATTTTCCATAGAATCCCTTTATTTCTTCTGTATTTTCAAAACTAATTTGAAGCAATTATAAATATTTGGGGAGAGAACACATAGGTGCTTATATTTGTTTCCAGTTTTTAGTTTCCCCTAAATTAGCGCTTGGAGTTATTCCTTCAAAAGAAATCAAATAATGTATCAAGCTTTTGGACCACCTACTATGTGCCTGGCACAGTTCTAGGCATTCTTCCTTTCAGAAGTCACCAGGCCTAGAGTTCAGAAATGGCTTCTGGTTCCAGTATGGCCACAGGCAAGTCACTCTTCTTCCTAGGATCTCTCAGCTTTCAGATCCTGTGATTTAACTGTAACTGTAACTGCACCTCGGCATTCCTTGTTCTCACACAGTGGGCCCCGCAGTGCAACCCATTGGCATAAACAAGTCCATATGTGGAATGTACCTAAAGGGCTGGCCTACTAAAAACGTTTTCCAAATGGTCCTTTATACCTGCCTCCCACCCCACCCCAGGATAATAGACTTTCCTCATGGGATTTCCGATTTGCAAGGGAATCATGATAATTGTTTGGTAATGAGCGATGAGTAGAAAATTATGTCCTAATTCCAGTCTCATCAACAGCAGCAACTTTTCTGTTCATTCAGCACCAGTTGTTTTAGGCGCTGTGGAGAGAACACTTAAAAACAAAATAAAAATTCCTGCCTTTATAAAGTTTACATTCATAAAGCAAGGACGAAGTTTGCATCACTACCACGTTGGGCAAAGCAAGGTGGGCAATAACTAGTCCTCCGACTCTTGCAAAACCTAAACCCCCGGCAGTTTATCCGGGCCACCGTCGTTCCCCACCGGCTTCAGACTCCGCCCACGCCCCGCCCTTGGGCCCTGGTCCCGCCCACACCGCTTGCGTCGATTTTTCCAGGCCGCGCCGCAATGACGTGGCCAATCGAAAGCCGCAGAAACTGCTCGGGCCGCATTAAGCCCCGCCCCCGTGAGTCAAGGCTCGCGACGGCAATGGGTCCGGGAGGCTGTGTGGCTCGGCGGCTCTGGACGCTGCTGGGGTTTAGAGCCCTTTCCCCGGCAGCAGGCTCTGCGGCGGGCGCTGGGTGCCGGCTTCGGTTGCTGGCCGCGGAACGGCTTCCCGCGGGACCAGCGCTCAGCCGGGCCTGCTTGACCGCTGACCGTGCGCGCGGCCTGCACGGCGGGCCCGGCCTGGAGGAGCGGACCGAGGGGGCAGCCAGCGAGGGGCGCCGGGAATCTGGCGCTGCAGGTACCGGCGCGGTGGAGGGCGGCGGGCCCCCGCGGGCAGGCGGAAGCCGGGTCCCAGCTGGGGGGTCGCAGCTGGGGGGGCCTGAGTAAAACCCCCTCTTGGAGTCACCAACTCCAGATCCAGAGCTGGGAGGGACTTAAAAGGTTATTGGCGCCAACTTTGCCATTTCACAGTGAAAACACTGTGAGGCCAAGAAACGAAACACCAGACCCCTTGGCATCACAGCCTCGCCGTCCACACCCCCGCCCCCTTCACACTCTTCTTAGGGTCCTGGGAAATGGACTTGTCCAGAGTGTTGGGACGTGAAGATTCTGAGGAAAAGCCAGGGGCTGGGGCAAGGGTGAAGAAGCGCTGATAGGAGACCTGTCTAATTTAAGGTCCTTTCATCACCGAAGGTTTTTAGAAACTTGAGAGATGGTAAATAGATCACATCTGAGAAAGGCGGTGTTAGAGAACTAGCCACTAGTCATTGGGAGTCCATTGTAGAATATAAGGGAGCTAGCTGTACATTTACAGGCTATGAAGAACAGAATATCTGAATCTCTATAGGAACATAAATTACGTTTTCACAGATAACAGTTGTTGCATAACCCAAATGGCTCTATTTAAAAAAAGAAAAAAACCACATGAGGGTTCCAAATAAGAATTGCTTTTAAATGTTTACCTTTCTCATTGGTTGATTTGTAGCCAACACTTAACTCTGCTAGGCCTAAGTTTCTTCCATCTCTCAAGTGAAGGCTGTGGATCAGATAATACGAGCGCTTCCAGCTCACAATTCTAGTTCTGTGACCCTTTATGTCTGGGATTCCATTTAATATGCCCCAGGACATCACCTCCTCCCCAGGGTGTGCTGTTTTCTTTCTATAACAGTTCTGTGTCTGAGGTATAGTGCTTATTTCCTCAAGAACTGGTTAACAGAAAGTCATTTGTTGCTGATGTAGGGTTCTGTTTGCACATGGTTATAGCAAAGGATGTATGGTGGCTCCGTGTAACCTGAGCACCCTTCCTATAAAAGTAGAGCAGTGCCGTGTGAAACCACTGCCCAGGTTCAACTTCCAGGAGACCTGGGCCCTGCCGTCTTTGAAAATGTTTTAGATCTAAATACCTTCCAGAAGGAGCAGTTTCACTGGCCACTTCCTGTGCCGCTTCCTGTGTTGCTGAGTGTATACCGTGCTTGACTTCTATTTGGCCACCTGACACAAGCAAATCTTTGTGCATTTCAGATCATGCTGGTCCCAAGTTTGACATTGATATGTTGGTTTCACTTCTGAGGCAAGAAAATGCAAGAGACATTTGTGTGATCAAGATTCCTCCAGAAATGAAATATACAGATTACTTTGTGATCGGTAGTGGAACTTCTACCCGACATTTACATGCCATGGCCTACTACATTGTGAAAATGGTAGGATGCTTTCTTTTCCCTTTGGAACTATTAATTGAATGAAATAGTGTCAGTTTGTTAGGCCCAGAAGCAGCACATGAAAAGTAAACCCATCAATGAGATTATATAAGACGACCAAATTTTCAGAATTTGCATGAATGTTTTATATTTTTTGATAGTGAAAGTTAATCAGGTTATTTCTAATTATTGTCTCTTAAAGAAGTATTTAAAAATAACCTGAGATAGACTAGAAGACAGTATAACCCAGAGGGATTTCTAGAGCAGCACTGTCTAATATGGTAGCCACTAGCCACATGTGGCTTTTAATTATAAATTAAATAAAAAATTTAGTTCTTCTATTGTACTAGGCCAGATTTCAGGTGCTCAGTAACCACATGTAACTAATGGCTACCATATTGGACAGCACAACCATAAAACATTTCCATAATTGCAAAAAGTTCTATTGGACAATGCTGACCTAGAGCTTAATTCAAATGTTTGAGCATGTCCAGTGTTCCCAAGCACTGTGCTGGGTATTGGGAAGATAAAAATGAAAAAGATTTAGTCCTTGTCCTCTGAATTAACAGCTGAGGAAAAGGAAGGCAGTTCATTTTCCAGCTGGACTGAATATAAATTAGAATGAGGAAGAAAGTGTACTTGGCAGCCTTTACCTGATTTTGATACCACTTTACAGGGAAACAGCTCTCACCTTGCTGAAAATGGGACAATTAAGACCGAAAGAATAGCTGGGCTTGCCTAGAGAAGGATGGTAAAAGGAGGGCCGAAAACAGAGCCTTGGTGCCTGTACACAGTACACACTGACGTCCCGTTCTCCCCTTCCCCAGCCCCTGGCAGCCACTGTTCAGCTTTCTGTCTCTATAAATTTGACTACTCCGAGTCCCTCATATGAGTGAAATAATACCCTATTTGTGTGTGTGTGTGTGTGTGTGTGTGTGTGTGTGTGTGTGTTTGTGTGTGACTGCCTTATGTAACTTAGCATAATGTTTTCAAGGTTCATCCATGTTGTAGCATGTGTCATAATATTTTATTATATGTACATCCCATATTTTATCTATTTTTCCATTGATGGACATTTGGGTTGCTTCCCCCTTTGTGTTATTATGATAATGCTGTAAACATAAGTATAGAAATATCTATTTATGTCCCAGCTTTTTTTATTTAAAAAATTTTTTAAATTACAGTTGACATACAATATTATATTCATTTCAGGTATACAGTACAGTGATTAGACATTTATATACCTTAAGAAGTGATCACCATGATAAATCTAGTACCCTTTGGCACTATATATAGTTATTACAATATTCTTGATTATATTCCGTATGCTGTACTTTATATCCCTGTGACTAATTTTGTAACTGACAGTTTGTACTTCTTAATTCCCTTCACCTTTGTTGCTTATCGCCTCACCTCCCTCACTTCTGACTTCTGTCAACCCTCAGTTTGTTCTGTATCTATGAGTTTGTTTGTGTTTTGTTTGTTCATTTATTTTGTTTTTAAGATTCCATATGGAAGTGAAATCATATGGTATTTGTCTTTCTTTGTCTGACTTATTTCATTTAATGCCATCTAGGTCCACCCATGTTGTGACGAATGGCAAGATTTTGTTTTTTTTCCATGTTGTCGCAAATGGCAAACTTTTATTCTCTAACTTTTTCATTTTGGGGGCGGATCACCAAGTCATTTCATTCTTTTTTTTTATTTAAATCAATTTTTATTTTTTAATTACAATTAACATACAATATTAATTTCAGGTGTACACCCCAGTGATTCGACATATAACTTACTAAGTGATCATCCTAATAATTCTCATACCCATCTGATACCATACATAGTTATTAGAATATTATTGACTATACTCCCTGTTCTGTACATCACATTCCCATGACTGTTCTATAACAACAAATTTGTACTTCTTAGTCCCTTCACCTGTTTCACCTATTCCCCCAATCCCCTCCCATCTGGCAACCATCAAAATGTTCTCTGTATCTGTGAGTCTATTTCTGTTCTGCTTGTTGATTTTGTTTTTTAGATTCAATTATTGATATATGTATTTATTGCTATTTTATTGTTAATATTTCTTATCTTTTTTTTTTCTTAAAGAAGACTGTTTAACATTTCATGTAATACTGGTTTGGTGGTGATGAACTCCATTAAATTTTTCTTATCTGGGAAGCTCTTTATATGTCTTTTGATTCTAAATAATAGCTTTACTGGATAGAGTAATCTTGGGTAGGTCCTGGCTTTTCATCACTTTGAATATTTCTTGCCATTCCCTTCTGGCCTGCAAAGTTTTGTTGAGCAATCAGCTGACAATCCTATGGGAGCTCCCTTGTAGGTAACTAACTGCTTTTCTCTTGCTGCTTTTAAGAATCTGTCTGTCTTTAGCCTTTTGTAATTTTTTCCTCCCAATCCTCACCTAAGGATATGTTTACTGATTTTAGAGAGAGAAAACATAGATTGGCTGCCTCCCATATGCACCCTGACTTGCAGCCTAGGTATGTGCCCTGACAAGGAATCGAACCTGCAACCATTTTGGTATACAAGACAAGATTCCATCCAACTGAGCCACCCAGCCAGGGCTAACCTTTTTCGTTTTAAATATGGTATGTCTTGGTGTGGGCCTCTTTGGGTTCGTTTTGTTTGGGACTCTGCATTTCCTGGGCTTGTATGTCTATTTCCTTCTCCAGGTTAGGGAAGTTTTATGTCATTATTTTTTCAAGTAGGTTTTCAGTTTCTTGCTCTCTCTCTTCTTCCAACACCCCCATGTGCAAATGATGGTACTCTTAAAGTTGTCCCAGAGGCTCTTTACACCATCCTCATTTAATTGGATTCTTATTTCTTTTTGCCGTTCTGATTTGGTGTTTTTACTTCCTTATATTTCAATTTGTTGATTTGATGCTTGGCTTCGTCTACTCTATTGTTGATTCCCTGTAATTTATTCTTTTGATTCAGTTAGTGTATCCTTTATTTCTGACCAGTTCTTTTTTATGGCTCTGGTGCCAGTCGAGGCCAGCCACTGGTTGTGTAGGGTCTGGAGCCTCTTGGTGGAGGCTACAATGTGAGCCAAGGCTGGCCAGCACTTGTGCCAAGCTTGAAGTTGCTTGGAAAAGACTACAGTGCTAGCCACTATGCCAGGCTTGTAGTCGCCTGGTAGGATCTACAATGCAAGCCGAGATGGTTGGTTGCAACTTGTGCTGGGCTCGAGGGCATTTGGGAAAGACTGCAGTGCAAGGCGAGATGGCCATGGGTTAGATTTTCTGGACCATCAGAGTGCGCACGGGAGGCAACCAATCTCTGTACCGCAGGCCGACGCTCCAACCGCTGAGCCAAACCGGCCAGGGCGAGGCAACCAATCTATGTGTCGCTCTCACATCGGTCTTTCTCTCTCTCCCCCTCCCTCCCACACTCTCTAAAAGGTCAATGGAAAAATATCCTCAGGTGAGGATTAATAAAACAAAACAAAAATTCTTGAAGTTAAACCAAATGCAGTTCAAACTTCTCTCAATTTATAGTCATATCCCTGGCGAAATTACTAGGTACTAAAAATGTGCAAAATGAAATGCAATGTGGTATCCTGGATTGGATCCTGAAATAGAGAAAAGGACATCAGTGGAGAAACCAAATAAACTGTCACTTAATTGTAACGTACCAATGTTTCTGAGGTTTGGCAGATGTACAGTGGTTTTGTAAGATGTTATCTAACATCTTTGCAACTTTTTTGTAGGTATGAAATTAGTAAAGAATAAGTGTGTGAACACTTGATGCTGCTACTTTCTATATTTATTTCAAGATTTCAGAGGCACCAGAAATTCCCTGGATGCAAGGACTTATGTGGCTGGTGAGGGGAGGTGGGATGGGACACCCAACACTTTTTTCCATTTCTGAGGGAAACTCAAATGTTCAACAACAACAACAAAAAGAATTAAATGCATTAAGAGATTTATTTGGGTAAATGGCCCATAGTGGATTTTCCCCCAGAAAGGGGAAAGGAACAAGCATCAGGTAGACATTTGCATTTGCACAGAAGCTAGAAGGCAGGAAATCTTATGCAGTGTCACCATGAGCACCTCAAGCTATATTGGTACCATTGGAATAATAAATTTGATTATAATGGTGACTGTGTTTGTCTATTGACTTCCTTCTCAGTCTGCTCAGGCTGGACTGGGTTTCCTTATGCCAGTACACATGGCCGTATGTGATATTGCGATACAGAAAGTTCAGTGTAACCCTGAAGGGTCAGTTCAAATGTAAGACAGCCCGAGGGCCATCTAATGGAACTTACTGTGGTGGTGACCAGTGTTACTCTTGCATGGTGCAGAGGGGCAGCCACTGGCCCCACACTGCCCCACACTGCCAGAGAGCACTTCAAATGGGATCAGTACAGCCAAGGAACTAACTTGAAATATTTTTTAAAATTAATTTAGCCCTGGCCGGTTTGGCTCAGCGGTTGGAGTGTCGGCCTGCAGTCCAGAGAGACCCGGGTTCGGTTCCGCTGAGGGCGCGTGCCTCGGTTGCGGTTTGTCCCCGGCCCTGGTTGGGTCGTGTGGGTGGCGGCCACTCGATGTGTCCCTTTCACGTCGATGTTTCTCTCTCTCTCTCTCCCTCCCACTCTATCTGAACAAAAAATGGAAAAAAATGTCCTCGGGTGAGGATAAAAAAAAATAAAAAAATAAAAAAATAAATAAAATTAATTTAGATGGAGCACAAAGGAGAGGGAGAGAGGGCCTCCTGCCACACCCCCAACAAGAGGGTGGGGACTGAGCCTTCAATCTAGGCATGTGACATGACAGATCCAGCAACCTTTTCGGTGCAAGGGACCAAACCAATTGAGTCACGCCAGCCAGGGCAAGGACGTACAATTTTTTTGTTTTTGTTTTTGTTTAAAATTGTTTTTAATTTAGTGATTTTTGGAAAGAGAGGAAGGGAGAGAGAAACATCAGTTTGTTCCAGTTATTCATGCATTCATTTGTTGATTCTTGTATGTGCCCTGATTGAGGATCAAACCCACAACCTTGGCTTATCGGGACAGTGGTCTAACCAATTGTGCTACTGGGTCCGGGCCCAAGAAACTAGAATTTTAAAGTTTCAGTTTATATTTTCACAGTCTGATGGTGCTGGGGCTGCCCTATTGGTTGGTGCAGGCATGGACAACTAAATAGCCCCCGCTGTTGCGGAGTTCCAGTCCAGTGAGGGAAAGCCACAAATAAGCACACAAGCCCTCTTGCCCAGCTGCATTCTGCGGACCCCTGGCATTCTCAGTCCCCCCAGATCGTGTTGATGAGAATTTTTTGCCATCATCATCATCTCAACCATTGTTTGACACTTGATAAAGTCATTGGAATTTTGACGGGAATTGTATTGAATTTGTAGATAGCTGTGGGTAATGTTGATGTCAACAATATTAAATCTTCCAATCCATGAAATCAGGGTCTTTCCAGTTATCGGTGTCTTTAATTTAGCAACATTTTGTAGTTTTCAGTATATGTCTTTGGCTTTTATGATTAAATTTGTTTCTGAGTATTTATTACTTTGATTCTACTGCAAATGGAATTTTCTTCATTCTTTTTCAGATTTCACATAGTGTATGTAAACGTAACTGAGTTTTGTGTTGATTTTGTATCCTATAATGTTGCTGAATTCATTTACTAGTTTCTAATGGTTCAGTTTTTGTTTTGTTTTTTAGAATCTTTAAGGTTTTCTATATATAAGTTGATGTTTTTTGCAAATAGAGATCATTTTATTTCTTCTTACTTTTTTTTTTTTATCCTCACCCGAGGATATTTTTCCATTTTTTGTACAGATAGAGTGGGAGGGAGAGAGAGGAAGGGAGAGAGAGAGAGAGAAACATCGATGTGAAGGGACACATCGAGTGGCTGCCACCCGCACGACCAACCAGGGCCGGGGACAAACTGCAACCGAAGTACGTGCCCTTAGCGGGAACCGAACCCGGGTCTCTCTGGACCGCAGGCCGACGCTCTAACCGCTGAGCCAAACTGGCCAGGGCTATTTCTTCTTATTTTTAATTTGGTTACTTTTTTCTCTTTATTTTTTCTTGCTCTAATTGCTCTGGCTAGAATACCAGTACTATGTTGAATAGAAGGGCTAAAAGTGGGCGTTCTTGTTTCTGATCTTAGAGGAAAAACTTAGTCTTTGGTCATTAAGTATGATAGTTGAGGGCTTTTATTATCTTCAGATAATTTCCTTTCTCAGTTGGGTGTATCATGAAAGGATGTTGAATTTTGACAAATGCCTTTTTTTTTGCATACATTTGAGATGGTCCTCTGGTTTTGTCCCTCGTTGTATTTATGTGGTTTATTACATTGATTTTCGTGTGGAACCATCTTTACATTCCAGAAATAAATCCCACTTGGTTGTGTATAAATTTTTCAATATGCTGTTGCATTGGTTTGCTAGTATTTTATTGAGGATTTTTGCATCAATATATGTCAAGGATTCTGGTCTGTAATTTTCTAGTAGTTTTTGTCCAGCTTTGGTGTCAGGGTAATGCTAATCTCATAGAATGAGTTAGGAAGTGTTCCCTTCTCTTAAATTTTTTTTGGAAGAGTTTAAGAAGAATTTGTGTTGACTTTTGCTTAAATATTTGGTAGAATTCAGCAGTGAAGCTGTCTGGTCCAGGGCTTTTTTGTTGTTGTTGAGAGCCCCCCCCCCCCCCAATTCCCTTTTTTAAAATATTGAGATATAATTGTGTTGAGAGGTTTTTGATTACTGATTCAGTCCTATCATTATTACTGAATAGGTCTATTCAGACTTTCTATTTCTTCATAATTCAATCCTGGTAGGTTGTTTCTAGGTATTCATTTCATCGAGGTTATTTAATATGTTGGTGTACAGTCATTCATAGTAGTAGTAGAATTACTTTTCCTTCTCTAAAATTGACTTGTGTCCCCTGAATTTCAGCTGTTGTGGGTCTTCTATTTTTTCCTCGGTCAGTCCAGCTAAAGATTTGATAATTTTATTGATCTTTTTGAAGAACCAAATCTTGGTTTTATTGATTTTTGCCTTAAGTTTTTCTCTGATCATTGTTTCCCTCTTTCTGCTAGCTTCAATTTGTTCTTCATTTCCTGGTTCTTGTAGGTGTAAGATTAAGTTTTTGATTTGGGGATTTTTCTCCTATAAGCATTTTATAGCTATAAATTTCCCTCTTGACACTGTTTCACTCCATCCCATAAGTTTTGGGATGTTATATTTTACTTTGTCTCAAGATATTTCCTAATTTCCCTTGTGATTTATTCTTTAACCCATTGGTTTCTTAAGAGTGTTCATTTCCACATATTTGGAGGTTTTCTGGTTTTCCTTCTATTAATTTATAGTTTCTTTTCATTGTGATTAGAAAATATACTTTATATGATTTCAATTTTTAAAAAATTATTAAGACTTGTTTCATGGCCTAACATGATCTATCCTGGAAAACATTCCATGTGTACTTGAGAAAAATATGTATTCTGCTGCTGTTGGGTTCTGTTAATGTCTATTAAGTCCAGTTGCTGTGTAGTGTTGTTCAAGTCTTCTATTCTTCACTGATCTTCTGAGTGTTCTGTCCATTACTGAAAACCGGGTAGTGAGTCTCCTATATTACTGTGTTGCCATCTGTTTCTGCAATTCTGTCAGTGTTTTATATGTTCTGATATTTTATACATATGTGTTTAGAGTTGTTCTGTCATCTTTGTTAGTTGCCCCTTTTATCATTAATGCCCTTCTTTGTCTCTTGTAATAGTTTTACTTAAAAATCTGTTATTTTAGTCCTGGCTGGTTTGGCTCAGCGGTTGGAGCATTGGCCTGCAGACCAGAGTGTCCCAGGTTCGGTTCCCGCTAGGGGCACGTATCCCCCCCAGAAAATGTTATTTTAGACCATTCATGGTATCTGTTGGGAATAGAGATTTGGGATGATAAAGTCCCATTGACAATGTCATAAAGGTAGTTGGGATGGACAGAAGGGATGATGTATAGGTGAGAACCAGGTATTGAATGAGCTTAGGCCTCTGCACCAGACACTGTAGTGAATGAGTAGAGTGGCCCTTTCAGGAGCGTTTGGGCAAGAGGATTTAGGAGAGAGATACAGAAGTTGGGAAAGGTTTCAGGAGGAACTAGTTTCCCTAAGTTATTAATTCTGGGGCAAAGTATGAGGAATGAGTAAGCTAGGCCCCAAATTAAGACCAAGAAAACACCACTGGACCCTGAATAGGAGCATATTTCCTCCATTCCTTCTTCCTTTAACATATGACCTCTCTTTTTTTAGTACAAATTCCTAAAAAGTAAAAGTGAGCCTTATGTGAAGATTGAAGGGAAGGACACTGATGACTGGCTGTGTGTGGACTTTGGTAAGTTATTTTGATACATTTTACAAGTAAGGATTTGGCATTGCACAAATTTTGAACTGTTTTCAGTTGCAAAAGGATTGAGATCAAACTGCTGAGTATTTCTGTATAAAATTTTTGAAATGTTTCATTGTAACTCAGGTGGTCTTATTTACATGTGAAATGCTCACCTAACCTGGTATGTATATGAGTCAAAGAGGTCAGAAAGATGGTGGATAACATGATAGAGATGGGAGAGATCCCTTAGTGGTGGTAAAAACTTGGGGTACATATAACCTTGACCTTAACTCAGCCAAGATGAAGGGCATTCTAGGCACAGGACTGGAATTTTGGAAAGACTTAACAAATCTGGGTATTAATAGATACATAGTTTCAGAGTATTTCCCCACAAGGTTCTTATTACAAAGGGAAAAACAGTAACTGTCAAGAACTATAAGGTGGGGTCTGAGATTTTATCTTACTTGTAAGCTATTAAGTTAGCTGGCCAGTTTCATGGATGTTGGTAAGACTCAAGACTATTCCCAGGTGAGAGATGGACAGTTTATTTCAACAGCAGCATTTTTTGCACCAGGCTCCCTAAGCCCAGCCTCTGTAGCACAACACGGGGCCTGTAGACACAGTTCTAAGAGGGGAACCGTGAGATTAGGGTATCCACATTGTTCATAATGGGCATGAAGCAGGTCTGCTTTTGCTCTGGTTATAAGTCAGGATTTCTCAGCTTTGTCACTTAACATTTTGGACCAGGTAATTATATTGGGAGTGGGTAGGAATACCCTCTGCACTTTAGGATGTTTAGCAATAACTCTCCTCCTCTCTACCCTCCCCCCATTGAGAAAATAAAAAATGTCCTTGATTGAGAACCACTGCTGTAAGCAAAGCTGCCCTTTGCTCCAGAGAGACAGTACAGTCGTCCCTCGCCACTTCGCGCTTCAACTTTCACAGCTTCACTCTATGGCGGTTTTTCAAATACTATGCTAGCTATATTTGAAAAAACCGCCCTGGCCAGTTTGGCTCAGCGGTTAGAGCGTCGGCCTGCGGTCTGGAGAGACCTGGGTTCAGCTCCCGCTAAGGGCACGTACCTCGGTTGCAGTTTGTCCCCGGCCCCGGTTGGGTCATGTGGGTGGCAACCACTCGATGTGTCCCTTTTACATTGATGTTTCTCTTTCTCTCCCTCCCTTCCTCCCACTCTATCTGAACAAAATATCCAAAAAAATGTCCTTGGGTGAGGATAAGAAAAAAAAGAAAGAAAAAACCGCGATAGAGCGAAACCGCAATAGAGTGAAGCCACGAAAGTCGAAGCACAAAGTGGCGAGGGACAACTTAATAAATAAAGAATCCTACTTCACGGAAATTCATTTATCGCCGTAGAGTCTGGAACTGATTAACCACGATAAACGAGGGCCGACTATATCTCTTTGAAACAATTCTCCATACAGACATCCTTTAAGAAGATAGAACAAAAGGCAGTTAGTGCTCTGCTCACAGAATGTGCAGAAATGTGACACATTTGGAGAATTGTCTCCCAAGAGAAAGCTGGCAGGCCTTACCTTTGGTCACTTGGATAAAAGTTAACTTGAAGTTAACCCTTGAGTCAAGCAATGTTGCATATTGACATCATGTACCTCCTGTGTGATGCACTGAGGAAAAAAACAGCAACACTTCTGTGGTATTTTGCTGGATAGGATCCACAGTTTGTATTTCTAACAAGTTTCCAGATGGTGCTCATCTGTGGTCTACACTTTGAGAACCACTGTTCTAGTTTCTATACTTCTACTATGAGTAATAAACTATGAGAGTGTTGTGAGATCATAACAGCAGCAAACGAACTGCTTCTCTGTAACTCTTCCCTGTCCTTCATAGGCAGCATGGTGATTCATTTGATGCTTCCAGAGACCAGAGAAACATATGAACTAGAGAAATTATGGACCCTACGTTCTTATGATGACCAGTTAGCTCAAATAGCACCTGAGACATTACCTGAAGACTTCATTCTTGGAATAGAAGATGACACTTCATCCCTGACTCCAGTGGAGTTCAAATGTGAATAAAATACTGTTTTAGTCATTTTGGATTCAGATTGAGTCACTTCTCAAATATAGCCCCTAAACCCCACCTAATTGGGTAAGTTGTCAAGTCTTTTCTGACTCTGGGCACATGTGCTAACTGACAGGATATGGCAATTGCAGGTTAAAGGACCTCAGTTTTAATGTGTTGTCTCTATTCCAGAGATCCCAACAGGATTTCCTGGAGTTGTCACTGGTCCTTGTGCTTCACTTGAGCTCTCTGCTCAGATCTTTTTTTTTTAATCTTCACCAGAGGACATTTTTCCATTTTTTTTATTCAGATAAGAGTGGGAAGGAGAGAGAGAGAAACATCGATGTGAAAGGGACACATCGAGTGGCTGCCTCCCGCACCACCCAACCAGGGCCGGGGACAAACTGCAACCGAGGTATGTGCCCTTAGCGGGAACCAAACCCGGGTCTCTCTGGGACCGCAGGCAGATGCTCTAACTGCTGAGCCAAACTGGCCAGGGCTCTGCTCAGATCTTACTTAATTTTGCTAAATATAAGTATTATGTAGAATGGAAGAGCCAACATTTAAAAAAATAAAACAAAAAAACATAACTACACCACTGGCCCTACTACTTAAAGCCTATAGTTCTTAGCTCGTATGCAAACAGTATTATCAAGGTTCACATTAAGTACCACGGACTGGAGAAAATAATTTACCAGTAGGTATTGGTGTTTAACTGGAGATTGACAAGTATTACTAAAAGTCTGTTTATATTTATAAATTACATTGACATTTATTTGGAAAACCAAAAATAAAACATACTACATATCAAACTGCACCTAATGATGAAAAACTTTATTCTGTATCAAGGTATCTGAAAAATGAAGCTGCATTTGGGGCACATTACAAATGAGGAATGATCCATATGCGGTGAGTACAAACTCAGTTACAGAATTATTTCCTAGCTATTACCAGATACTCCATTACCAATGCTTAATCAAAAGTAAAACATGATTTGCCACACTAAAAGACTAAAGTGAAATATGACAGAATTTAAACCAGCAGATATAAAGGTAGCACCTATCTGTATGTTTTAAAAAAACAACAAATATTGGAAAAATCAAATACTGAGGAAGAGTTCTGGCCATAAGCACATCTCACCTAAAAGCCAACCAGAAAGCCAGTCCATGATTTTTTTTTTAAAGCAATTCAGTTTGAAATGAAAATTATGAATGCTAGATGAATTCAGTGACAAAAAGGGCACTTTTTGGCTAACACTACAAAATAAACTGGTTTCTGAAAACATTTCAAGTCAAACATTTCAAGTCATTTTCAAAATGTCTGATAATGCTGATCATCAGCAAAGCTTACTTAGTCTGTAGAAATTCATCTTGAAATACAAATGAGGCAAAATAATTTTTTAAGGGGTTATTTATGTCCTTCAGATTCGTGTAATATAATGACTGTGATCATTTTATGAACAAAAGCAACACAATTCTGAGAGCAGCGTGGCCCTGGAGACCACCCAAACCCACATAATTGTACATACTGGGCTTTGCCATCACGTTATGGAATAGGCAAATGAGTTCAGTATCAAAAGTCAAAAGTTTTATCACAGTCATTCAAATTATATTCCAAAAATTATTTTCTTACAAGAACTGGTTGCAGAGAATACAGAAATCCTACTGCATTTTATGTAATAATTTAGGTGGCCTGTCATTTTTCTTGGTTTATCATTGTTTAAAAATCTTCAAAACAGCTTAGTGAGGCTCATGACAGTGCCTGGCACATGCAGATATAGCTTTTTATTGCCTTTAAACACTGTCACACCATCTGACTGCCCCATGGCTCTGCTCAAAGGGTAAACCAACTGCTCTGAGGTAGATTGGCAAACTAAGCATCCTGTAAGACAAGCCGAGGCTTGCTTCCTGCCAATCAGTTTCAAGTCCACAGGGGCTGCATCTCTTCTCTTCATTGACACTTTCATTAGGTAGTGATAGTCAAAAGCACAAAGCAATTATGCACTCAATCACTTAGCCAAACAAACAAAAAACCTTAGTCTCCTGAAGCCATTTAAACTAGCCATTCCAAAACCTCCTGTGACCGCTTTGCTCTGTTAGTACCATCAAAAACTTTCCCTACCGTAAACAGAAAAGGAAATGGTATTGCTGCTCTCCAAATATAGGCACTGCTTCATGTCATTGGACACTTACTTTTCCAACTAACTGTCAAAAGCCTCAAAAAACCTGAAATTAACTTTACAGCTTTACTGTCACCAGCCAGAAGTAAAATTTTTTTCTCAGTTATTTGCCTGTTAGCTAATTAAATGTTAAGTTTATATTTTAAAAAACAGTTGGACTTTTATCTTTATAAAGTATATAAAATTTTCAAAAAAAAAAGCCCCACAAAATTTGCTTCCATTGCATTACTGAATACCTGAGGTAGTTGAGTAAAAATGCACGTTTAATACCCCTGCCAACACCATTCAGCACTTCCCTTAGGTTATTCGTGTTAGTGTTAGATAAAATAAAACAGTTTTTCTATGCTGATACCTTGACATTTAAGTTCCTGTAATAATTCTATTCTGACTTAAGAGCAGTCTAATTTTATTGGATGAATTTAGTGAGTGCATCATTAAGCCAATTTTTTGTATCACAAGGGAATATTAAGGAAAATTAGAATATGTTACACTGAGAATACAACAAAAGGGAAGTGCCTCTCTTTTCTTCCCCCCCGCCCCTTATTTTTTTCCTTTTTAAAGCTGGGTGTCATACATTTCAGAGAGCATAAAGTATACATTCTCACAGAGACAGGAGTTCAAAAGTTGCCTGGTCCTCAAAAACAACTGGCTAGGTAAAAACTTGTGCATGTGATTCTGGATAGGGGTTCAGCCGCCCGTCTGTTGGTTAAGCAATCTGTCTTTGGTTTGGCATCTGCCTCTGTGGTGGGCTGTTTCCTGAGCCTTTACTTCCGCCTTGACTGAGGTGGTCCACTTTGCAGAGCTTTCTGCTGTTGGTGCTGCTTTACCTGAGTGAGAATTTCCTGAATTTTTCTCTGGGCAACCTACAAAAGGAGAGAGGTTTGAAATTTCTACCTGTTCAACAGTTACTAAAAGTTGTTTTACTTTATCATTCCAGAAACTTCAAATAGAAGTTTATTTGAGGATTAATTATACATACTAATTAGTTTAGTTTGCTAATAGTCTTTGAAATCACCTGCTAAAAGGGGGATCAAGTGTTTGGCACTAGAATCAGCGGGGCCAGCTAGAGAGGCATAAGCACAGGGGCGGGGTAGAGAGCTCAGCCAGTGGCAGGGTCTGGGGAAGGGGCAGCAGGTGCCATGTCTGGTGCCAAGGAGATGAACGAGGAAGATAGGCATTCAAACAAGGAGCTAAAAAAAGCAAAGGCCACAGGGAAGGGCCTCCTGGACACTGGTGAAATTAAGAAATTTGGCAAAAAGTGAGCTGATCCTTAATTCCATTCCTGTTTTAACATCTAGATACCCTGTCATAACATCTCTTGCCCCCTATAGCTAGAATGAAGTATTGTCTTGGAGCCTATTGTACATTGAAGAAAAAACTTTTGTAAAAAATCGTAATCATACCCTGGCCGGTTTGGCTCAGCAGTTAGAATGCCGGCCTGCAGTCCAGAGAGACCTGGGTTTGGTTCCCGCTAAGGGCACGTACCTCGGTTGCAGTTTGTCCCTGGCCCTGGTTGGTCGTGTGGGTGACAGCCACTCAATGTGTCCCTTTCACGTCGATGTTTCTCTCTCTCTCTCTCTCTCCCTCCCACTCTATCTGAGCAAAAAATGGAAAAATGTCCTCGGTTGAGGATAAAAAAATCATAATCATCATCATAATCACGCAGTGGCTTATCTCCTTAGTTCATCTCTCTCAGTCGTTTTAACCTTAGCTGTGAGGTAGAGCCTGCCCAGAGTCCTGTCAGAGTGGGTTCTTCAGTCTTTATTCTGTACCGCCTGGAAGTATACCAACTCATTTAAAAAAATAAGTCAATAAATAAAACATAAAAAAAAGTGTCTGGCACTAAACCTTATTTATATGGGGTCAGGCACCCACAGGAAAATTGCTTCCATTTGGGACAGAAACAGAAGCGCGTACTTATCACGTTAGAGCCCACTTGCCTGGCAAGCATAGAAGTGACCAGTTATTTTGACCACCACTTGATCATTCTCATCAGGTGTCTGGTCACGAGGGACAACAACTTCTGCACTAGACAAATTCTGGAGCTCATTCACCTGAAAAAGATTTAAAAAAAAAAACTTGACTTAACATGATTTGTATTTAAGTTACCATTTCCTAAGCACTTACTATGTGCCAGACACTAGCTATGGCTTTACAAATTTTATCCAATCCACTGATTCTTTCCAGTGATTAATATGGTCCCTATTGCAAGATGATGAAAACTGAGGCTTAGGCAAAGAAAATGACTTGCCCAAAGTAACACAAGTGAGTGGCAGAACCAAATTCAAATCCTGAAAGTCTGCTTCTCAATCACTTCAAAATTGTAAATAGCTTTGAAAATGACTTAGCAGTTACACATATTAAAGAAAAGCTGGGCCCTGGCCAGTTTGGCTCAGCGGTTAGAGCGTCGGCCTGCGGTCCGGAGAGACCCAGGTTCGGTTCCCGCTAAGGGCACGTACTTCGGTTGCAGTTTGTCCCCGGCCCTGGCTGGTCGTGCGGGTGGCAGCCACTCGATGTGTCCCTTTCACATCGATGTTTCTCTCTCTCTCTCCCTCCTACTCTACCTGAACAAAAAATGGAAAAATATCCTCGGGTGAGGATAAAAAAAAAAAAAGAAAGAAAAGAAAAGCTGGAGCCCAGGCCGGTTTGGCTCAGCGGTTAGAGTGTCCGCCTGCGGTCCGGAGAGACCCGGGTTCAGTTCCTACTAAGGGCACATACCTCAGTTGCAGTTTGTCCCCGGCCCTGGCTGGTCATGCGGGTGGCAGCCACTCGATGTGTCCCGTTCACATCGATGTTTCCCTCTCTCTTCCTCTCTCTCCCTCCCACTCTGTCTGTACAAAGAATGGAAAAATGTCCTCGGGTGAGGATAAAAAAAAAAAAAGCTGGAAACCATTTGCTTTTTTCAGTTAGAGAAGTACAAGGTTATAGAAGTTATAAGGTAGATAAAAATTTTTGTCTCGTGTCATTGTGCAATAAAAATAAAAAGCTGAGTTATATCAACAGAAAAATGCCAAATGCCCCTTATAAATAAGAGTTTTCTCACACAAAGTGGTCTGAACGAGCCCTGGCCAGTTTGGCTCAGCGGTTAGAGCATCGGCCTGCGGTCCGGAGAGACCCGGGTTCGGTTCCCGCTAAGGGCATGTACCTCGGTTGCAGTTTGTCCCCGGCCCTGGTTGGTCGTGCGGGTGGCAGCCACTCGATGTGTCCCTTCACAAAGTGGTCTGAATGAGAGGCATACTCTCACCAGTAACTAACACCAACACTCAGGAGGAACAAAAGGCAGTCTTCTCCAAACCTTGGCCCAGACGGTCCTGCCTTTTATAAATTAGCCAAAATGTAGGGGCGTGGAAGTCCCGAGGACCTGCCAGTGCTCTCCCTTTCATACCACTGCACAGGTTTTGCCGGAGTACTTGCCGTTTTGCCTCCTTTTCCAATAACTCTGCCAGCAGCAAAGGATGGCACTCTGATATGAGCTTCAAGTTTCACCTCTTCTTTAGGACTAACAAAGTTTTCTTCTTTAATTTTTCCATAAATTCTTCCTTGAGCCTGCAGATGAGCACATATCCTATCAGTGTCGTTCATGTAGGAGACAAAAGGTCCATTAACGTTAAAGATGGCCCAAATCCACTGGAATAGCTTTTTGCAGTGATACGTCTGCATTTGATAGACTGATGGTTGCATAACCGAGGGGTTAGAAAGCCCTAGAAAAGGTTGGTGGTAACTGCACATCATAGATGAGGCAACTGAATGATTAATGAAAGATGAACCATATTCTGACAACAGTTAAAGGCAGTTCATCAATAGTCATCCTAACAAAAACTAAATCACTTTTGTGGGCAAATGGCCATTTGCTCTCCAACTGAAAGGTAAAACCTCTCCTACAGGCAGGAAGAAAGTAACTATTTTTCTTGCGCAAAAGAGACTAGGGAAGAACTACAGAGCCAACCACAAAAACAAAAGTATCTAACACATTTTCATTGGTGCAGAAATGATAAGCTCATGTTGGGGGATTACAGGGAAAAAATCTTGGTATATATTCCATTCATCCTGAGAGTCTCAGGCCACAAATGTAGCTATTAACACACGGACACTGGGGATATACATCATCCTCCAAAACAAACAGAAGCTCTTGAGTTCATAAGGAAATATAATGATTAGGAGGTTTATTGTTATTTAGATCTCTAAAATAATTCATTTGTGATTATCACGGATCACATAAATGAGATTTAAGCATTATAGCTTTTCTTAAGTGTTCCATTTAGGACAACTGTACAACACGAGCATTGGAGGATACAGGGAAACAAACTTTGAGTTTCCCAGCATTCAAGCAGTATTATAGAAATTGCAAGATGGTAATTCCATTTATCAAATAGTAAGAGCTCAGCACCAAGAAGGAACATATAATAACTGATGCCTGTATTTATCTTTTAAGATGTAAAACCAAAAATGACTGACCCTGTAGGTTCAGGATAGGAAGCAATTTTCAACACTTCCAACTTATAATTTGAACTACCCTGGATGGACCACATGGCTGGTGTGAGGGAGTCAAATTCTTCACCCAAGTTTGAGCCTAGCCAACCTGCACCCACATCTCAAAGCAGCTCTTTTTGTTTCATGCTCTTCCTGTAAATCAGAGGTGGGGAACATCCAACCCAGGGGCTGTATAAGACCCTCAAAATCCATACCAGCTAACATCACACACCTCACCAAATATAGCAGGCTAATTTTTAAGTTGATAATTTTGTATGGCCTGTGAATGATGTTATAAATACCCAAATGGCCCTTGGCAGTAAAAAGGTTCCCCACCATTGCAGTAAATGGAGTGGGTGGGGAGACCTTTGAATTTTTAGTGAAAAATGGCCCATTGAAAATAGAGATCAAAGACAGTAATGTTTTAAAAATGGTGTGTGTGTGGGGGGGGGGTGCTGGCTGGTTTGGCTCAGCCGTAGAGTGTCAGCCTGCGGACCAATGAGTCACAGGGTCAATTCCGGCCAAGGGCACGTACCTTGGTTGCAATTCGTGGCCCTGGTCGTGCGGGAATCAACCAGTTGATGTGTCCCCCTCATGTCAATGTTCCTCTCTCCCTTTCTCTCCCTCCCACTGTCTGAAGATAGAAAAGTATTCTTGGGTGAGGATTAAAAAAAATAAAAGTGGTGGGGGGGATCGTGAGAGAGGGATGTAGGCACTGTTCCTAGCCACATTTTGGAGCTGAGGGAACTAAGGCTTAAGGGTTTTTTAAAATTCTCACCTGAGGACATTTTTGCATTTATCCTCAGATAGAGGGGGAGGGAGAGAGGGAGGAAGAAAGAGAGAAACATCAATGTGAGAGAGAGACGGTTGCCACCCGCACGACCCCAACTGGGGCCGGAGACGAACCACAACTGAGGTACGTGCCCTTAGCGGGAACCAAACCTGGGACTCTGTGGTCCACAGGCTGATGCTCTAACCAGGGCAAGGCTTAAGTTTAAGAGTTGTCCTGTAACACAGCTGCCAAGTGGTAGGAACAAGACATGGGTTTTGGTACATTAGTGTCATTAGAATTCAGTAGTTGTGCCCTGGCCGGTGTGGCTCAGTGGTTAGAGCGTCGGCCTGCGGTCCAGAGAGACCTGGGTTCAGTTCCTGCTAAGGGCATGTACCTCGGTTGTAGTTTGCCCCCAGCCCTGGTTGGGTCGTGTGGGTGGCAACCACTTGATGTGTCCCTTTCACATTGATGTTTCTTTCTCTTTCTTTCCCTTCCACTCTATCTAAACAAAATATCGGTGGAAAAAAAATGTCCTCGGGTGAGGATTAAAAAAATAATAATTCAGTAGTTGCTTTTACCTGTGACAAAGACTGCGTTTTATAGGAGAAATCATACACTCAAAGGTATGCATATGTGAATTTGAGGATTTGGCAAGGTCTTAGTCTGACTGACCCAGAGTCTGCTGAACACCATCACCAACATATTTATATTGTGCTTCCTATGTGTCAGGCACTATTCTAAGCACTTATATATTGTTTAAACCTTAAATCTCCATTTTATGGATGAGGAACTAGCCAGAGAAAGGCTCGGTAACTTGCACAAGGGTCACAAGCTGGTAAACGCTAGGGCTGGGAGCTGAACTAGCACCCTGGCTGCCAAGTCTCTGTTCTTTGTCGCCAGCTACGCCATCTTCCAGTATACAGTGAGAGAAATCGCAGCAAACATGAGCAGTGGTTCACACCAGGCAGATGCCATAACAACCTCTAAAATGTGAAGGGTTTGTAGAGAGATGACAGACAAGGGCTAACAGTTAATCAGGGTAAAATGAAAGGGGGGCACATATGATAATGAGGCACTGAGCAGCTCTTCTGGGAGACAGATAAATCCAAATCCAGCCACCATTACAGATTTATAAGACCTTATTTGAGCCAAACTGACCACAGTGGCTGCGGATCAAGATCTCAAATACTCCTCTACTCTGTTCTTAGTCTTAGGAATTTCCATTGAGAAATTGTTTCTACTGAATAATTAGGTACATTTAAAGGAGAAGCCACATTAGAGTTCCTAAAAGAAGGCATTCATATTCTCCGCATTTACTACCTGTGCACACACTCCAGCGCGTACCTTGAACTGGGCCTCCGGTGGCCCGGTGATAATCACCATCCTCACTTTCGCATCTGGTGCTTCAGCTGGAGCGATCTGGAACAGACCCAGACCCGTGAAGGGTTACAATAGAAAGGTTACACAGCCCAGCCCAATATTTGCATATGACTGACTGAAATGCAGAATAAAAGCCTTCCGGAAGGAGGCTTTGAAGAGACAGTGATTAAAGTGAGTTTATTAGTTATTGCTCCTGCAGTATATTTGTCCTTACCCTGTGCCTAGTCCTAATGTAAATGTCCACTTGCAGTCCCTTGGCTAATCCTCACTACACCCTGATGAGGTATTGCCTCTACTTTCCATTTGGGCAAACTGAAGGCTGGAGTTGTTGTTACCTGGCCCATGATCACACAGCTAATAGAGCTGGAGGGAGAGCTGGGTCTGAGTGTCCACTGTCTGTGTTCCTAATCACTATACCATTGGTACCCAGTGTGGTCCTTGTCCCTCAAGCTTCCTGTGTAAGAAACTGTTAAGTTCACAAATTAAGACAACTGGTAAATTCCCTCAAAGTGTGGTCATTGGAGTAGCATATGAAATAAACTATGAAACCTCAGGATAGACTGCACCTTCGATTCAAATTATGAAGTGGCAAGAAGACTCGTGTTTCTGTAACTGACTTAAAGCACCAGGACAGCCACAGAGGGCAGAACAGTACCTTAATAGAAGCTCCTGCAAAACGAGAAAGCTGTTTGATGTGCTGGCCCTGCTTGCCGATAATGGCACCGACAGACAAGGCTGGGATAAACAGATGAACAGTCTCTGTTTCTGACTGCTGTTGGAAGAGAAACACAGGACATTCTGTTGGATACAAATTGGGCTGTTATCATTGGCACAGGGGTAGGGCATTCGCATACAGCAGGAATATAAGGTTGTTTTAGGAAAACCACCACAGTAAGTTGACATGAGTTTACCTAACAGGTCAAGAAGATCTTACATACTCATCCTGAGAGTATTTGCAGGCAAAATGTCACTTCTGTACACAGTTTTACTAAATTATAGATTTAAAAGCTATGTAAATGTTACAAAGTTTAAATGTATTGGAATAGAGGGACAAGATTATGTTTAAAATGAAGATTCCATCACTATATCCAAGGAAGATCCTTGACAAGTAAATGAAATTCTGTATCCAATATTCTTGACAAGTAAATGAAATGAGAATAAAAGAACCACATCACAGAAAATTCATGATTCCTTCATCTTTACCTGACAGGTTTTTTTTTATATCTGAGGATGCTATTTTAAAGACCTTCAGCCTGGCCAGGTGGTTCAGTTCGTTGGAGTGTCGTCCCATACACACACACACACACAAAAGGTTGCAGATTCTGTTACGCTCAGGGCACATAGGTATGTATGCCCTGAGGGTTGAAGGTTCATCCTAGGTCGGGGCACATACGGGAGACCACCAGTTGATGTCTCCCTCTCACATTGGTGTTTCTCTTCCCCTTCCTCTCTCTCTAAAGTCAGTTAACAACAACAGAATATCCTCAGGTGAGGATTAAAAATAAATAAATAAAAGGACCTTCAGAAAGTCTGGTTTCCAGTTTTTCACTGATTCATATAATACTGCAATCAAATCTTTAAAGATAAATCTTATGCCCTTGTACAAATACTTCTAAGATTTTATATAATAGAAATGCTGTATCAGAGCATGACCATTTAAAACTGAGACATTTCCACATTCTCATGCTAATAAGTTTGTCTTACAGTCAACATATTAAAGGGTGTGGGATTATTTTAGTTCAAACCATGCCTTTCACACTTGTGAAAAATACAGCGATGTATGATTCCAGACCCCACACCTAGTTTTCGACAAATGAAAATCATCTAAACTCTGCTTCTCTAAGTGTGTTCTTGTATAGCCCCCACCATGTACCTCATATCTCCTGTAAGAGTCAACCCCCCTCCCTCCCTAAAGATCAATGGAAAAATATCCTCAGGGAGGATTAATAACAACCAAAAGAAGTTCAACTCTAAGAAATATTCTTGACAAAAAACACTGGATTTTTCTCTGATTACTGGATTTTGTTTCTTCAGCATCTGTGTCAATAGATGGACTGTATTCTTTATAGCCTGTATTTCTTTGGTGTTCCATTTCCCAGGATGTCAGCACACACACGACATAGCTGGCCGCTAAAGGAAGTCTTTTCTCGTAGCTCTGTGAGCATCCTTAGATAAAAACAATCAGACTCTGCCTTATCACTAAACTTTCTTTGTTTTCACTAAACTCTTGACTGTGGAGATTTGTGACGGGCCAGGCCTGCACAACTTGGTCAGATGACTACTGTTGCTATTCTGTCAGTGAAGAACAAACAAAATTATTTCATTCTTCAGTATTTCCAAGTCCTAAGAACAGTGTCTCTTTTAGGAAAGCACCACACCTCACAGCCTGCCCATGTGTCATGCAGTCCCCGTGCGCCATTTATTCCAGAGGGACACTGTAAGTAGCCTCTCGTATTTTAATAACCACACAGACAGGCTGAATGAATGCTGACACTGAACATAAACCGTGTTCAGTGTTAGCATCTATTTTGTCATTCTGGTCCTTATATTAAAACTCACATGAATCTTCACCAACTTTTTTTTTTTAAGGTAAAGCTAGTATTTAAATATTTTATGTCACTGAGAACACCCGTATCATGTTCCTCTTAATTATATACTTGTTGGGGGGAAAGAGGTCCTACAGTGAAAAAGACCTTTTAAATGGTCAACCTAAATCCAATGTGTAACTTGTCCAGATCTGTCCCATTGTATTTTGCCATAACTGTATAATTGTTTGTTTTCTAGGCCTTGTTCCAGAAAGATTTTATGCTTTTTACAAAGCACACACAACCTAGAAAGGTAAAACAAAGGAGGTGAAGAAATAAGACCATAGGGCCCTAACAGAAAAGACAAGACGAAGTCAGGTGTGCCATTATCACACAAATTTCACTCTAAGCTTCCTACCAGCTAATTAAAAGAAAAAAACCAGTTGCATGATTCACCATGTTTATGAGAAAAACTATTCATTTGCTAAGTAAAAACTACTTTTCCTGTGACTGATCCCAGAGAGCAACTTCTGAATGTTCTCAGAGGGTGATGTAACAGGTAGCGACCTTAGAGGGCACGTCCAGCCAGCACAGCCCCCTAGATCTGAAGACCTCTGCTGCTATGACAACAGCTCTGAGGCAGCACCATTGCCAAAACTGTCACAGCCTCGAAGGCTGAGCCAGAGCTCAATAATCTTTCCACCGCGCTGACAAAAGGCTATCAATGCATTTGTTTTGTTGGTTTGGGGGGTTGGAGGTGGGGTGGGAGGTAATGAATCCAACACAGAGATTAAGAAAATAAATTTAAAAGAAAAGTTATGTGGCGTTTAGAAAAGGAATGGTGGTCAGTAGAGAAGGGTCTAAAGGGGCAAAGATCTAAAGAAAGAATCAGTATGTAGACAGAAAAATGTTCTGCACTGTACCCTGGCCAGTGTTGCTCAGTGGTTAGAGCGCCGACCCATGTACCCAAGGGTCGGGTTTGCATCCCGGTTAAGGGCACATAACTGGGTTGCAGGTTTGATCCCCAGCCCTGGTTGAGGTGCATGCCGGAGGCAACTAATCAGTGTGAGTCTTACATACATCTCTAACCCCCCCCCCCCCCAATGGAAAAATATCCTCAGGTGAGGATTAACCAAAAACAAAAAAGCCCTGCACTGGGATGAAAACAGGAGCAACAGAACCTGTCAAATATAACAAGCATTAGAGCAAAGCAGACAGCACCAGGAGGTGGTGCCCAGACTGATAGTGACTTGTACTCTTGGCACCTTAACAAAAAGTTGACTCATCAGATGTCTCGAAGACATTTCTGAATATCAATTCCCTTTACTCCAATTCCATATCCATCAGGCATCCCCCTGACCATAAATTGCTTTTCAAAGAAATTTTCTTCTGGGAATATAAGGCACCTCACATAACTTTCTGTTTATGGAAGAGGCAAAAAAGGTGATCAGTTCCTTAGGTCTTTGCTAATTTAAGATGATCTTTAAGAAACAAAATGAGTTGAATATGATTATTTTTTTAAAAAAGAAAAATGAGTTAAAGGGATTTGGGATCAGATTACTGTTTCACAGAGTCTCTCAGTCTTTCTTACTGTGCGTACGACTCATTCTTATGTGGGATTCAGCCTGGTAAGCCATGTTTCAGGATTTGGTCCCTCAGAAGAGCAGATAACTTCATGTTTACTTTCAAAACTGAAGTCAGAATATGGGTTATGATAAGCTTCTTCCACCTGAACTTTAAGTCTCTGAGATGGAGTTTGGAAAAAGGCATCAGCATTACCCTTTCTGTTACACATTCTTTGCATTTAAGTTAATATTCAGATGCATTTTCTTGGACCCTTTTTCCTAAACCTTCAGAGGTGAAGGATATTCACAGGACACAAGCTGCTTCCCAGTGGATTTCTGCCAGACGCCTATCGGCAAAACTGCCTTTGGACTTGTTGGCAGACTTAATGTTATAGCTTGAAAAACAAAAGAACAAAGCTGCTCAGCTGAAAGTTTGCATAACTGGTGAAGTCTGCCAATGAGTAATTCCTAATCATCCATCGTGAGGAGATACAAGAATGAGCAAACAGTAAGGTTAAGTGTATTTACTTTGTGGGGAACAGAATCTAAGACATTACAAAGGCATGGAGACAGGCATGCCAGCCAACAAGAGCAGCCTCCAGGAACCTGGAAGGATGCCAGTGTTTTCCTTGGGCTTGTAAAATAGATATTCCTGGGTTTCTTTGTTTTGTTTTAATGGATTGGGTCTGGAACTGGAATTAAGTTTACTCAACTCCATGACCTGAAAAGAATATTGCAATCTTAAACACACACAGAAAAAGGCAAAGAAACTTTTCCCCCATAACAAATAATCAAAGCCTCTTAGACATAATAAATGTGTACAAAGAATTATTTACTTTGAAATTGTTTACTGACAAAAGTGCTGCACGCACAGTAAGAAAGACTGAGAGACTCCGTGAAACAGTAATCTGATCCCAAATCCCTTTAACTCATTTTTCTTTTTAAAAAAAAAAATCATATTCAACTAATTTTATTTCTTAAATTAGCTAAGACCTAAGGAACTGATCACCTTTTTTGCCTCTTCCATAAACAGAAAGTTAGCAATTTTAAGATCGTGCTATTATTTGGAGACTTCTGGGAAAACTCTAAAGGCACTACCAAAATTAAGACAGCAGCACTCGGGGTAACTTCTGCCAACCCAAAAGCAAGCTGCCAACACTGTCAAGCTATGGGTGATGCTGTGTGCCAGTTCCACCTCTCGCTCTGCTCACTAGCTGCCAATTGCCTCTTCCCTACTGTTTGAGCATTTCTGAAAGGAGCATTTCCTGTCATTTATAAACTTGAAGTCTGCCAATTAAGTACTGCATGAGCCAGCTGCTAGGCGGGACTATAGACTTTTCGTCTGTTGGGAGAACCAACTCTGGCTCTATGGGAAAAATCAACCTGGCAGTTTCCAGGAAAAAGGGTATGTTGTAAGGGAGGGGTGGGCAAAGTTCTGGAATGGAACAGAGGCAAGTGATTTATCCAAAGACAAGATGCATCCATTCTACATTCATGTTACAAAGCAGAAGCGAGAAAACGGGAGGGGGGGAAAATGAAACAATTGTGAACGAAAAAGGAAGCAGTACATAAAAATAGATTCCTTGAAACATTTAGTTATCAAAACCTACTCCTTGCCCGGCTGGTATGGCTCAGTGGATTGAGAGGCCCCAGTTTGATTTCTGAACAGGGCACATGCCCAGGTTGCGGGCTTGATCCCCAGTGTGAGGCGTGCATGTGGCAACTGATCGATGCCTGTCTGTCTGTCTCTCTCTCTCTCTCTCTCCCCCGCCTCCCCCTCTTCTTAAAAATAAATAAATAAATTTAAAAAAAAAATTTAAAAAACCTCCTTGCCAGGCAATACATGTGTAGAGTAAAAGCAGAGATTTACTGCTACCCCACAGGGCAGCAAGGACGAAGAGGCAGTCTTAGCGAGGACCTGACTGCTCTGAGAGCTCTGAAGGAGAGCAAGCTCCGAAGGAGTGGCAGCGTAGCCGCGGTAGAGGACCACCAGGGCGCTGAGGGCAGATCTGCCCACCTTGCGTTCTCTAGCCCAGGTTCTAAAGATACCACAGACCTTCGGCAGTGCTCTTCAGCCAGAAGAAAAGTGAAGCCGAAGGGAACAAAGGACTGGAAGCAGCAGTGGTGAGCAAAAGATAATGCTTGGGTGAATTTACCTGCTGCCTTTAAAAAACAAATCTGTGTTTCAAAGAGTAGTGACTACTTAGTAAGGATTTGGGTGTACAAAAAGAACAGTCTGAATATACGGTGAAAGCAAAGCTATTCCAGCTAAGTATTCCTCCCCCATGAAGTTATAAACTAAAATAAAACTTGTTTAAAGAATTGTCCTAGGGCCCTGGCTGGTTTGGCTCAGTGGTTAGAGCGTCCATCAGCCCGCAGACCAGAGAGACCCGGGTTCGGTTCCTGCTAAGGGCACGTACCTCGGTTGCAGTTTGTCCCTGGCCCCGGATGGTGTCAAGTGGGTGGCAACCAGTCGATGCGTCTCTCTCACATCCATGTTTCTCTCTCTCTCTCTTCCCCCTTCTCTCCCTCCTGCTCTATCTGAAGATTACTGCAAAAGTGTCCTTGGGTGAGGATAAAAGATAAAAAATAAAAAAATAAAAAAAAGAATTGTTCTCTGAAACATTAAACCAGAAAATTACCTGACAGTTATTTGGAAATATTTTACTCTGATTAGTATCCAGAAACAGTACAATTCTCTGAAAATGGTGTTTTTTCTTAATTAGATGAAAATAATCTGCAGGAAAGGAATTGGAACATGGAATTTTCTCCTAAAGAATTAATTTAGAGTTCCCTGTGGGGTGGGGGGTGTAAAGAAATGAGGGGGGGACCTTAAAAATTTACCTCCTCCAAGATCTGAGAGATTCCTTTAACATGTAATACGTACTGCTAAATCCAGGGGGGCAGAGTCAAAGAGCCATCCCCAAAACCTATTCACTTCTTTAGTTATAGACTCAGTTTCCCAACTTCTCTTGCAGGTAGAAATGGCCAGGTGTTGTGTTCTAGCAAACACACCACCAGTGGAAGTGGGAAAAGCTATCCTCAGGCAGTGTCCTTAAAGGAGGTGACTGCCAATGTTTGATCTTCGTCCTTGCTGGCTGGAACCAGATCCAGGGGCTGGAGCATGAGCAGTCATCTAGTACAGGAAATGGTATGCCGAGTCAATGACCAGTCCTAGACGACACAGAACTGCTACCAGAACTACTTCAACTACCTGCCCTTCAACTCTTAAAGAAGGAAAATTCATTTAAACCACATTTTTTTCCACTCCAAAAACACAGCCAAACCTAATCCTGATGATAGAGCATGCCAAAATATATTTAGAAGCATGAAAACAGACATATGGCAGCATCCCACAGACAGCTTTGGGCCTGATGGTTGCCCAAGAGTTGGAATGACAGGTAGTGAGAGTAAAGGGGGTGAGTTTTCTCACTACACTTTAAAGCCTGAAACAGCCCTGGCTGGTTTGGCTCAGCAGTTAGAGTGTTGGCCAGTGTACCAGAGTCGCAGGTTCGATTCCGACCCTGGTCGGAGTCGTGCAGGAGGCAACCAGTCGATGTTTCTCTCTCTCTTCCTCCTTCCCACCTATCTGGTTCAGCAGTTAGAGCCTGCAGACTAGAAAGTCCTGGGTTCAGTTCCCGCTAAGGGCATGTACCTCAATTGCAGTTTGTCCCTGGCCCTGGTTGGGGTCGTATGGATGGCAACCAGTCGATGTGTCTCTCTCACATTGATGTTTTTCTCTCTCTCCTCCTTCCCTCCCGCTCTATCTGCAGATAAAAGCAAAAGTCCCTGTGTGAGGATAAAAAAAAAAGATAAACAGAAAAATATCCTCGGCTGAGGATTAAAAAATAAAATAAAACCTCAAACAAGTTAGAAAGGGACATATATGAATGGTGTGTTTATGCTTATCCTAAATATTGCCTCCCATGCATTAGTCTTGATAGATCCTCTTTTCCAACATTTAAGTCCACCCTCCACAGACTAGTAAATGTTCTTTCCAGAACAGTAGTTCTTGACAATGAACAGGTAACAAAAGCTCCTGATGACCTTAACGAACCACAAGTTTCTGAGCCTCCATCTACTCCTACTGAGATTCTGATTCATTTACCTCTAAGGTGGGCACGGGTTCTTAACCAGTTAAGAAATAGCAGCTATTGTTAACCTTGGCTACAATTTGGAGTCATCTACGGAGTTTTACAAAATAACAATGCCTGGGTCTCATCCCGAATCCCTACCCTGGGCCTGGAGGAAGGGGGAAATTCCATTTGAAAAGAACACCTCCTCTCCTTTAGGTATGGATCAGAGAAAGCTGTATTTTATAGAATATTGTCAACTAATAAATGTAAAACTCCAAGACAGTAACAAATGATTTGGGCAAATGTCAACAATGGCTATTAAACCCACCGGGTTGAAAGGCTTTTGGGGAGCAAGATACTCTCACAATCTCAAAGTACCACTGATTACTTCTAAAGGAGACTTGAAGACATGAGCAGGATTGACTGGATTCTTTATTGAAAAGAGATATTAGAGGACATTATTGGGATAACTATGGAAACTGAAACACAGCCTGCATGTTAAATAACAGTGTTCTGCCAAATTTCTCAAGAGTGATGATGATACTGTGGTTAATATCAAGGTGAATGTCCATGAGGAGAAAAGAGAGGACTGTCCATGGAGGTACTTGTGAGAAGAAAAGGCAATTTAAAAACCCACAAAAGCAAAGATTTCTTCCATTTTGAGGAAAAAAGTAGATTACAAAAATGTTTCCTTTCCACTTTTAAGTCTATGGCTAATTCCTGACACATTATTTGAGGTACAAGATGAAAAGAGAGAAGTTAGCAGTAGGTTAAATCTATAGAAAAATCACTAGGTCACATCTTCAGCAAATACATGCAATACATACACAGTCTGTCGACCTTTCCAGCTAGGTAGACATGTTTGCCTTTCTTCCTAGCATTTAACGTTTAGGTGGTCCGTGGTACACCAATTAGTTGGAAATGTCCGGTTTAAAGTTGGGGGTTCCATTGTATCGCTACCTAGAATACGTGTAGAGTAAAAATGCCCATTGGAATTTTGCAGAGAACGTGGATTGCTAAGATTGTCCGCATTTTATCCCTTTAAGAATGAGAATGTCACCCTGGCTGGTTTTGCTTAGTGGTTAGAGCACTGGCCTGTGGACCCCGAAGAGTTGTGGGTTCGATTCCGGTCAAGGGACATACCTCGGTTGCGGTTTAGTCCCCAGCCCTCGTCAGGGTCATGCAGGAGGCAACCAGTCGATGTGTCTCTCTCACATTGATGTTTTTCTTCTTGTTTCTTTCTCTCCCTCCCTCACTCCCTCCCACTCTACCTGAAGACAAATGGAAAAATATCCTAGGGTGAGGATTAAAAAAAAAAGAATGTATTTTTTCTGCTCTTGCAACCTCCAGGTTATTAGGGGTTCTGAGCTCTCGCCCCCTTGAAGTGTCTGTTTCTACGTCCCCTGCTGGCCGCTTCTGATCACACCTACAGGGAAGTTAAGTGATTGCCTAAAGAACAGCTAGGTCAGGACGGCTGGCAGACATGGAGGCTAGATGAGAGCTGCTACAGCAGAGCTACTTTAAGTCAACTCCTTGTAATTTTTAATAAATGTCATTTTACACACAACTGTCAGAGACACTTCTGCCTTAACCTCAGTCATATGACAAATGCACCTATTTGTAATGAAGATACTAGGAGGCATATTAGAGGTTAAGTTCATGTACTCTCAAATTCCCATTTTAGGCTCACTTTTGCTCTCTTCTCAAACTTTTTATATTACTCAATTCTTCCAAAATTAAAATGTTTGACCTAAAAAAAGAGTCTCTAAAGATTATTCATCTAATTCAGTTTCTTCATTGTGCAGGTGAGAAACCAAACCCAAAGCAAAGAGGAGACTGACCTGTGGTGGTGCAAACCCCGAGCAGAGCTGGGCTAGAGCTGGGCTAGAGCTGGGCTAGAGCTGGGCGCTCACCTCCAGGGCTCCTTCCACCTGCTCCCTCTCTACATCACCTTCAGCTGTAGTGGAAAGTGTCACTTAAGACATAATGAATCAATTCACACTTGAAATGGAACTGGAATTCTGAAGCCTATCCTTAGGTGAATGGGCTTTGTCATATGATTTCCAAGCCCAAACACACTGGAGTGACGGACAAGGTGCAGGGGAAGGTGCGAATGCTGCTGACGGTCACGGCAGAAACACATGGTAAGAGGAGGGCAAAAGCTAAGCACACCCAACAGTGTGCGGGTTTCAGGTGCAGGCAAAGGAAATCCTCACTCTTAAAGGGATAACATATGGACAATCTCAGCAACCCATGTTCTCTATAGAATTCCAGTGGCACTTTACACATATTCTAGGCAGGGTGATAATAGAACCCCACCCCCAATTTATTCCCCCCAGACATTTCCCCAAATTGGCATAGGAGGTACCACTCAAAACGTTCTACAAGGACAGCCAACAGGAAGGGAGAAATGGAAAAATAAAGACATGAAGGAAGATCCTAGAACGTTAATTTTATTTCACATGATTTTCTACCCCAATTATCATTGATAACATAAATGACTCATGAACTACTTTCAAAAAGAATTATTGGATGAGGTGTCTACTATGCTGCAATTATTTTCATATATCACTGGTCTCCTATTTCTGACCTCAGGAAAAAATGCTGGTCTTTTTTTTTTTAATCTCCACTCAATGATATTTTTCTGTTTATCTCCAGATAGAATGGGAAGGAGGGAGGGGGAGAGAGACAGAGAGACAGACATCCATGTGAGAGAGACACATCGACTAGTTGCCTCCTGCACAACCCCGACCAGGGCCTGAAATGAACCACAACCGAGGTACATGCCCTTGACCAGAATCAAACCTGAGACTCATTGGTCCAAAGGCTGACGCTCTAACCGCTGAACCAAACCAGCCAGGGTGAAAATGCTATTCTTAAAAAGCAAATATAAAAATAAGGTTTAGCCCTGCCGGTCTGGCTCAGCGGTTAGAGCGTCAGCCCGCAGACTGGAGAGTCCTGGGTTTGGTTCCCGCTAAGGGCACATACCTCAGTTGCAGTTTGTCCCCAGCCCCGGTTGGGGTTGTGTGGGTGACAACCACTCGATGTGTCTCTCTCATGTTGATGTTTCTCTCTTCCTCTCTCCCTCCAGCTCTATCTGAAAAAAAATGCAAAAATGTCCTCAGATGAGGATTAAAATAAAATAAAAAATAAGGTTTATTTCTTTTCCTTTATTGATTTTAGAGAGAGAGATAGAAACATCGATGAGAGAAAACATCGATTGGCTGCCTCCTGTATGCCCCCCACTGGGGATTTGGCCCACAACCTGAGCATGTGTCCTGATTGAGAATTGAATCGGCGACCCCTTGGTGCTTGGGTCAATGCTCAACCACTGAGCCGCACTGGCTGGGCAAGATTTATTTCTTAATAACCTGTTTACAAAATAAATAAAAGCTATTTAACATTTGCACGCAAACACATGCACAAAACTGAGTTCATAATTTTAAAAAATACGAACAAAATGGAAGAAAAAAAATGTCCAGTTTTTACCGACCTTTCAAAGCAGGTAACTTTCAGGTGAAGTTAAGGATGAAGGAAGCCTTTTAAAAATTCTTTTCTTCAATATTTAAGAATAAGTAACCTCTAATACTTTCAACAATAAAGATAAATATTTCTAAAAGATGAATCAGCCCGGGTGGTGTGGCTCAGTGGTTGAGCGCTGACCCATGCACAAAGAGGTCACCAGTTCAATTCCAGGTCAGGGCACATGCCCAGCCTGCGGGCCAAATCCCCAGTGGGGGGCGTGCAGGAGGCAGCCAGTCAATGTTCTGTCTCATCAATGTTTCTCTCTCTCTCTCCCCTCTTCTTTCTCTAAAATCAATAAAGAAAAAAAATTAAAAATAAAAGAATCAAATTGTAATGAGGCCTCATGAATTCAGTCATAGTAAGCATGGTACTGCCCACTTAAAGAATAAAAAGAGATCAGTGGACGACAAGTTGAAAAAATAAAAATGGGGAAAGGACCTAAATAGACACTCTCCAAAGAGGACAAACAGATGGCCAATAGACATATGAAAAGATGCTCAATGTCACTAATTGTCAGAAAAATGCAAATTAAATCCACAATGAAATATCACCTCACACCTGTCAGAAATGCTATCATCAATAAATCAACAAAAGACAAGTGTTGGCGAGAATGTGAAGAAAAGGGAACCCTTGTGCACTGTTGGTAGGAATGAAGATTTGTGCAGCCAGTGTGAAAAATAGCATGGAGTTTCCTCAAGTAATTTAAAATGGAACTGCCTTATGATCCAGCAATTCCACTTCTGGGTATATATCCGAAAAACACTACTTTGAATTATATGCACCTCTATGTCCATTGCAGCATTATTTACAGTAGGTAAGCTATAAAAACAACACAAGTGCCCATGAGCAGTCGAGTGGATAAAAAAGCTGTGGTACATCCATACAATGGACTATTGGCCATAAAAAGAATGGAATCTTATCATTTGCAACAGCATGGATGGACCTAGAAGTATGCTAAATGAAATAAGTCACTCAGAGAAAGACATACCACATGATTTCACTTATATGTGGAATCAAAATAACAATATAAATGAACAAACAAAACAGAAACAGGCTCGGTTACAGAGACCAGACTAATGGTTGCCAGAGTGGAGAGGGTCGGGCACTGAGTGAAAAGGTGAAGGAATTGAGAAACACAGATTGTTAGTTACAAAATAGCCACAGGGATATAAAGTATAGCACAGGGAATAAAGTCAACAATATTGCAGTAACCGAATGGTGCCAGCTGGGTACTGGAAACACCGGGGGAATCACTATGTGAAGTACATAATTGCCTTTACACTGTACACCTGAAACAAATACAAAATAATACTGAATGTAAACTGTAATTTTATTTTCTAGTTAATCCTTACCCAAGGACATTTTTCCATTGATTTCTTAGACAGAGTGGAGGGGAGGGAGAGAGAGACAGAAACATCAATGTGAGAGGGACACATCAATTGGCCGCCTCCCGCACGACCAGGGCTGGGGATCGAACCTGCAACCCAGTTACACGCCGTTGACCAGAAATCAAACCCCGGACCCTTCAGTTCTTGGGCAGACACTCTAACCACTAAGCCAAACTAGCCAGGGCGTAAAATGTAATTTAAAAAAAATTTTTTAATAAACAATTTGAAATATATATTTTATTTATAATTTATACAAATTATAAATTTGTATTGAAATATATTTATAAATAAATATATATGTATATATAAAGAATAATAACCTCTTTCCCCCCACTCAAAGTCTCAAACTTTTAACATTTGAAAGCACATGTTGACAACTCTACCACCCCAAAACACCAAGAGTAGTAACTCCCGTGTCTACAAAAGGATAGATAAGATCCTACTGACCAGAGCCAGAAAGCATGTGCTGGCTCTAAGCTAATTCCAGATCACATGGGAACCAGGTTTTACATTAAGAGTTTCCCCATAAAACATCTCACGTCACAAGGCAACAGAGTCCGACTGTGTCCCACTCAATCATAAAGAAAGCCAAGGCACGCATCTTACCTCAAACTGTGGGTAAGGAGGCGTCATGGCTGAAGGGGGCCCTGAGGTGGGAGGTGGCATCCCTGAAGTGGGTGGGAACAGACCCAAGGCATTCAGATTTAATCCAGGAATTAAATGTGCTTGAAGCTGTAATGGTAAAAAGGTCCCTTCATTTTACAATTAAAAGATCAAGTGTAAGTGAGCATTTAGAAGTGACAATATTCAGATTGTGACCTCTTGTCTGAAGAAAATCATTTGACACAAATGTTAGAACAAAGCAGATGTTTCCTGTGACCACACTTGAGCATATAGCTTATCCCTGTTTATATTTCTTGGCATTTTAAAATCCATGTGCTTGTGTGCCTCCTCCTTGATCTGAAGCCACACTGAGTTTCTTGAGGCAGGGACACAGCCTTCCTGTCCTTGACCAGCAGCTCAGTGCTCAGACAAATATGTACTCTGTACTGTGGGCACACGGTGAGTAAGTATAGACAGAAAACCATGCATTCGCTGAAGTAGTAAGCAAACAAGATTTGTTCACTGAAAAGCAAACCAGATATGGAGAACGAGCTATGCAGAGATCTTTACTTCTGGATATAATTTGGCAGTCATGGGGTCTAAAGGTCTAAACCAGTCAAGCCCTTCGGAAATCAGGTCCTCTCCACATGTAACAACTACAACTAAACTTCTCTTTGGAGTGGATCCAGCAGCCAGAAAGGGGATTTTTGTTTTTGTTTAATGTTATAAGGGTTGAGGAAGGAAGGCGGAGATCAGAGAGCTGAGACTTGAGCATACTTGAGAATCCTTTTAAAAGGCCGGTGGAGTTGGATTTACTCCTGATGAACCCAAACATTTGGACGAGCAGTGATGATGTGAAGGCAGGAAGGCAATCGAGTGGCCTAAAATTATTAGCATTCTAAGTTCTTCCCCCAAAGGGAATAACATATTTACATTTCTCTTCTTTTAGGTATAATGTTTCAAATGACAGGCCCAATTGAGGAAATATTCTTTTTCAAGTCATTTACTTGAAAACTCAAGACGAACTTGACAAATGTTACATTGTGCACACCCTTCCATCCGTTAAGGAATGTCAACAATTCACTTTGTCCTGGTTGCACTTCACAGATTATTTCTTTTTATCTCCATGTAACCAAGTTTTAAATTTGTATTCATAACAATAGTTTTTACAAGCACAGTTATCTAGTGTAATTCTAATAGGCATGCAATGTAGGCAGTAGCCCCATTTTACAGATGAGGAAACTGATGCTCAGAAAGACCAAATAAGTTGTCCAAGACAGTGGAACCGCAACTGATAAATGGGTGAGCTGGGGTTCAAACCCAGTTCACACATGTCTAGAGCCCATATTCCTACTATACTCATTTCCTTCGAATCAACCTTGTGCAGGAGATATTAACCTTTTTAAGGTATGTATTAGCCTTACCTCACAGATAAGGAACCTAAGTCTCAAAGACTAAATAATTTGCTCAAATCATATAGACAGGCCACCCTACTGTCAAAGCCGGTCTTCCCAGGGCACTCCCTATGGTGCTAAACATCACTGAGAACCTACATCTAATGATGACATCGCTAAAGAAATCATATCAATGCGACTGAAAACATCTTTTAACTTCATCAAAGGAAGGACACGCCCTTCATGTTAAAACTAACATTCATAGAAGCAATATCGTTTTCATAAGACTCCCTGATTTTCTTCATTATCTCTTCCTCAGCTTTGGCACAGGTCTCCACGCTGCCTTTCACTGTGATGGTGCGCTCCGGGTTATACAGCGTCAGTTCCTGCAGGCTGCGGATTGAAGGGGAAAGAAAAGGAATGGAAATTATCGGAGAAGACAGTGAACAACAGTTCAGCCACAGATGGCAATTAAAACCCAACTGTGGGGGCTGGCAATATATATAAAAGTGGATGGTTAGACATGAAAAATGGTTCAACCCCAAAAGACATGAATCCAAGAATTGTAAAGCTGCAGGACAGAAAACACTTCTCAATAAAAATAGCTGGGTGTATACAGTTCGGTTAAGTTCATGTTTTAAACAGGGTGTACTTCTTGACTACTGAAGGTTGAACCATTTTCACAATTTAACAGTGAAATGTAAAGAAAATGACTGGAGGGATGCTGTTTTAGTGGAAACCAAGTACCAGATGTACATAACCTTCAATGTGTATGTTTCTAGTCTGCCCTGACCAATTTCTAGGCATAATTGGCATTCTCATGCAATTGCATTTTCTGGGTCACCAAGCAAGGAATAAGCGTGGAAATGGTCCACAAAGGCAAACCAGAACTCATGCGTATAAACTTCCTCTTTGCCAGTGATTTGAGAATTTAGATCAAAGTAGGCTAGAGGAAATAATGTAAATCGATCCTTTTTATTTTGTTTTTCTTTTTTTTTTCATTTTTTATGTTCTTTTGTGTGTTTTGTTGTTAACATTTTTCAATCCATCTTGACTAAATTTAAAAAAATATGTAGTCCCTGGATGACAACCAAAAAATGAGAATGCTGCAGCAATACTCAGAAACTGCCGCTAGTCCTGGGTCCTGCGGAAGCTTCGAAAGCACTTGGATGACATCTGCGCCCCGCCGCCTGGGCCAGCCCGCCGCCTGGGCCAGCCCGCCGCCTGGAGACAGAGCAGTGGGAGCCGTGCCCCGTGGAGACAAGTGCGCAGGGCACGGGGATGTGGTGCTGGTGCAGCTCTCCTCGTACTTTGGTTAAAAACCTCATGTTCACGACTAGCGGAATACCTTAAGCTAAACTTGAGACAGATGAATGGCATCATTTTCTCTCCAGCTTGATAAAAATGTAAACATTTTTTTGTCTTAGACAGCTTAAAGAAGAAGTGTATTTCTATTCTCCAGTTTCAACCCACCTCGCCCCTGCCAAACTTCTATTTTATTTTTTTAATCCTGATCCGAGGACATTTTTTGCATTTATCTTCAGATAAAGCAAGAGGAAGAGTGGGAGGAAGAGAGAGAGAGAAACATTGACATGAGAGAGACACCGAGTGGCTGCCACCCAAACGACCCCAACCTGACCCCACCATGTAACCAAGGTGCATGCCCTTAGCGGGAACCGAACTCGGGCCTCTCTGGTCCGCGGGCCGAGCCAAACCGGCCAGGGCACTCCTGCCAAGCTTTTATATTACAGTGTTCAAAATAGCTGCTTCTAGAATAGTTCTTAAGATTCCCCCCCCCCCCCCCACTTAAAACCCTCCTCTTTCTGGGCATGAACTTCAAGACGGGGTAGGGTCCTTTATTATTTACCACTTTATGATTTTTTCTTTCTTTACAATCAAGCAGGAACTTCCTCCTTCCTCGCCACCTCCTTCTTTGAAAACTTGCTACACAAACACCCCGCACCTGTTCTTAGTCCATCTGTCTCTTACCACCTTACCTTTTTTCAGGTGTTCTGATGGAAACCAGGGATAGTCCCTCTCAGAAAAAGAAAAACCTTTCCAAATCATTCCAGAGCATCTGCGGACCCTGGGTGTGGCAGCCAGGCTCGGGGTGACCCCCTCCCAGTGACATGCACTCCCCTGCCACACTGAAGAGCGCTCTCTTGTGTGAACATTAGAAAACAGCAGGGTGTGACTTCTGAGGCTGTTATAAAGACACTGCTCTTTCAGATCATCCACTGGGAGACAGCTGCCCTGTCTGAGGATGCTCAAGTAGCCCTGTGGAGAGGCCCCTGTGGTGAGGAACTGAGGCCTCCCAACAGCCCGCACTGACTTGTCAGCAACATGAAACCTGAGCAAAACCACACAGTCAAGTTGCTACCGAATTCCGGACCCACAGAAACAAGGCGACCAATAAACATTTGCCATTGTCGTAAGCTATCAAATGTTGGAATTATTTCTTACACATCAATGGATAATAAATTGGACTCTATATACCCATTTGAGGAGTATATGTTAGAAAACTTAACCAAAACTTCAGCTAGGAAATAGGAATGTAGAGCTTTCGGTGCCCCCTCCCCTTCAGCGGGAACAGAGAATGCTCGGGCTGGAACAGAGAGCATACCGAGTTTGAGAAGCGAAGTCTGGCGATGCAAGCTAGCTCCACCAGCTGTCAGATGGGACAAGCTATGCTTAATATGTAACCTACGGGTTAAACACAGTGTTTGAAAATTTTCTAATTCAAAAGAAAGCAAAGCAGCACTTACGGAGATATCGTGATTTTAGTGTCTGTGTCCTGCTCAATTTTTTTAAGATTTCTTCCTTCCTTACCAATAAGACGGCCTACAAAGTTATTATGGGCTAAAATCTTCAAGGGAATCTCTTCTGTGCTGTAAATGAAAGGGAAAAAATGGTCATGAGATCAGGATAAGTAAACCTACTCTTGAGTAAAAAGACAATATTCATTCATTAAACATTTACTTCCTACCTACCATAGAGGAAGCATTGTGCTGGGCAGAGTTTAAAACTGGCTGACCATGAGCCTACATTCTAGCAATGCATGAATAGATGGGGTAACAAAACATTAACATGTATTTGGATAGAAGTTAATTTTTAAAAATGGTTTCCTTTTATTCATCTCAGGGACCATCTTCCAATGATGGATTCTGTTAGCTCTGCAAACAGCTCCTACTCAAATTCCTGTCCCTAAACCCCCAACACCAGGACACAATGTACAAATGCAAAATAGTATGATTTTCAGTATAAATTTTAAAATACATATTTGGCAATACATGCACAGTTTATACAAAGAAACAGAAGAAACTCAACAGTGGTTACACTCTGGGGGAAGGATGCGAGGGCTCCGCACTTTGTTTTGAACCTTCTGAATTTCCAAGTCAAACACACCACTGTTTAAAGACATCATTGGGGTTATCTGGGTGGTGGGCTTTTTCTTTATTTTTCTCTATACCAAACAAGAATTATAATCTGATAGCACCCTAAATAATACCTTATAACTAAAATATATTTAATATGTTTTAAAAGTCCCTACAAACTAAATGCTGGCGATAGGTCCAGGCTAACGCCAGCACCTCACTCCGGGTCCTACTTTACACGCAGGCCTGTGCCAAATGCTCAAAGTAGCACAAAACCCGACTCTACTCCAAGTTTCTATGGGAAAGACAGCTAAGAGCTCCAACCTGGAACATCCAAATAAATCCCTAGTTTATTAGCACAAGATTAGGGATTTCCCCTCCTCCTACTCCCTGCTGCTGCAGGTGTTGCTGGGCAGACTAGAACAAAACCCCCAGGAAGCTCAAAATCAAGGAGTGAGGATCTGGGCCCTGCCTGGGGTAAATCCCAATCATACTTCCTGGACCTCAGGTGGGTGGCTTATGTCCCCCATCACCTTCTATAGCTGGCCTGTCCTCCTTACCACCACTCACCCCACAGCTACACACAAATGAAAACATTTTAAGGACTTATGTTTTACAACCAAATCAACAGTGCCAACCACTGGAGCTCATCAAGACAGCCACATCCGGTATTTGTTGGCAACCTCCAAGAACGGTGTCATAGAAATTCAAAACAAAACAGCACGGATATCAACCTCTCCATAGGTTCATCCTTGTTACTCACAATTTTATGTCTTGAGCTTCTTTATGCATAATCTCCAGAATAGACTTACAGGCCGCAGAGGTGCCTTCAGGGGTAGAAAGGATAGTAATGGACTTCTCAGCAGCACCTGCGTTCTCTTTGCGATGGACATCGATTCTTAGGATGGGCACAAGGAGAGGAAAATGAGAGCTGTCAACACAGATTCACAATAGCATTTACAACCACCAACTTCCAAGTCATGGGACCTCGGGGCAGAGAGGATGATGAGTCAATTCCCTCAAGAGCATAATCTCCTGATAAACTGTCCACTGGATGCCTTAGAGATGAAGTTTAATTCCAGGAACACTCCCCCTCTCTCCTCAGTCTGACCAAGCAGGGACATCTTTTCATTGTGCCCAAGCTTCCTTTTTGATGGCACGGAACAAACATCGCATGATAAAGAGCCGAGGTTCAGACAAAGGCTTTCTTCTGCTCTAAACCAAACAGGAACTGGGACACAGGCCAAGAGGGCAGGAGCTGGAGCCCCACAAACCAGTTCAAACTCTGACTCCACACCGTATTCTCTCCCTGTTCATCGGATGAGCACGTTCACTCATCTGTTTCCTTTTGCGAGGCTCTTCCTACATGCCCCCTTCACAGAGGGAAGTCCTCAACAAAACCCAGAGAGATGGCGATTCTACTGCGAAGAAAAGCAAATGGTCTACGAATGCAAAAGGTTAAACCTCACTAGTAATTATACACACACCAATTAAAATAAGGCGGATTTTCTTCCAGACCTGCAAATATTTTGATAGATAAAATTAAGTATTGGCAAGACGATGAGTAAACTGGGCACACCCACACCCTTGGTGGGAGTGTAGAACAAAATGGCAGGACCTACCACAGCTAAATATTTACACCTTTTGACTCAAGAATTCTACTTCTTGCCCTGCCAGGTGGCTCAGTAGGTCACGCCATACACCAAAGGTTGCAGGTTCAATCTCCGGTCAGGGTGTGTGTGGACAGGAGGCAACCGATCAATCTATGTTTCTCTTTCTCTCCCTCCCTCTCTCTAAAAATCAGTAAGAACAGCGCAGCGGTGTGGCTCAGTGGACTGAGTGTCATCCCATGGACTGAGAGGTCCCGATTCGATTGCCGGTCAGGGCACATGCCTGGGATTCGGTGTGGGGGGTGCAGCAGGCAACCAATCAATGTTTCTCTTTCACATTGATATTTCTCTCTCTCCCTTCCTCTCGCTCTCTAAAAAAATAATAAATAAAAAACATTAAAACTAAGCACATATCCTTAAGTGGGGACTTAAAAAAAACAAAAAGGAATTCTACTTCCAGGAACATCTACGATGTATCCCTATGTGCGCCGAGCGGTGTTTGCACCTTCAGCACTTCTGCCACTTTGGCCAAATTAATTCTCTGTGGGGGGCCGTCCTGTGCGTGGCAGAGTTCAGCAGCAGCCCTGGGCTCTACCCACTAGGCGCCTGGGGCACCTCCCTCTTCCAGCTGTGACAGCCAAGAATGTCTCCAGACACTGCCAATGTCCACAGGGGAAAGGGGCTGAAAACATCCAGCACGGGAATGACTGGATTATCTGCAAAAGGCCCACCAGGAAGAGATGGTTAAATAAGAATACATCCATATCACACAGCTGTTTAAAAACGTGGTATAATTACAGATACTGACATTGTAAGAAATCCTTGACCTTTTGTGAAAAAAATACAATACATACCATAAAATTTATTCCTTTAAAAATTTTCTTTAATCCTCACCTGAGGATATTTTTCCATTTATCTCAGATAGAGTGGGACGGAGGGAGTGAGGGAGGGAGGGTGAGGGGGGTAGAGAGAGAGCGAGATTGAGAGAGAAATATCAATGTGAGATGGGCACATCAACCGGTTGCCTCCCGCACGACCCTGACCAGGGCTGGGGACAAACTGCAACAGAGGCACGTGCCCTTGACCAGAATCGAACCTGTGATTCATTGGTCCACAGGCCAATGCTCTAACCACTGGGCATAAGATTTATCCTTTAAAGCTACACTTGTTAGCAGATACAAGAAACAAATCCTATAAAGAGACACCCTCAACTTAACAATGGCTACTGCAGGGGTGAGATGAAGGGTAACTCTTGTTTGTTTGTTTTTCATTTGCATACGTGTATATTTTTAATTAAATGCAAAAAATAAGTTTGCTGTTATTGAAAAGTTACAAGAAAGAAAATCAGCTATCCAACGGACATAGACAACAATACTGGGGTGGGGGGAGGAGGGTGTTGGGGGGGGACATCTGTAACAAAAATAAATTAATACAAATTGGGGAAAAAAACTATCCAAAAAAGTGTGTTCAGAGAAAATGAGATATTTCTAAGTCCCTCTGGCCACTCAAACACTGGAAGACAAAGAGCTACGTAATTCCTCACCATGAGGACAGCCACTTCATCTTGCCAATAAAATCGAGGTTTGGATTTCATTTTCCTAAATGTTTACTGAAAACTGAAGATATATTTCAGAAGCAAAACCTATCACTAAAAATAAGGGCAAGGTTGAAATTAAACAAATAAGAGCTAACTAGAAATAACTAATTAAAAACAGTGCCTTAGATAACAGTCCCAAACTCAGGAACTACGATCTCAGGAGCCATTTTTCCCAACCACGATTTCAGGAATCCCAGTCACCTTAACGCATTGCGTATATTCTAGAAGGTGACATGTCAAACAAACTCCCTCCTTCCAGTGTGTTTCCGCCCATCACTGTGAAGGGTTACTTAAGTCTGGCCCTTGGGGAGAAGGGAATGTTGCTCTACAGATTTGGGTGACCCCCTGAGGCCGTTCCAGAAGCAGGATCCGATAATGACTAGTGTCAACGGCAAGAATGAAGTAAGCCCACTGGCAGAGCTCCGCAGAGGGATCATGGGATATAATAAAAACGGCTCCCCTTCCCTCTCCCAATAAAACAGTTCAATTTAAACCACAGAAGCTCTCTTCCTCCGACAAGGAAATGAGTAGCGTTAAAAAGGAATAACTAACCTGTCATGCGACAAGGAAGGAAAACCATGTCATCGTTTGTCTCTGCAGGTAAGGCCTCACCAAGGGAAGTAAGAAGCCCTTCAAGTTTGAGATTCAAACCAGGCAAATTCAACATCGAAACTGATGTAGGCTACGGTTCAATCGTCTTCCCCACCCCCTACATTACGAGGTCAAGGCTACTGATTGTGTTCAAAGGTACCCAACATCATCTCCTGCTTCAAAGCAGGGGAAGGCCGGCTCAGACATCACTCTGCAGGTGGAGTGGGCCCAGCACCACCACAAAACACAGTTCTCTCTGGTTCCGCATGAGAAATCAGTCAACTAGTTCAACGCAGGCATGGTGCCCACGATGAATATGGATATCCTCTGAAGGCCTGTTCGAACAAACACAGCACCACAGTTGTACTTCCAGAAAACGACTCTCTCTCCTTAATGCCTTGGACCACATGAAAATAAATCAATGTCCTTACTAAATTTAAAAAGCAAAATAATCTGCAGTCATTTCTGTAGCTGGCCCAAGGCCACTGCTCTGCCCTTTGGTGCAGAGTGACTGACCCCAGAGAGATCTATACACGACCACCTCCCCCTAGTACACTCAGCTCTTTAGGCAATACAGCGGCAGCGGCCCAGAGATGTGCCCAGTAACACTGCCCAGAACTAGGGTGGGGACAGAGTCCATCCCCAAGCTTCTTGGTCCAGATAGTCACACATAGTATCACGGGTCCGCTAATAGAGCGAAGCCAGTAATATGTGATGTGTGGAGTTACATTTCACTCATCAGCCAAACACGAGAGCCTTCTGCACATCGGGCACCATGCTCAGCACACTGGTAAATCCTAATACACGGCGCCTGCTTTCTACTCCTGAAAAGTTAGCTCCAGGGTGGCCAAGGATCTCCCAGTCCCTTAAAACCAGCACAGTAAAACTCCCAACCAAGATCCTGAAGAAGGAGCCATTCCGGCTACCTGGCGTTCTCAAGGGATAAATCTGGAGCACAGGCTGAATGATTCTTTACTCAAGTAAAGCAAGACTGAAAAACTTATCTTTGTATTGGACCCAGTAAATTACTTCCAGAAACAAAAAGGCAGGTATCACTGGGGGTTGGGGGAGCAGAGAATAACCTAGAAGCCGTCCTTCTGTTCCCCAGGCCTCCCCACCACAGGCGCATTAGGTACCATTTGTTTTCCATTAACATGGGAAAAGATGAGGTTCCCTTTGAGAATAAAATTACTTAGCCCCACGTTCAAAAAAATAAACAAACACTAAGATATCAAAACCACAAGGTTTTCCCAGATTCCCAAGTACCAGAAGGGATCGTAACCACGTTCACAAGAGCAACTACCAGAACAATATGCTCTGCTACTAAGATTCAGGGGAAACAGTAACGCCCAGCACACACTCAGGATACTCACTTGGATTGGGTCTGTTTGGTGATGTTCCGAATGGTGGCGCCTTCTTTTCCTATAATGGCTCCAACGAACTGGGTGGGGACCAGCAGGCGCAGAGGCAAGTCACAGGGTTTCTGCTTGGACACTGACCCCGGAGAGCCCTGTCTCGACGAGCCTCTCTGCCCAAACCCACGGCGACCGCGGGGCTGCTGCGAGGGGTTCTGCTGGGCTGCCATTTCGTCAGGGATATAGGCCACTTTCAAGGTGAAGTTCTCCAGCTGGAATCCATTCAGTTTGTCTAACGCTCTGGAAGTGACAGGGAGCAACGGTGGGGAGAGAAATCGAGCCACATGACATACACCTTGCAGCAAAGCAATGCCGCTCTTCCGCGCAGGGTCGCTGGCTCGAAGACTTCTGAAGAAGGCCACGGAACAGGTAACCCAGAACACACTTAACACCCCCCAACACACACACATGAAAGAAAAGACAAGTTTCCAAAGGGAACATACTTGCCATCTACCAGTGAAAAGGAAAAAGAAAAGTATAATTCGTCAAACTTTTCTGTTGAGGTGCAGTGACATACATTACATTAGTGTCAGGTGTACTACATAAGGACTCCATAGCTGTATATGTTGTGACACGATCACCACAATAAGTCTAGTTAACATCTGTCACCATACATGGTTACATATTTTTTTCTTGTGAATTTTAAGATCTACGCCTTAGCAACTTTCAAATATGCAATATAGTATTATTAACTATAGTTGCCAGCCTCTACACTACATCCTCATGATTTACTTATTTTATAACTAGAAGTTTGTACCTTTTGACTCCCTTCACCCATTTTGCCCACCCCCCCACCTCTGATATCAACCAATCTATTCTCTGAATCTATGATATTGCTTTATGTGAGTGTGTTTTGGGAGGTGGGAGATTGCACATATAGGTGAGATCCTATAGTACTTGTCTTTGTCTGACCTCTTTCTGACTTATTTCACTTAACACAACGTCCTCAAGGTCCATCTATGTTATTGCATACACCAAGATTTCATTCCTTTTTATGGCTGCTTACATACACACACACACACACCAGGTTTTCTTTATCCATTCATCCATTGATGTACACTTATGTTGTTTCCATATCTTGACTACTATGGATAATCCTACAACTGAAAACCTTAATTAAGTTATTACCTAAGAGGTTAGTAATAGCTTAGGAGTATCCAAATAGCAAGGGGGCAGTCCTTATCCAGGCTAGTCTTTCCAAATCAGAAAGGAAAAGATGTTAGAAATATACACCTACCTCACTTTACCCTCTTACAAAATACAAATATTAAAACATCTTAGGCATCAAAGGACAAATCTCTCTAAAACACTCACAGGAGACTGGTAGAATTTAATACTCAGAATAATCCCTCAGCAAGTTCTCTGTATCTATTATGAGCCAGTCCCTGAGAAAACAGCAGCCCCTGACCTTCTGGAGTTTATGATCTAACCTGGGGCAGGAGTGATGATGAACCCCAGAAAAAGCAAATGAAGCTATCTTCAACCTGCTCCGTTTCCGACCTGGGCCGGTTCACCCCTCCTTAGGCAACCTGGTGGTCCCCTGCTCCCTGGAGGTCACCATGTTGATGCAGAACTTAGTGCGGACACCCGATCGGCATAGCGCACTGCAGCGCAGAACTCCTGGGCTCAAGCGATCCTCCAGCCTCAGCCTCCCGAGTAGCTGGGACTACAGGCATGTGCCAGGGCACCCGGCTGAAGCTACTTTCTACCTTATCTATTGATCCATCCACCCACCCACCCATCCATCTCTCTATTTTGAGAGGAGCTTTACTGTTTTTTCATTTTAAATGTTACTATGGAAAAGTACCCAATCTTAGGAGCCCATCCCAATGAGTTCTCATAAGGTAAACATGCATCCCCAGATGCAGAACTAGGACACACCAGCGCCCCAGACTTTGACCACCACAGATTGACTCTGCCTGTCTTAAAAGTCTACATAAATAAGTATATATTAGTACACATGTTTTGGACTCTCTCATGTCTGGCCTCTTTCACTTACCAGACTTATAAGATTTTCCCTTACTGTTGTTTTATTTATACCTTACCTAAGTATTTTAAAAATGGAGAACTCAATAAAAAAAATCAACAGAGAAGATATCACCAAGATTTCACAAGCACACATAAACACACTTTTAATAATACACACTCCCAAGTACACAACAAAATTAAAAACACATAAAGGTCCCACACTTTCCCTAAGGTTACTCAGACTCGGTTCGGATTCTGTCCCAACGGGCCTCGAGCTCAGCCCAGGAAGGAAAAGAAAAACAGGCACGAAATGGTCTCTCTCCAGTCGCTCAGCGGTCATTTCTGGCTCCCGTATTGCTTTCCTTACGTGGAGAGCCTTCCACTGTTCACTGAGATGGAAACAGGAGGGGACGTGGACCTGGCAGCAGACAGGACCCCAAAAGCATGGCACTGGAATTCAGGCCAAGACGACCAGACAAAGCAGCCTGATGTTTTCAGGACCCCGACTCCTGCCCTCGTCACTCACGTCTATCCCCCCTCACTGTCCCACAGCGCCTAGTACACGGACGAACTCTAATCACAACAGGTCAAGTCATACAGAAGGACAAAGCAACAAGACACTCCTGTCACCATCACCAACCCGCCGAGACCCTTCCCAGAATCAGTCAACCTCAGCGACGGCTGCAAACAGACCAGTTCTCTCCGTGTTACACGCACATGGACGTGTCCGGTACCCAATGTAACTGGGATCGTGATGGACGTAATTTTGTGTTTTGCTTTTTGTCAAATATATTTTGGGATGTTTCCGCATGCTTTCCATACCAGAGGGCATTCTTTCCATCAGCTTTATACGGTGATAGTTATTTTACCAACGTCCTGATAACAGAACCTTCGGTTAACCTATTATGCCTTGCTTTCTCCCTCCCCCTTTTCCTTGAGGGAAATGTGGATTAAGGACATGAAATAGTTTGGTTATTTCTGAAGGAAGACAACTACTGAGAAATTTTATTAATCTTTATTATGTATACTTTTTATAGAAAGGCAGAACTACAGAAGTTTCAACCAATTAGATAGTCATTTAAAACAACTTTAGACCTTTCTCAAGGCCGGGAGAAACAGATCACCAAGGGTTGCTTCAGAAACCTAAGAAATGTGAACTCGATGAAGGAGTCAACTGTATCCACCGGCATTAAAGACGACAAATTCACTGTAATCTCCTCTCCTACCTTAAAACTGAGCACTGCTAGCTTCAGAAGAAAAGTCCATTTTGACTGTGGAATTCAGTCAGTAACGTTACAAAAGCAGCAATGACTTCTTTCTTGAGTGAGACAGACGAACACGGACAGACGTCCCAAAGTGTTCTGGGACTGCCTAAACGAAGTCACGTGTCCTAAGAAACAGCTCTCTCAACTCAGTGTCAAACTAACTTCCAAACTTCACTGTGCTGCTTTTAAAAGACTGTTTATTGTTTTTGAGGAGAAAAGGAAAGATTCTCTCGCTCGGGAGATCAGAGGGCCCGGTGCTCCGATACCCCATGTGCAGTCTGGGCCCCAAAGCTCCCAGCTCACACACTGTGCACCCCACCGTGGGGCTGCCAACGGGGCGGTTTCCGACCCCCTGACCCACAGTGCCCCGGACGTGGACAGCGCTGAGAAAGCAGAGGGGTAACCTAACGGCAAGCAAGGGCTTTCTCGTGACTAAAGATTCGACATTTCTGACTTTTCAGTGAAACTCTGAAACCTTCCTGTGCAGAGTTTGATATTTAGCTATGTCCTTGGGCGGTTTGCTGAGTCCATGGGGAACAACATTATAATATTTTCACCAAACATGTTGTATATATAACATGATAAGATGACGGATATTAACTAAATTTATTGTGGTGATCATTTCATAATGTATCCAACTATTGAATCATTATGATGTAAAACCTGAAACTAATGTTTTGTATCAATTACACCTGAATTTATATTTAAAAAATTTTTTTTCTTTATTAAATTTTTTTTTTTTTTTTGAGAGAGAGGAGAAGGAAGAAGGAGAGAGAGATAGAAACATTGATGAGAGAGAACATCGACTGGCCACCTCCTGCATGCCCCCCACTGGGGATCGGGCCCACAACCTGGGCATGTGCCCTGACCAGGAATCGAACCAGCAACCTCTTGGTGCATGGGTCAATGCTCAACCACTGAGCAACACCAGCTGGGCTATACCTCAATTTACAAGCATTTTAAAAGATAAGATGGCCCTGGCCGGTTTGGCTCAGCGGTTAGAGCATCGGCCTGCGGTCTGGAGAGACCCGGGTTCGGTTCCCGCTAAGGGCACGTACCTCGGTTGCAGTTTGTCCCCGGCCCTGGTTGGTTGTGCGGGTGGCAGCCACTCGATGTGTCCCTTTCACGTCGATGTTTCTCTCTCTCTCTTCCTCTCTCTCCCTCCCACGCTATCTGTACAAAAAATGGAAAAATGTCCTCGGGTGAGGATAAAAAAAAAAAAAAGATAAGATGAACAACTGTCATAATTATTCAAAACATATGCATTCACTTCAACCGAACTCAAGGATGCTTCCCCAGCAATTGTATCACAGGATCCTGTTTCTCTTCTTTACCTGGCTCTGCTCTGACACTAATCTGAGTCCTTCAGAAGACGGTGAGTATTTTGCTAGTTGGTAGCACTGATTCTATTGATAAGAAGTTTATTGGGGTAGATCACAGTTTAGAGCCGAAAGGGCCTTGAGAGGGTAAGTAGTTTAACTCAAGGATGAGGGAGTCGTGGAGAGAGAAGAAATGAGACCCAGAGAAGTTAAATTCATCCGAAGGTGCACACAGAGATCCCAGGAGTGAAAAGAGGATAAACCAGAGCCCGGAATTCTGGTCCAGCTAGAACAGTAAGTAGCCATGTAACCTTGGAGAGGTCGTTTTCTTATTTGGCACTGTTCCTCGCCTACAGAGATTAGATTTATGAACCCCGTCAACTCCAAAATTCCATGTCTAAAATTTCCTTTTTCTACCTCCCAGACCTCTCTTTAGCATAGTTTTTAACAAATGTGGTTTAACCACCCTGGCCGGTCTGGCTCAGCGGTTAGAGCGTCGGCCTGCGGTCCGGAGAGACCCGGGTTCGGTTCCCACTAAGGGCACGTACCTCAGTTGCAGTTTGTCCCCGGCCCTGGTTGGGTCGTGCGGGTGGCAGCCACTCGATGTGTCCCTTTCACGTCGATGTTTCTTTCTCTCTCTCTTCCTCCCACTCTATCTGAACAAAAACTGAAAAAATGTCCTCGGGTGAGGATAAAAAATAAATTTAAAAAAAAATGTGGTTTAACCATTATTGAAAAGTCATACAATTCAGCTTTCTGTTTGTACCGAGAATAAGAGATTGAGATATACAATTCAGTAATAATTACTGAAAGCCTGGTAACATCACTGCAGGGATGCGTCTTAAGGAAATAATCATGGACAAAGCCCAAAGATTCACCTACAAAGGAGCTTATTAATTAAACCGTTTCTAAAAGAACATACACACACACACCTGCAAACCTCCTAGAAGTGCAGTGGAAAATGGGACACACAGACTGTGGTAGAGATGAAATACTAGGTAGGGATTACAAGCTGTATATAGTTAACAGAAAGACAAACCACAAAACTACAGAATGATCGTTGTGATTTTAGAAGTTACATGGGACAAGGTCTGTGCAAATTTAACACTGGCTATCTCTGAATGCAAAATGGCAAGAAATTCCTTTGTCTCCCTGCTTTAGTTACTCTTTCTTTTTCCAGATTAATCTTCCGTTTACACACTCCTTACAGTTTAAGGGTGACTTTCCTTGCCTTAGCCAGCAGCCAGGTTGTTTCACACACTTCTCACCCTAGCAGTGTGCTCACCAAGGATGCTCACATGACTTGATACGGGTCTTCAGGCTGATATAGAAGGATCTTCAATAATAGCTTCAAAACATAAACAAACTATATTCTGATTCCCTAACAAAAATAAACATCAGAAGTAAGAAAGTATAAAAACGACATGCCTGCAAAGTCTAAAGGGTTATTTCCTTGTCGCACATTACAAATCTTCCAAAGAGGAACGCCTATCCTTGACAGCGTTGCCTGAGCATCTCTGGAAGGAAACAAGGGTTCCAGAGACCCACGCCGCTTTTGCTCCAAGGAACAAGAAATACTAAATACATCTATTTTTAATCATCTATTTTTTGTCTCTTATTTTCATTTTATTATTTAAATAATCCCAGACATAAGGTTAAAACAAGTATGTATTTCCTAGTAATATATTACTATTAACCTTTGACTTTCTTAGCCACAAGGTGGCAGAAATTTCCGTGTTAAATTCTGTCTTAGAGACGGCCTTATTGAGGAATCAATTTTCTTAAGAGTGGCACTTTAAGTAACAAAAAGAGGCAGCCACAAAAACCTTTAAAGGGGGTCCCTAACTCCTGAGCATCAGTGGCCAGTCATTATCTGAAATGAAATATTCTGCACACGAACAGAGTACCATCCACAGCAGTGAAAATACTGGTAAATGCATAACAGCTGCCAACTGTGAAGTTCTTGCTAGGTATTATGGTAAGTGTTTTGGAAACACTATATTAGGTTCTCAACAGCCTCCTGAACTAAGAACTGTAATTATTCCCCTTTTACGGACACGTGTGAACTAAGACAGATGAACTTGACCAGAGTCACAGCTGGAAGAGTGGGGGCACAGAGGGTCCGGTCCATTTCACGGACCTGGACTCTGGAAGGTCCCCTCTAAACCTCCATGTTCTGCCCACAATCACGCATGCACATCCCAGTTACACTGACTCCCAAGTATCAGACGCTAAGGAAAGACGTCGACCCAGCCCTCACTACCTGAAGAGGTGAGTCTGAATGGGCTGCCAAGGAAAGGGCGTGGAGAAGTCACTGCAGGCGTGTAGACAGCTGTGCGCAGCCGGAGAACAGGCCTGCGGGGTTCAGTGGAGCAAGCCCGGGAGGGACCAGCTTTCCCCAGCTCACCACCTCGAGCGGCTCTAGAAGCGGCCCAGAACCCGTGTGCTAGCAAGAGCTATTTCCTTGGTGCCTATGCGCCAGGCCATTTGATAAGCCCGTTTTCTATAAATGTGCGCCGACAGGAACGACTACACTGGGTTCTTGTCAGCCCTCACTGTGTAGCTGAGGAAACTGAAGCTCAGAGAGGTCAAGGTCAGAGGCCATCTCTCTCCACTGCACCCAGTGCCTCTCAAATAAAGTCCTTCTCCTCACAGGAGGACGATGTATGCCCAACATCTTTTAACAACAAAAAAAAAACTTACTAGAAAATTTATATAACACTGTATCACAAGACTGACTTTTCCATTCTTTAAATTAACTTCCTCTAATTATTTTCTAATTCTCTTTGCTTTGTGGAATTTTTGCTGAGGATCTTTGTAAAGACTGAGGCACGTGAGACCAACAGAGCCCTGCGTGCTCACGGCCCCACTCTCGCCCCCCAGTCTACCTGGGGTATAAAAAAATTTTTTTTTTTTTTATCCTCACCCGAGGACATTTTTTCTATTTTTTGTTCAGATAGAGTGTGGGAGGGAGAGAGAGAGAGAGAGAGAAACATCGACGTGAAAGGGACATGTCGAGTGGTTGCCACCCACACGACCGACCAGGGCTGGGGACAAACTGCAACCGAAGTACACGCCCTTAGCGGGAACCAAACCCGGGTCTCTCTGGACCACAGGCCAACGCTCCAACTGCTGAGCCAAACTGGCCAGGGCTGGGGTATAAAAAATTCAATTTTTCTGTTCTTCCCTCTTACACAATAGGGTTGAGGAATCAAGTTTGTAAAAAGCAGTTTTACAACTCATACCACAATCTATTTCTAATATGTCCAAAAACTTCATATAAACTTAATTTTTAAAAAATGAATAAAAGATACAAACAGAAGAACAAATACATTTTTTTTGTTTTTTGTTCATCCTCACCCAAGGATACATTTTTCCATTGATTTTTAGACAGAGTGGAAGGGAGGGAGGGAAGGGGAGTGGGTACATGCCCATGACCAGTAATCAAACCCGCAACCCTGCAGTGTGTGGACCGATGCTCTAACCACTGACCCACATCAGCCAGGGCTAGAATATCTTTAAATGTCTTAAAAGTTTCATATTAAAATGTTGAAAGTGAATCTCAAAGTCTCACTCATGTTTTAGGGGGAAATATGGAATTAACATGATTAGATACTACTTTTCACCCACAAGATCAGCCACATCTGACACAGCCCTGTGTTAGGGACAGTAAGAACTGCACACTCACATGGTGCTGATGGAACTTAAACTACTTCAAATTCTATGAAAGAGAACTTGCCAATATCTAACAAAATAAAAAAAGGCACAAGCATCTTTCCTCAGCTGATCTACTTCTAGGAATTTAATCTGCATCTACATTCACACACGCGCAAAACGACATACAGTACGCAGACAGATTCACCACAGTGGCGACTGTCAGCCGGTGTGCCGAAAGAATTTTAAAAATTCTTTTTTAAAACATGCAAAACCTGACTATTTATTCAGGGGCACTGACCTCTTTGCCCTTCGATTGTCAAATTTAAAGAATGACAACAAACAACACAACGATAGCGTCTGGTGTGAATGAATCAAAGTTTCACCTTTTTTTTTTTTTTAATCGGATCGGCAAAAAACATATTTTGGGTGTGCCGCAGAACCTGAGTGATTACTCTATGTGCCATGAGATGAAAAAGGTTGACAATCACTGCCCTGCAGCCTTGTTCATAAATGCAAGAGATTTGAAATAAGCTAAACACCCAATTTGGAACTAAGTCATTCTATATTCATATAATCAAATTCTATGCAACTATGAAAAATAGATTTCTATGTATAAAACACTCAAATGTTATGGTATCATTTGTGTAAAGAGGAGGAAAAATACACACACATATGTGTCTTCCATATGGTCATCTCCAAGGAAGCTGGAGAACAACAGTGGAAGCTCTGCACCCTACACATCTTCGGACCTTTAAAATGTTGGACCATGTGAATATTCCCAACTTAAAAATAAAAGTTCCATTTGTGAAATGCAAACTTCCGTCTCCTTCCCAGCCCCATCTGTCTTTGCTTTGTTCCTCCAGGAGTGGGCACTGCCTTTGGTAAGCTCGCTCGGTTCCCACTCTTGCAGCTGGTGTCAGCCACGTGGTCTTTCCTTCCACCTTTCCCACACAGAGGACAGACCGGCTATTCCCACCTGCACTGTAGTGGGAGGAGGTGAAGACTTCCATGGCCTGCTGGGCACCGTGTGTGCCGTTCCTGTTTGCGATCTGAGCAGACATGTCAAAAGCAGGATTTGTGAGAGCCTCATTCTCCCTCTCTAGTGCTCAGTTTATTGGATCAATCCCAAGCCTAGAGAATTGTTTTTTCCAAAGGAAGATTTTTTTTTTTTTGATCTGTAAAGTTTTGCCTCCCCAAGGCATTGGAATACATTTTTTCCCACCAATCTAAAAGCAAATTACATTGGTTCAATGTCTGCACACTCCTAAATGACAATGGTAATCATTAGGAAATCAAAGAGCAAGAGAACAACATTTAACACTGTTGTTAGTTTAACACATGAGCAACTTACCAGCTTTAAATAAAACAGCAATAATGTATATATCATACTACTAAGGGGAAAAAAATCAATGTAATTTGATGATACCCAGGTCCACAGCTTTTTGCAAATAGGGTGTAATTCAGCTTCATACTATATCCATCTAGAATTGGCATTAAAGATAGATTGAAAAGGTAACAAAATTTTAACCAATGCAAATTCTCATACGTTCAAATATTAAAAGATATGCAGGGTCAAACTTTGCAAAATAAAGTTTATTTCTGCTATCCACTAGGCCAAAATAGAAGTACTATACTTAAACCTACTTATTACATAGAGATAAAAAGTTTTGAACTGCTTACTGTCTAGCTTGGTCCTTACTGGAATAGGTTACATTTACGACTGCAGTTTCCGAGTCAGTGTTCACTGGAGGAAGAAAAAAAAGGAAGAGAAAGAAAAAAAAGTTAGTTTTCTTTTTACTTCCCTCCTTTTACAAATTTGAAAGCAATTGAGAAGACAGGTACCTTGCTCACAGCTTTCCACCACTCCATACTGGACTAGTAAACTATCCAGCACCTATCAGGAGGGGGAGAGAAAGTTACAAATTTTCAGTTTCCCAAGTTATTAGCAAGGGCAGAAGTAGGTTTGAAAATCATAAAGAATTGTGATGAAAAAGAGCCAAAAAAAAAAATCTGGCATCTTGGACCACAGCATTGAGGGAGGGGCACCACAGTGAGGTCCCCTCTCCTGCCTCTCCCGAGATCCCCGGCTGGAAGGCCACTCCCTGTGGATGACCAGGAAGGCAGGCAGCTCAGCAGAGTTCAGAGCCACAGCCACCTGGTCCCTGGGCTGCAGCAGAAGGAAGCACGTATTTCCTATACACACACCCGCACGTCGCCACACTTCCTCCTTGTACACAAACTCACGAGACAAGGGCTCAAGTTAAGTTTCTTCTTTAAGATGTTCCTTTTCAAAGAACTTCCTTTTATAGCTATAAGGGGTGTATCAGAATAGACTACTCAAGGCAGGCTACCAAGATGAAGAAAGAACATAGCGGACAGTCTACCTGGAATCTTTAACTAAAGACTAAGCTAAGTGGTATATCGATACTTAGACAGTAAAAAGTATACCCAAAGGTGAACCCCTCTAAATCTATACTAGGTTGGAAAATGTACAATTTGAAACTATCTGTTTTTACCATCTTTCCTGTAGCTGCATTATTATACGGTGAATGTTAAATAAGTTTCTATTGATTTTTTAGAGAGAGAGGAAGGAAGAGATATAGAAACATCTATATGAGAGAGAAACATCAATCGGCTACCTCTTGCACACCCCCCACTGGGGACTGAACCCTCAACCCGGGCATGTGCCCTGACCAGGAATCGAACCGGGACCTCTCTGTCCATGGGGCATGCTCAATCCACTGAGCCACACTGGCCAGGCAGCAGTAACTAAATATTATTATACTATGAACTGCAGGTGTACATCTCATTAGTATGAACCAAATCCAACTGTCCTTAGCTTCCAAGAACTATAAAAAGATTTTCTTGAAAAGTAAAACAAAATAAGTTTTTATTAATTTATAGTGAAGCAATTATAGATTAATTTAATTGCAAAATTTGAAGAACAGTTCCTTGAGAATGTTTTCTGGCCCAGAACACAGTAAACCATTAAGAAACACATTAAATAAATTTTTATGGTAATTTCCTACTAAAGTTGAAGCAATTTCTTCTAAAGGAATGTTTGCCTTATTTGGTGTCTTTTTTTTTTTTTTTTAATCCTCACCCGAGGACATTTTCTCCATTTTTTTATTCAGATAGAGTGGGAGGGAAAGAGAGGAAGAGAGAGAGAAACATCGATGTGAAAGGGACACATCAAGTGGCTGCCACCTGCATGACCCAACCAAGGCCGGGGACAAACTGCAACCGAGGTATGTGCCCTTAGCGGGAACCAAACCCGGGTCTCTCTGGACCACAGGCCGACACTCTAAACGCTGAGCCAAACCGGCCAGGGCTTATGTGGTGTCTTTCAGGCTTTTTGTCTACTGCTTCCAATTTGAAATCTATAGCCAGGTATGTCTGGGAATGAGCTTTTTATTTGTTTATTTCTTTATTCCATTTTAAATTAGGTGAATACCTATTTGTGAATGGAATTACTACATTCTTTCATAGTAAAGTTTTGACATGGTGAATTTACTTTGAGTGGGGTCTATTAATAGAAGCACACTAATCTTTGTCTCTCACTACAGCTACTGTTAAATTATAAAGCTTAATTTTTAATTCAGAGACTTAACTGGCTACATATAATTTCACTTGTCTGTCTCAGCCATTAGAATGAATGACCCACATGAACAGGAATTCTTGTTCACTGTACTATCCCTAGCACCTAGAACTACAGGTGCATAAAGACATTTACGTAGTTCAAAAGTGAAGTAAATACTTCTCAGGAGGAAATTCTAGTATAGTTTATTAGGAATGGTACTCTTTTTACTAGTGTTCACCTGTTTCAGAGGTGACTTTAACATGCATGTATGTATGTTGATCATATACATATCTTATAAAGGCAAATAAATAGAAAACCTCTTATAATTCCCTCCAAATAGGTAATTTACAATGTGTAATGCCTTAAAATCTTTTTTAAAAAAAGCAACCTACTTATATTTTCAAAACAAAAATTTTTCACTACCAAAAATGTTTTATAAACAATGTAAATTGATAGAATTCTAATGAGGTATTTTGATTCATTCCATCTTAAGTAATTAAAGCATCTGAAAAGGTTCATCTACCATTTAAAATTTAACTTTTAAATGAAAACTTATCTAATAGTAGGGCTGTATAGCAACTTGGGTATCTTGAGGGGCAAGGATGTACAGGGGCATGGAAATGGTGGCAATGAAGAAGGGCTGTAGGGAGGGGTAATTGCCAACTTAACACGTTAATTTAAATAAACATCATTTTTAATTCTTCCTAAAAGCAATTTCTTTGGTAATTAAATACATTACTGTCCACATCATTTAGCTTATACTCCCTTAACTTTTACTACTATAGAGAAAATCCTACAAAAGTTACATACCCATGACTTATATTAAAAATGTTGGCTAAACCTGCAAAAATAATACTAAAGAAACTAATGTTCTCCAAAAGGTCCACTGGCAAAGTGACAAAAATTATATATACATTTATTTATATGTATGTACACAGAAATATACACATATACTTATATGTAAATATATACATACAAACATACACACAGGCATATAAACACATGATACAAGAACATTTTTAATATAAAAAAATTGAGGAGCCCTGGCCAGTGTGGCTCAGTTTCTAGGGTGCTGCCCCATGCACCAGGAGGTTGCCAGTTCCATCCCCAGTCAAGGGCACATGCCCAGGGTGCAGACTCCATCCCCCAGTAGGGGGCGTGAAGGAGGCAGCTGAGCAATGTTTCACTTTAACATCGATGTCTCTCTCTCTTCCCCGCTAACAATCAGTGATTCTTAAAAAAAAAAATTTTGGAGAAAATATACATAAAATTTTCACTGCATATACTGTATAAAGTTTTATATGTTCAAAACAAAAGTGCTTGTAGAGTTAAACATTCTGTTCCTAAGTAATAATAGATGCTACTGATTATCAACTATCCTATGTGTAAAAACCTCTGGAAAAAATTAGAAACTACAATCCTATACACTAAAAATGGTGAATTTTATTGTATGTAAATTATACTTCAATAAACCTATCTCTAAAACCTAACAAAAAAACAAACTATAGTCCTTAAGAGAAAAAGAGTTTCAGTATTAATCTTGGTACCCAGTTGAAGACAAGTTAACCAAACAAGCTAGGGGGTTTTACCTAGACACCAGAGATGGATGTCGGTGGGTCTTTGAGGTCATCAAAGTTTTATGCACAAGTTTTGGGGGTAATCACAACTGAGAGATGGGAGAAAGACTGTCAATAACCCAGTCAGATTCACAAGTCCCAGAATGGTTTCCAACCCCCAAATGATTGAGCAATGCTAAGTACTGGGAAGGCATCTGTCCAAATGTGCTATGTGAAACAGGACTACCAAACTGTATCCTGCCACTCCAACTCGCTGAACTCTCCAAGTAAATATGTACAACTTACTCTTAATAAGTTCTGCCCTTTTGACTCATCCTGCATTAGCTAGGAACAAAAGACAAATGTTCCTGTTATCTATCACATAAACCACCCACCCCTAGGTTCTTGCCTCCTCAGTTCCTAGAATGTCTTGTCTTTTCTCCCATCTATTTCAACCACAAATGTTTCTTTTAAACAGCCTTGTTTTAATGGTAAAAACAAACAAAAACCCAAAATACTTCCACTGAACATTCCTGACATTTCCACAATCTCTTAAGAAACCAAAATTCTCATTCCTAAATGAGTTTATTTCACTCAAGCCGGAAAGAAAACATTTCTCTATGCTTATGTAAGTTTAAACTCCAACTGGAAGGGAAAGACATTACCAAAGCAAATTAAAGCCTCAGAGGAAATGTCTTGGTGGAAACACCGCTTTTTATATATTTCAAACTTAAAAATCTCAAATGTTCAGCACTTAAAAAAAAAATCATCCAAATGTAGAAATAGCAAAGAAAGAATCACATGATTAAATGCGAAGATGATCACTTTCCTTAACATAGCGGGAAAGAATAACATCATTCATAATAGCCTAAAATGGAAACAACCTAACTGCCCATCAACTGATGAGTGGATAAACAAAATGTGGTATAGCCACAAAATGGAATATTATTTGGCCATAAAAAGGAATGAAGTGCTAATACATGCTACAACATAGACAAACCTTAAAAACATTAGGTAAAAGAAGACCATCACAAAAGACCACATGTTATAGGATTCTATTCATATGAAATGTCCAGAACGGAATTCTACAGAAAGTAAATTAGTGGTTGCACTGGGCTAGTGAGAGTGGAAGGGTGAGCGTTAAAGGTTTGTTCTGAGGTGATGAAATGTCCTCAGGTTCTCGGTGGTGATGCTCGCACATATCTGTGAGCATACTAAGACCCCCTGGGGTACAGTTCAAATGGGGGAATTGTAAGGTATGTGAATTATATCTCAATAAAACTTAAAAATAACTAAAATCAATAATACCTGCTAATCACCTAGGGTTTTTTTTTTAACCCTTGATGTATTCAAGTACAATAAACGGCATAAAATTTTATCAGTTTTGCCATTATGCACGTACTGAGACCATCACCATAATCAAAATAACAGTTTCTTCATATCCCTCTTCAATCCTGTAGCCTAATTTAGTCATACATGGAACACCAAAATAAAGATGGTTGAAAACTATCTTGTACCTCACACATGATCAAATTTCCTCTGCCACAGCAACCCCACCTTCACCCCCACAAAACTAGCCATATTTCGGCTGATCCCCCCATGGGATGGAGTAATTCATGCCCTCCAAATAAACCTTCTGCTGATTATTTATTCTTTTGTTGTTGTTAATTCTCACCGGAGGATCTTTTTTCCGTTGATTTTTAGAGAGTGTGGTAGGGAGGGAAGAAGGGAGAGGGGGATGGGGAGGATCGAAGTGAG